TAGATAGATAGATAGATAGAAACTTTGCTACCCAAGTCTCAGTATGATTTGAACTTGGTATATTTAAGCGTTGATTTTCACGCTTCAAAAAAACTTACATGTTGATTATCTGTTATTAATCCCCAGGCACCTGCAGCAGTAGCAACTGATGATATAACAAGGATAACTGCGAAAATTAAATAAAATTATGTTAGATTAATGTTAGATCCAGATATTGAGCTCACTAAGCTTCCACTTTACCTCAAGCTTATATCTGAAATATTTGTTATAAACAATCAAACAGGTGCGAGTTCATCTCTCAAATGTACGCATTTAAGCTTAACATATCATAAAAAATGTTATTAAAATACCCACAGAAATGCCAAGGTTCGGTTTGAGTCTCGCGTATGTTTTGATTAATTCAATTATCAATGGAATGATTTTATTTGAAATCAAGCGACAAACATGCTTGAAACTTACGTCTCCATCTTCCGGTTTGTGGACCTAAACATGACACATACTCCGTAAGCCTTCGTTCAAATGCCTTCAGATCTGCAAAACAGAAAAAGATATGCAAAGCCCATAATCAAACAATTTCTCAAGAGCTTTGACAAAGATCTAAATAATTTGCAGCTCACTTACCTTCCGTCACTTGCTGGCTTGCCATTGCAGAAGAACTTCCATTTCTCTCCGCGATAAGGCGCATGTTCCACATTCGCCGGCAAATTTCGAGCCCGCGATATCTTTCCCAGAGGTTAACTTTGCGCGAGCAGGCTTTTTTGAAGGTACGAAATCCAAGATGGTGTCGTATTGGAGGCAAGCCGGTCTAAGGTTAGAAAATTCGCTTCTTTATTTTCCTTATTGCACAGTTTTATGACATATTTAGGTCTATGAAACACTTTTAATTCGATCGGAAGAATGACGAATCTATATCATGTGAAACTCCATGTGAATATACGTGATATGGCCTCTGGAGTCACAAGGGTTGTACGTCAGCTAGCAAAAGTTTGAACTCCCGTAACTTAGCACGTTACAAACGAGATTTTGCAAACTGTTTCCTGCATTTACTCCCAGCGACCAAAACTTCATAATCGATCAAAAATTTCTGTCATTCTTCACTGGTTTTCACTGGGTAGACCCCCAGGGGAATTGGATATCATGTGTTGGCAATTTTAATAATTTCCCAAGGTGTGGGATCTTATCATAAAACTTCCTAGGTCGTACTAAGTTCCCTCATATCACTTTGATATCAATATCATTCTATACATCAGGTTATCATATTTTGATCATATATAAACACATGCTGATATTAACTTGCTGTTTTGTGTGAGGTTGTGTAAACATGTCACACTGCTTGTGATAACACTGATTAATGTCCAATGTTCCTAATTGAACTGTTCGTTAATTGAACTTAGCAGAACTTGATTGAGCAATTGCATTTGATTAGTTTGATAATCGAACACAATGGAACCANCATGAATGCTTCTATCTCCAACACTTCACACAAAAAAATAACTCTTGCACGCCTTGCGTGCCTATGTTTATAATTTCCCAAGGTGTGGGATCTTATGATAAAACTTCCTAGGTCGTACTAAGTTCCCTCATATCACTTTGATATCAATATCATTCTATACATCAGGTTATCATATTTTGATCATATATAAACACTTGCTGATATTAACTTGCTGTTTTGTGTGAGGTTGTTTAAAGATGTCACACTGCTTGTGATAACACTGATTAATGTCCAATGTTTCTAATTGAACTGTTCGTTAATTGAACTTAGTAGAACTTGACTGAGCAATTGCGTTTGATTAGTTTGATAATCGAACACAATGGAACCAAAAGAATTGTGTGAGAGAGTTCATATACGTTTGATTTCCGAACTAATCAAACCCAATCGAACTCAGTTGAACGCAATCAAAAAATCTGAAATTCACCCTAAATACCACCGGATATTTGAACAGCTACAAATTAACATTTTACAAACCTTTGGGCATGGAAACTGCATTGATTTCACAAATGAAAAAATAAACCGACTGTAAAATTGCATAAAACGCATAATAGGAAGTTATTCTTACTTCACTATAGTTCCATTCCATTTTATGGCAGTGCCTCCTCCCATTCCCCCACGAATTTGCCCTTGGTTTTAGTCCACCATTGTTGTTTCAATTACCATGCTATCCAGGCTCAAATTCAACACAGCCAAACCTTATCGAACTCAATCAAACTATATAAACTCAATCAAGCCCAGTTGAACATATTTGAATGTTTGATTGCGTTCGATTGCTAAAATTTTTTGTGAGAGGGTTTGATTGTGTTCGATTACTGAATTCAATCAAACCCAAAAGTGTGGTTGGGTTCGATTAAGTTTGATTTAGTTTGATTAATTGAATATTCAATTTGGTTTGATTAGTAATGTTGGGTTAATGCAAACACTCAAGTTTGTTTGGTAGAATTCAAAACTACATGTACTTAATACACAAAATTTCAAAATTATTCTTCTAAGTTTTGTTCAATGTTTGCATCAGTCTATGGAAACAAGTGTAAACATTCCTGTCTTTTAGTGAAAATTAGTATCGTACAACTTTTCTCCACTTTTCTTGGAACTGCAAAAGATTTCTTCACCACACAAAATGAAGAATTGTATATTAATCGTAATATCTCCCTTTACTCTACAGTGTATATTTCTGGTCAGCTCGATCATTTTTTCTTTATGTTACACTGTACATTCTTTTGATAACCACTGATGTATTTGATGCCTTAGTAACCCATGAGTTTCGATTTCCTCATCTCTATAGTTATCTCAACTTCTCATCCATCTGTGCAAGGCTGGTCCGGAGATGTCTGAAGCCAGATTTGCGAGTGGAAGCATTAAAGCGTGAAGAATCCCTCATGAAGTCTGTAAAATGGGAAGGTGGCAAGCAAGCTGGGGAAGCAAGTTAGTATTAATAGCAGTTGAAGTCTTAAAATAATAGTTCATTCCTATCAGCTAAGCTCTGTAAAAATACAGCTGGATTTCTGCTCAAAAGTATATCACTCCCTCTTCGTTAAATATTTATACCTATGGTCTTGTTTTCATGTTTTGTCATTTGGATATTACAACATAATACTGATTGTCAATGCCAGAGGATCTTATTAGAAAATATATCATTCTTTTTTTCTTGTAGAATCAATCAGCCAGTAAAACAGACCTACTTCACTCTTCTTCACTGTCATTAGATGTTCAAGATCAGCTGTTGTGTGACAATTTCAATTCCAGACTTATTGCTGATTAGATGCAACCTTTGTGAATAAAACATTGTGATAAGAGATTGGCTTGTGTCTTGTAGTGGAACTGTTAACCCTGCCTCTCCTCTGTTAACCCTGCCCAACATTGTTGCATGAGAATACAGATGCATGTATATTCAATACTAAATAAGCCCTGTCCAGGTGGCTTTGGCAATCACATAAAATGGTTGTGGAACAAAATGGGTGCCAGAAAAGAAGTAGAGTTGCCAGTTTGAGACCACTGAAATGGTCATTTTATGGTAATTTGAAATTTAAAGGATTATTATGCTTGCCATGCAGCACCTTTCTTCCATACAAATCTTGTTTACTTTTTTAGTGGAGCTCTGGCAGTCCGAAGGGCTGCCAGGAGGAGCACCAGAACTATAGGAGCAGAACCACATGCATGCATAGAAATGGAAAACCATGCAGCTCTAACCCTAACCCTAACTCTTTTTTCAACATGGCTAGCAGCATGGATCGTGGGTACGTGTGCCCCACGACAACAGCATTGTGCAGCATGGCAGACATCCATGTTATGGTCTATTATTGACACCTATCAAAACAAGGTATCTGCTGACCAGTATCAAGTGGCCATATCGTGGGCTTGGGTTTAGAGCTCAGCAAGGTCATGTGTTCTTTTTCAAGTTGACTGCGGACCAGGAAATGGTTTCCATTGGATTGCAGGTTAAAACCAGGTTAACTTACTGCAATCAGGAGCTTGGCTCTTAGGCTTGCCTCAGATGATCTATATTAAAACACTTATAAGATTTTAAAATTTCTATGGCACTGGTAGATTAAAACTTTCAAACTGCCAGTCATTTTACATTTAGACCCCAACAGTCTTAAAATTGCCAGCCCTGTCTCACTTTATCATGTTCTATCCCATTTATGGAACCATTTCGTTATTACAAAGCCTTTAGGAACACATTTTATAGTGATCGAACACAAGGGCTGGTGGCACGTGCTGATTGGTTGCAGGCCCATCCTTGTGTGGGGATCTGGGGGCATCCTCCCCTTGAAAATTTTGACAATCTTGACATGCTCTAATGTCATTTGGTGCACTATTTTTGGGATACCTTTAAGAGAAACAATTTTTTGTCATTTTTTAAGTTGCTTTTTGAACATGATGATTGCAAGTGGTCAATGGTTGATGTAACACAATCCTGCAGAGAAGAGAAAATTAGGAAGACTTCTGGAGAAAACTGACATGACATGTTTTCTGGGTGATGATTTAGCAGTTGGGAGAGTTCCTTTTAGAATTCTTTTGAAGTTGATGATACTTTCAATAATTTTTGGCTGGCAAGTCTTATTTAAAATTAATTTTTCCCAAAAAAGTGGAGGGAAGGGGGTATCCCTACTCGTACTGCAATGATGATCGTCAAGGTCATGAAAACTTATCTCTCATTTACTTGCAAAGGAATTATTTTGCTCGAACTCCAAAGGCACTTGCTGTCCCAATGTTCTGACTCAATGTGCAGCCCACGCAGGGCCAAGCACGATCCAGGCCCCACGACCAACAGTGAATCAACAATTAAACAGCATGCTGAGTCCATGGATCACAACTTCCACTCAAGGGACACCCAGATTCTCAAATGTGGTATGATCAACTACTACAAGAGGCTTTTCTTGGAGTTGTTGCACTCAACTTTGGAAAGTACTGCCATCAGCGAGAGGAAATGGCTCCTTCGCGCTTGCTTACTGTTGATTTAAAAAATCAATAGGGCTTGCAGCACAGGCAATAACGAACCTTAAGATCGCAGCTCTGATGAAGGTGGACAGAAGCCACCGAAAATTCAGAACAGATTGAAACAGATCAGATTGCAAAAAACTTATAGAATCTCTGTCACCTATTGCAACACTGAAAGCAGTATTTTCAGTCAATTGTTAGAGGTTGATGGGTTGACATCCCATCCAGGTAGAGGATCAAAACCTGTAGTTGTTTCATGCTACAGAGCTCCAGATATGCTTTAGTGGTATGGATCATTTTCACCTGAGTGCAATCTTGTGTTATAATAGCCAATGAAAAAAGTGTCTAAATAAGCCTAATGGGAAACTACTTATTTTGGCTAATTGGAAGAACTACTTAGCACAGTCAGTGGCATTTAACTGAACATTAATACGGTTTGGTATTCTGCAGTGAGTTAATGGATGGTGTGTTCACATTTCCCCGTGAGGAATAGTCTTGTTCCTATATGCAGTGCATTAAATTACAAGTACTCCAGTGACATGAAAGCGAATAAAGACCTGGTTTATTTTAAAAATGCTACCTTCACAATGGCACAAATACAATCTGATGCAAGCCTCAGATTACAAAAATGGCTCTGAAATATTTCACTTCAAAAGAATTTCAAACAGGAAAATTTTTCTTCATATTTCAAAAGGTAAACAACACTGCATTTGTCCCAACAATAACATCACATTGTAAGATGGACACATTCTGAATAGCACTACTATCTTCTATTTACATCTTAGTCTTTAGCATTCTTTTCCGTGCAGTTATTTTCTAAGTCAAGATTCTCATAATGTTGTTAGCCTGAAGCCAGTTAATGCTAATCTGGGCTTTAAAAATATATTAAGTTCTCAATTCTCTTGGTTCAAGCAGCTTTATTTTTAATTTGATTTAATAAGTGATTTAATAGCTCATACCTAATAGCGTTTTCAATAAAACCAGTCAGTTTTATTAGCCACTTGAAGCTAATTTGCAAGTAAGAGTTCAAAGCCACCTACTTTATTCAAAATTGCTAAAAATCAAGTAAGCTTTCTTTATCCAAATCTACAATGTGTCAAAAACCCTCACCTAGTTGTTCAGAATGAACAAATATTGCAATGGAATCACTGCCTATCACTCTTCCTACGAAAGTGACAAATGGAAAACATAAATAAGGGTAGTTACAAGATAAAGGCTGGGTTAATGTCTTGATTTATGGTCTGGACAACAGAAGCTAGGGAATGGTTTGGTCAGAAACTCTACACTATATACTGTGCTCGAAAATCAGGCTTAATTTTGTTGCTCTGCAGTGTCTGGTCCATTTCCTCAAGTGCACGCTCCTTTCCTGAACAGTGGCTTGTAACTGATCCTACCAGGGGCCTTTGAAATACAGTTGTACCCCACTTATTCAAACTTGGTTATTTTGAATTCCCCAGTATTTCAAACTCAAAATTATTTCCTTCATTTGCCCTTCAGTCATTTACTATTGGCTATATCTAATTCTTGCTATTTTAAACTATTCTTCCTTTCCCCTGAGAGTGTTCAAAATAGTGGGGTTCAACTGTATTTCAATGTCAAACTGGTCTCAAAGCTATTTTCTTTGATAAGGCATCAACTTTGTGAAATGATTAAGTACCAGTATAATATACATTGTAACATATGAAAGTTTTCATTAATTGTAAAAAATACAAATCTTCTAAGGAGGCTAACAGAGTCATTTTTGCTTGCTGTAATTATAAAAAGTTTGATGGAAACCCTTTGTTGGTCAACCATAGAACATGGAATGGAATGGAAATAATGGAAATTATCTTGAAAAAGAGGACATAAAATCACTTACCCTGATAAAAATATACTTTCTAATCAACAGTTCTAACACTGAAAAATGGTATACCTTGTTGATGAACATCAATATTTTAAATGAAGAAATTAAAATCTTATCTGCTGTATTTGTCTATAACTACATGCTAGATCAAAAGTAAGGCCTTGACTAATGTACACACCCTGAAATGAAGTTACTCTAGGATGACAATTCTGAAACAAAGCTACATGTATATAGCACACAAAATGTCTGAAATTGACACAAAAACTCTATTAAACTCCCTGGAGGATAGGGTTATTTTCAGCGTCAATTGAAGGCAAAGTACAAAGGCAAAAATGCATACAAAAAAATTTAGATTTAGGGTACATACTTTTAAAAGGCTATCCTTCAGAAGCAATTTTGATAACAGGGAAATTAGGGCTTTGGGGAGCTTATTCGAGAGGTGGAAGGGGTTTAATAGAGATTTTATGGTAACAGTTCAAAGAAGTCTTCAACAACCTAAAAGAAACTGATGGCTGACTTTGCAGTTTCTCTGAGTCTTTCCACAGCTTCCTCTGAGATGTGAAGGCAGCCTTCAATTCCCAGATGCGTCAAACAAGGGAGATGGTTTATAACACATTCAATGCTAGCATCTGTGATTGAGTTACAGCTTGTCAGAGTCATGTCCGTCAAACCCTTCAGGTGCACTACAGCTTGTTTGATTCCTTCATCTGTGATGAGATTCGAACCAAGATCAAGCTCTTCTAGATTTGTGAGGGATCCTGAGGCTTTGACCAGACCTCTGTCTGTTATCTTACATCCTTCGACACCAAGAGAAACAAGCTTGGGCAGATGTCGACTGACATAAACAAACCCATGGTCTGTAACTTTGGTCTGGTCTAAAGTTAGTTGCTTGAGTTCTTTGAGATATTTTCCAACCTCACAAATACCTATAAAGAATACAAAATTACACATGATTAAAAAAAATTGTGCTCAACTTGCCACTCAAATATTGTGCTCATTTGCTCAGTTATTGCATTCTTCTGCCTGGATTTTAAAGCAAGAGATTGCTTGCAGTCTAAAAACAATGTTAATATGAATACACAATAATATTACATTCATTTTAATAGTACCCATGACTGTAGACTACAGACAACAGTGTTAAAAAATATAATTTTGGTAGAAAAGTATCTTATACACAAGAAGATAGGTGGATAGCATTTTAGAGTGTGAATATACAACAAACAAGTTGTAGAAATAATATTTATTTATGAGATTCTATAAGGCCTGTCTAGGCCTCCTTCTCCACAAGCTATGGAAAATTGTGTAAAAGCAAATTAACAAATTCTGTGAAAGAATGGTGATAAGATAGACTATAATGATTGTTTGACTAAATAATACATCATTATTTTTTAATCTATTTTTTTTCTCAGGAAAGAAATATAAAGTGGCTGTGCCCTTTTACTTTTAACTTTGATTTTTTTGCTTGAAGCTAAAAAAAAATACCAATTATATTTTTCAACAAAATTTGATGCCTAAAAATACCAAACCATATTACACACTTTTTCAACAACAACAGAAAATGTTGATAACAAAATAATTTTTTTTGTGTAAATACATAAAACTAGGAAAAGAAAACTAAGAAAGGTAATCCCTATAAAATATTATTATTATTATTGTTATTATTATTATTATTATTGTTATTATTATTATTGTTATTATTATGTTGTTATTATTATTACTACCTAATTCTTTTATCGGTACCTTTGTTAGAAACATGCCTGCAGTATGACAGATTCAGCTGCTGTAACTGTGTTAAGTTGAAAGCTAGAATCCCAACACCTGCATTTGTCACTCCACAACAGTCCATCAAATCAAGGCTTGTAAGGTTCCTGACAAAATTTGCAATGTACTTCACTCCAACATTTGTAAGTTTGGAATGGGATGACAAAATCAAAGATTTTAAATTTCTCAAAAATGGAGCCATTCTTGCCATTCCATCATTACTTATTTCACAGTTTCTCAGGTCAAGAGTTTTCAACTGCGTAAGCTTGCTGGCAATAGTCGTGACTCCTCTGTCGGCCAATTTTTGACTGCTCAGTGATAATGACTCTAGCTTCTGTAGGTGTGAGGCAATCAAGTCAGCAGTATTGTCACTGATTGTTTCAACATACCCGACATCTAACACCTTCAGATTCGGCAAGCTCTTAATGAGAGTATGCATTGCAGAATCACTGATGCCATCGCAAAAGTCAAAAGCTAAACATCTAAGCTCAGTCAGCTTTGAAATGTCTGTGAACATAACCTCAATGTCTTGAACACTGTTTGCAAAATGCATGTGATCACCGCCACCAAACGACAAGTGTTTTATTTTGGTCAGGTGTTTTGTCACATGACCAATACCATCACTTGTCACAAAAGGGCAGTCCTTGACATCTAAAAATGTCACTTCTGGAAGATTCTTCGCCACAAGTTCAACTGCTACATCATTTATTCCATGACTCCATTTGAAGTCAAGTACAGTCAAATCCTTGAGATTCTCAGCCACATGTCGAACACCAAGCACAGTCACCCAGTCACATCCCCGTAAACTAAGGCTGGACACTTTAGGGCAGCTGTTTGCGAGTATCTTCAGACACCCATCAGTGAGCCCTTCGCACCAAGTCAAGTCCAACACTTCAAGCTCACTTAAATGCTTGACAAAACTTTGAAAGCCAGCTTCAGTGATGTTATCACAGTCCTCCAAAGTGAAACTGTTAAGTTTCTTGAGGTGAGGCCCACATGCCTCTAAAACACTGTCAGACAACCTCCCGCATCGTCTGAAGGAAAGGTGTTGTAACTCATGTAGTTTAGGGATTTCTTCTTTGAGAAACACCTCGCTTACCTGCGGGCATCCTCCTAGATTAAGATGAGTAATCTCCGGTAAATTAGAGAACAAAATAGATAAATCATCGTTGTTAGCCCTCGAGCAGTTCACCCTCGTTATTTTCCGTTTGCTGAGGCTTTTGACGAGAGCCTCTGAACAATCCAAAGGAAGCACTACTGTCACTCCACGCCATAAAGACGGCAAATAAGACACCCTTCTCCACAAACGACAAACTTGGGCAGCAATTTGCTTTTCTGAAACGTCAAGAAACGAGAAAACAAGCGCTGCAATATCTGGGATGAGAGGACCTTGATGGTCGGAAGGAAAACTCATTTCCACTTGTCAAAATGTGTTCAAAACCTCCTCCGATAAAAAAGGTATGAAAACAACAGAAAATGATATTCCGGGTGTGGCGTTTAGAAGATGTCTCACGGCAGCTTTGTTTTATCTTCAAACGAAAGCCTCTCGTCAATTTTGAAGTTCTCCTCCGAAAAAATCAAATATGGTTGCTCATATCGAATACGCCGGTGGTTTCGAGGGAAGGGACTGGTATTAAAATACGAGGGCGCAAATCGACTTTTTGCCGAAGTTATCCGAACTTGTACGAAAATCGTCAATTTCCAAAATGGCGGACGAACAACACTTGAACGGCGATTCAACTTTAGGTGGCGATGGTGCAGTTTCCGAAGGATGTTTAACGGCGGAATGCAAATTTAAGGTCCATACATTCTCTGACACGCTTCTTGATCAAAAGGTTCATTTTCAAATTCTCAAAATGACGGACAGTTTGTATGTCTGGATTGGTACCTCTCCAGAAATGAACGCACTTGCTGTTGCCATGTGTACAAAATATGTGAGTAGCCTTTAAAAACACCTTTTATAGTCCGCCACTTTCTACTTTTATCCAGGCTGTTATTGTGTGAGAAACTGAGTGTATTTCTGGTTTTCCTTTTTTGCAGGGGGCTGGTGCCCCCGGCGTCGACAAAACCNCCCCTGATTTCCTCCTCCTCATATCACCTTTGAGAATATGTACAAGAGAGATAGAGAAAAACTTGTTTTGGTTCCAACAGGATTCAGTACCATCAGTTGTCAACCTTATGGGAAGTAAAGCTGATCTAAGTTCAACGACACTTGCTCAAAGGCTTGGTGAGAACCCTGGTGCTTATTATGTTAGACTGGAAATCTTGGTTGACCAAGGTTCCACCCTTTATCTGTGATTAAGTCCTGGAGGAGGGCAGGTTTAAGATTTCTCAATGAAGTTTATTTGGTTTTGCATATGCATGTTTACAAGAGTTACCTTACTTAAAGTTCGCTCTGTATTATAAAGACAGTAAGAGAAGGCAAATTTGGTGCACTGTTATGTTTGTAGGCTTTTGTATGAAAACAAGCAAAAATAGTAGTGCCAAAATTAAGTGCATGGTATATGTTTACAACATGTTATATCCAGAGAAATCTAATGAAACCCTTTACCCCGAACAGTGTCCAGACACTTGGGAAACTGTCCCTTGACTGTTAAACAGCAGTGCAGACAAGCTTAAATTAAGGGGGATCATTCATGCAGTGAGACAGTGTGCTGGGGGTATTTAATTTTGCAATCACTCAAGTTTGTCAATTTAGCCTGTTTAAGGTAAATCATAAGATTTTCATTGGATGTTTAAAATTGTTATTTCTCTTTCACTGCTAGCTAAGAAGACCAGCAAACAGTGCTTTGTGAGCTACAATATACCAACAGAAAACATGCTGTTAAGTTTGGTGGAGCAAAGGATCAACCAGGAGATTAAAGACAAACCACAACTGTTCTAAACATCTGCGTTTAATTTATACGGTCTTACAAGAACTGCATGCCACTTTTTGCAAATCAAGAGGCCAAGGTACTCTAGTGAAGTTTGGACGGCACTGCTTTCGTGCATAGAAGCTAACTGCTTTATCTGACAAAGAGAGACCTTTTCAAACAGTGATGTATCTCTCTGTTTGTCAGACTTTGCCTGAAAACAACAGGGAAGTAAGGATATTTTTGCTTCATAGAATAATGTCTGGAGTTCTACCACAAGACTCGAGGGCACTCTCCTAAATGGATGTGTGCCAATTTGTCAAATGCATAGCTTGTTGTCATATAAACACTCAGTGACAAGTGCAGCTAGTCTCAGCAAGTTACATGTATAAACAGACTTTTTGTGATTGAACTCCATTGCTAAATGCAATCCTCTTAGGCTGGGAACAGTTGGCTGATTGCTGTGTATTTAGGGAAGAGGGAGCTCTTGTTTTTCCTCAAACAAGTATTTGTCTAATTCACAATAGAAATAAAACCAGACTGTGTCCAATCACGCATTTTAAGTAAAACACTGCTTGCCATGTTAAATAGATCTTTTCTTGTTGTAGCACTACCATGTTTATTTAACATGGCAAGCAGTGTGAATTCCTATAATTTGAGTAATACTAAGTTTAACTTTATTGCATACATTATATAAAACTGACATCCATAATTGTTCAAGCAGTGAAGAGACATTCCAAAGCATTGTTTAATATGTAGCAATATTTTGAATAAGGATTCAATTGTCGAATTACAATTCCTATTGTACAGTGTACAATACAACACTTGAGATTCTACAATTATGTAAACTTATTTACAGAATTAATTTATGACCAACAAACAGTATTTACAACTTTGTAAAAATGCAAAGATTATCATTCAAACAAGAGGAACTCTCTCCTGTAGATCTCAGTTCCCATTCTTCTGCAAGTCTCTCTTTGTCAACAACACTTATCAGATTGTGAGATAGATCCAGTTCTGTTAAAGAACTTTCTCCATCATTTTGACAAACTAAAGTTTTCAAAGCATCACAGAATGCTGCATCAAGTGGTGAGGTAACTCCACATGCTGATAAATTAAGTTTTTGAAGGGCTTTACTGTCCTTCGCTGCCATCAGCAGGGATTCTGCACCAACAGTGCTGATCCTTCCATTGCCACCCAGTATGAGACTTGAAAGTTTGCAGCTTTTTTGCAGTAAACTAGGAAAAATATGATAGCACGAGTGTTATCTTGTTGATCAGGAATGGGAATAGGGCTGACTGGAGCTACAGTCATCAGTAATGTTGTTGGACACACTTGCCCCTCCATACAGTTCTGTTAACAAAGCATAACTAGGGGCTTTACATAATTTATATCTGAACAAGAACAACTTCTAATGTGCTAATCACAATAGGTAACATCACTTCCCAGACTTCATGCATCTCTTGCATTCAGTCTTTTCTCCTTCCCATGGCAGGAGTGCCAGCTCATTTCCCAAATGGCAAGATATTAAAAATTAAAACAAACTAATGATACCAAGTCTGACCTTGCCAGGATTGGTACCCCATCATTTCCAATATTGTTACAGCTAAGATCCAGGTACTGCAGTCCAGAGAACATATGCCTGGCCTTCATAAGTATCTCTAGATCTTTGTCACCGATGTAACAATCTCCAAGAACCAGATCAGAAAGGGTACAGCCACTCTAAAAATGGCAACATCAAAACATTACAAACTGTTTATATGCAGTGGAAAAATACAAAAAATTTAACTGGCACTCAGTTGAATAATAGAAAATAACCAAGTAACTTGAATAAGTACTGGTACATTAACAGTGGAGGTTTTGGTAACACTTGACAATATTACGACTAACAAATCAGCTGTAGCCCTCAGATTCCAGATTGAAATAAAATTTCAAAGTTATGTCAGTTTCCTTTGAGGTAATCGAGAAACAAGGTGGGAAATGACCACAAATGTAACAGAAACCCCACTACATCACCATAATAATGTGCTAGGCACAACTGACACAAATCACTAAAATTAATTATCTGTGATTAACGTGATATGGCCCAGGCATGGCCTGAGAAATTTAATGCAAATAGCCTTAACTTCTCTTTTCCAAATTCCTCTTTAGATATAGTATTTGATTGTAACAATAATATTATTGGCTACATTTGTAGGTTCTTTTTACCACCTTAACACCAGACACATGCAATAGAAACACTTGTAATGACATACTTCCATAAATTCCACCATACTCTGAATAACTGATTGACTTCCTTTATTTTCCAATGACGACGTTATATTAAGGTGGTGCAATGATGCAGAAGGAAGAGCTGTTATCAAATTTGTTGTTCCCTGAGGACCAAGGGAATTGTAGGCTACAGACAGGTGCAATAACCTGGATCCTGAAGATGACATGGAATGCATTAGTGCTTTTTGATCAGCTGTCAAAAAAGTATCATTCACTTGCCTTGGTATTGCATTTACTGAGTTTTCTAATTGGTCCGAGTGAAGTATCTCTATGCTTTTAAAAATGTCATTAAAAACGCCACTATTACATATGTAAGTATTTTGAGCACTCTTTTAGACTGAGGAGACTGAAATAAGGTTTTCTTCATTTCAAGTTTACTGAATATAGAGTACCACTTTGTTTCATTGCTATAAACAATGCCACATTTGTGAACGTTCCTGAAATCTTTACTTTCTTATACAAACAACATTGCCTTTATTTCGAACATTAAATTTTCACATGTCAATAAAAACTAAACAAACCCAAGATATTATAATGAGTCATTTCTTCTGCACACCTTGAAGAAGGTTGCAATAACTCTGCTGCATTACTTCCCAGCTTGGGAATTGGAATTAATGATGACGATGAGCTCTACTTAGAGCACTAGAGTAACTATGAAGTCTGATTTCCAAGCCTAAAACAACACTAATAATTTGTCTTGCTATGATTCATGAAATGAACTATGATGTATATCTACCTTTAAGAGCCACAGGGAATTCTTTTCCTTGGGCTGTAACATGACTTGTGAGACCACAAGATTCAATTCTCAAAGTTGTCAGAATAGAACATCTGTTAAGAATCACAGCTAGTGAAGTGCCAGCACTGTCTCCCAGCCAGTTGTAACTGATGCTAAACTCTTCCAGTTTCTTCAGAGCACAGTTCTACAGAAAACTCAATATTACTATTGCACATATTTGGCTCTTACATAAGCTGCTTTTGATGAGGTCTTTGAAGAGGCACTCTGAAAGAGTTTGTTGAAGGTTTTTCTTGAGCAACAGCACAAGCATGTCCAAGTACACAATAGACACATCACTAAAAGTTATATCACAACTTGGATTACCTGCATTACTTTGGCATGACATGTAGGCTTGATATAGCCAAACAGTTTGTATCATAAGCACGTTAAACACAACAGCGCCATTTTAATTGGTCATAACAAATTATAGTAAATTAATTGTATTCTTATAGTTGGGAGAATTTGAGTATACCTATTACAGTAATTTTTAATGCCATTTGTTTCTTTATTCCTTTAACCTACATTCTCGACTTTGTATTAGAACTGAGAAGAAATGAGATGATGATTGATTCTATATAGACGAAAGGTTGTCTTCACACCTGCTGTGTCCCTGAGCTTGTGGAGTCCCTAGTAGTTAAAGCACTGGCTATGAAGGATAGCCCTTTGTGAGTTATTCCATTAGATGTCAAGTCCAACACAGTGAGAGATGGGAGAGTAGACAGAGCTGCTGCCAGATGCTGGACACCAGAGTCACCTAAAGGGATAGAACATATTCTCACTGGCCAAGTAATAATAATTATTGTATTGAAAGAAGTAATGTACAAATTATAACTGCTATCGGTGGTTTCTTTCTGAAGAGGTAGTGCGTTTCTTTGGACATCTAGCTCAGCAACAAGTACATACAGTCCTTCAAAATATGTCCTTTATAATCATTTATTATTAATATTTATCATTATTTTTTAATTATTTATAATTCATTTATTCATGCTAAGCAAATACTTTTCCAAAGTCCTCTGGTATCACATTGAGCAACTAAATATCTATCAGCCTTATTTATAGTACTGTAAAGTTCTGGTTAATTTGGGCTTTATGGTAGCCTTTTATTATTGCAATTTTTGAACGGTACAACTTTGCATGGTCACCACAGATCCACATTAATAACCAAAGGTAACAATCCTTCCATTGTATCATTAAAACTGGGTTGTCACTTGTCACTTGTGGGAACTTTAGGGTATAATATCATGTACCACATGTACATACCTATCCTGTTGCCAGGTAGTGTAAACTTGGTGAGAGTGTCATGACACTGGAGAGCTCTGATCAGTGGTAGTACATGGACATCTTGTAAAGCTTTGTTTGATAAGCTGAAGCTTGATAGCTGTGGATCAGCCTCAAGGATGTGCAGTATGTCTGTTCTTGTTGCTGGACAAACATTATGATGCCAGAAACATTAATTACCTCAAAATCTAGTAGCTAACCTTTTTGCAGCCTAAAATAATACAACACATTCGAGTAGCATGTAGATAGCACTAGCTAACAGTGACTAGTGACGGAAAAAAATTACTTAATATGTTTTACAAGCTACTCATCCTTACAACAAAATATTAACAACCTTGTCCACATGGTCTCTCTTTTTCCCTCCCCCAGAGCAGGAAGAAGAGAGACTATGGGAATATTAGCTGACAATAATAAGTGATCTACAGCTAAGTCAATTTCAAAAGACGTAAAAAAATTTGAAACTGGTTAATAGTGAAAAGAATAACCCAGTCAAATTCTGGTCATGTGCATAATGGCTAAACAATTTAAAGAACCATCAAAATAGTGGCCTCAAATTTGTTAATAAATGTTTCATCTTAAAGTAACAGATTGATAATCACTTACTTGTATTGGAATTGGCACATGCATCACGATATCTTTCAGACAGAGCTGGCAAGTCCCAAGATTCCACAGATGCCATGACTTCTTCATTATTTGACAGTACATCTGAAATCTTATCTTCCACTGACAGAAAAGCTCCTTCCCTTGTTTTCAAGGCCAACACAGGACGAAGGCCAAAAGATGAGAAGTACCTGAGAGCAGCCTTCAAGGTGAATGAGAAACAAATTTATGTTGAGGAACACAGGGCTGTATTCAAGTTTTCATTCACCTGTAGCCTTGATCACGGCAGGTAGTCCCTTGGACACGGCAGGTAGTCCCGAGCGGGCAAGATAGCTCTATCTTGCCCTCTTGGGTAACCAATCACAGCACAGGATATAATAGTCATATAATAACAGGTGTTACAGGTTACAGCCCTTATTGACAGTCCTGGAACACAGTCCTACTGGCTGTTATTTGCATTCTTGGTTCCTACTATTGCCTTGCATCTAAAAAACATTTTCAGTATGTACAGTTGACTCCCAATAACTCAGTTACATTAATGCTGCTTTTTTATCCTGTAGTTTCAAGTATTTTGTCAACACTATTTCAGGACTTCTAGTCAAAATTCACAGATGTCTCAGAGAGAGAACATCCAAATTTGTCATTCTCAATGACTTTTCAAGGCTGTGACAATATTTCAAGGACTTTCAAGTCTGTGCGAACTGTGTCAATTCCACCATAACCCAAGTCTTAGGTTGAGGGTGGATTTGCTTTCAATTATTGAAGCTTGATATTTCAAAGTTGAGACTGTCAAACTTGAGAGGTGTAAATGTACAAGGGTACTGGCGATTCAGAATGGAATGTTTTAACAGATGGGCAGGGGGAAGGGGTCAAAATCAGGCAGGGGTGAAGGGGGGTATAGATATTCTCTGGAGCAACACACATGTGAGGTGTAAAGAAAAATATTACAAGCAACAGTTACCATCAACATTCTCACTTACCTGTTCAGCCAGCCAACCAATATTCTTGGCTTCTTGTGCACAGCCCTGAGGACATGGAATCAGAAAAACTTTGCCCTGCACCTGTACCCGCAGGCGCATGGGTGGTGTCCCCCCTGGGGCCACGATATGTCTAGGACTTGTTGCAGAGATAGTTAATCCAGAGTTTGCACCTGAGATGGTAGAAACAGCCTCTGGTCTAGATGGTACTGGGGTGGAAACATTAACAGAAGGGACATGAATTGAATTCTGATGTGTTCTAGCTTCTTTGGAAACAGCTAATGTTGATTGCTTCGCACAAGGCATTTTTTGTGATACACCAGGGCTTAACCCATGTTTAGGCCTGGTAATTGTTGCATGGTTAATTCTTTTTCTCTGCTGTAAAGACCCTGGAAGCTTCACTTGTTTTGCTGGACGTTTACGTTTGGCAGTTCTTGGCCCCATGTCATTAACAAGCCAATCTGCAGTTTTTTGAGTGACCAGAGATGGCACTCGACCACTCAAATGACTGGTACTTCTAGCAACAGGATCAACAAGAGTAGCTCCCGTAATAACAGAGTCTTGATCATTCCAGTCTACCATTTCAATTCCATTGTTCCCTTCATCCATCGATGAATATGTGCTATCCACATCTCCATTATCATTTTCTTCATAGTCACTGGCATCAGAAAATGTTTCAGCAACATCAGAAGGAACCATATCATCAACACTGCTATCTATCCGTAACCCAGTCGACTGGTTCTCAATATGATTGCCAGAATAATTTTGAAACTGTGTAGATGAGCTAGAAGGAAAAGATAGGATAACTTCATGCTGGTTCTCTTGTGAATCATCATCTTCCCTCATTAACCCTTTGTTGGTTTTCTTTGGATGTATTTCGTCTATGTCTTCTGGACTACTCTCTTCACAGACAGTCCCATTCATTCTTTGAAGTCTCTCCATCTCTTTCTTCTTCAATTTTTCATTAAATCTCTTTAAAGCACTTGGTGCACTTTCTCCAGAAGAGTCTCCTTCGTCACTGTCATCATGAAAGGCAGTATTTCTTCTCCTTAATTCTGCACTATTCTCAGCCCCTTTGTAATTTCGAAGGAATTTAACTACCTGCTGTCTTCCTGTGGATAAGCTATCATCAGTCTTATCAATTTTAAGTGTTTGGATTGCAGAATCCAAGGCTGTGCATCCCTAGTGACAAATAAATATCAGAATCTCCATGTGATTAAAACTTCAATCCCCTTACCTTGCAAAATAATTGCAATGTTGCCCTGGATTTACAGGGGTTTTCAGTTTGCAAAGAAAATAGATATTATATAAGTCAGAGCCATTATTTGATGATCATTAAATTCATTTCATCTATTTTTTTGACAATTTTTATAAATTTAATTTATTCAGTTACTGATCTTAAGGGTTGCTGTATACTTTAAGAGGTGTCTTGTGTCCAAGTGATGAGGGGAGTCCAGTTCAAACTGAAGATATCTAAACCCCTATATCAAATTAAAGCTCATGGAGCTGGCCGACTAACTATACATGTACCAAGAAAACTGAAACAAAATGAACATTGTAGAATTTTTCTTGACCTCTAAAAGAAGCATCCAAATCACCTTCTGAAAGCTACAAGTCAAAGCAATTTTTTTTCCACTTATTTGTTCCTCAGTTTCAGTTGCAGTAAAAAGTAAAAGAAAACTTTCAAAATTGGGCAAAAAAATGTCAAGTGATACTACAAAATCACTGTTGGAGAAAAAATATTTCAAAAGAATAAAAGTCACAAACAGGTCTTTATTGTTTATATGTTAAATTAGCTACTGTCCAAATTTGAGGGCAAACAAACAAATTCCCTCTGACTTGTACCTTTCAAAAGGTTATTTGGATGCCAGCATTAAGAGGTCATGAAAAATTTGACAGGGATGGAAATTAACGGTAAGAGGTATGATCATAATAGACTTTCATACATACTTTGCTGTCTTTCAGGTTGATAGATGCCCCATGTGACAGCAAGAGCTTTACCACATCAAGATGACCATTTTCAGCTGCATCATGAAGCGGTGTGACACCACAGCAGTGTTGACCACTCTGGTCATTAACATTTGACCCTGCCATCAGCAAAACCTTGGCCACATCTGTTGAAAAGATGAAAGCCTTGGAGTCACATGTTAAAAGTCAACCAAAACACTCTCCTTTCTGCCTTCCATGCATTTTTGTCATTAAATATAATCAATTACAGACATCTTCATTAGAGAAAAATTGGCTGTAGGTGAAGATTTTTTCCCTGAGATAATTAGTTAATTTACTTTTTTAATTTGTCCATTAGAACCCGAAATAAGACTGTAAAGGGAAATAAGGATTTTGTGACTGCTGGGATTAGTTAGGACCAAAAAATCATTTCAATTAATAGAAAAAACTTTGACCATACCTGTGCAAGGAGGGCTTTATATGGAACACAGAAGAGTGTTTCTAGTCACACCAAGAAAACTAGACTTGCTATAATTTGACCTCACTTAATCATCACCCTTAAGCGAACCTTTGCTTAATCATCACCCTCAAGCAAAGCGAGAGGCAGATCTAGTGAAGCGCAAGGCAGATCTTGAGTAAAAAAGTCACAAGAGGTTGTCCACATCTGTCCTAAGAAAGGCCACTACAAATTTCAAGGGGGAAAGGGGTTTCAAAAGCCCAATTTTAAAGGGAAGTACAAGGCCAGGTGACAATTTACAAGAGACTGTGATAGTGAAGGGAGTAACACAAATTAACATGCCTTTTGTGGGAGGGATATGGATATCTTCTAGAACAACACAATCACAAAAAATACACCAGATTCTTATTATTTCATTTTCTTAGTTCCTACTAAATCTGGGTAAAAGGCTAAAGTGAGGCTCGTGTTGTCAGCCTTTTGTTGTTGTTTATAATGAGGGATGAACAGGACCTAAGTGACCATGGTTGCAAGCCTCATGAATGGGAAGCCACCCGCAGTAATCTCTTGCATTGACATCAGCACCCTGAAAGAGTAAGGAAAGAATAAAGTCAATGAAAATGATGAATATTTATTACAGATGTTCAGTGTTTTCAGTTGGGCCTGTAATACATGTGAGAGGTCTCACTAGTGATATAACTTGCCAATAAATGATGCAACACAGATTAAAGAAGTAATGTTCTACCTTGCTCAAGTGAAGAAGTTATTCAGAACTTCCTAATGTTACAGTATTTCAAAAAATTAATGTTTCCACTTCAGAAAATAGCAGTATATTTCTTGTCTTTTTGAAGTTTATGACCTAGTTAACATGTCAGTTATAAGATTTTCATTTTATGTGCAACACAAGGAAATGAACCAGAAAACAAACCAGTTTTATAATGATAATATACCATGTAAGCAGAGCATCTTTTATTACTTTACCGATAAGGAGGAAGAAATTGAGTCAAGTCTTTGAAGTTGTCCCAGCCCCAACTTCTGGGCTAGTCATTTCAGTTTACAGTCACCAAACCAGTTGTTACAGCACAGGCATTGGTTTTTCAGAGAAACTGACAGGCAACACTGATTCTACTGAGTGTATGAATGCAAAATGGCACTGTGCAATAGTCAACAAGGCTCTGCTTTATGCGATAGCTGTGTCAGAAAAAATATAACATCTACGTAGGCAGAAGTTAATCTTATTAAAAGCATATTCTGATAGGTGTCAGTTGGCATTATTTACTTTAAAGAACGTGCCTGCAGTTGTCAGCAGTCAGCAGTTAGATACATTTTCAGTGGTTAGCTAAGTTTTCAGTGGTTAGTGGTTAATGATAGTGGTTATTAGTGATCATGGCTGGTCCCATATTCCTGGCTTAAGTAACAGCCTAGTTCATGAAATTGGCTTTGGTAGTATTTGTGAAAAATATGTTTCTTTAAATGCAAACTTTTTATATGTTAGAGTTGTGCACTTGATCAAGCAAATGATTGAACTTATTAAATGAAACATGCAGTGCAGCCTTTGTAAAAGAATCTAGCTGCTTTTGGCACGGATGAATACCTTATTCTTTACAGTAAAGAGCAAAATAGCCTTTACAATGCAAAATTTGTAGTGATCAAAGAAATCTGGTGGGTCACTCCATCCCAAGGTTATCTAGCAAGTAATGCTTCGTTTACATATGCTCAACAATGATTTGACACAATTTATATAGGGCCTCTCTTAGTGGGACCTGACCCATCTGTAAAGAAATATTCGGGTGTAATACGTAGGCTTGCCTTTGCTAATAGCTCTTTAACACGCTGTGAATTTCCAGCAATTGCAGCCTCATGAAGTAGAGTCTCCCCTTTCTCATTAACATGTTTTCGCTGTAAACAAAAAAAAACTTTCTCAATAACCTTCAATTATTACAAAATGGAAACAAACTGCAAATTACTAGGGGTGAAAACTCTGTTTTGATGGGACTAATCTGGACAACTGATCTACAAAATACACCTAAAGAAACACACTTACCCAAAATTATTTAGACTCACTTGGGAGACTGGGAATGTTCTAAAGGCTTTTCACCAGCACATAAGCATAAGCCGACACATGTAGACACAGTAAGATGCTGATAACTAGTACCTTTTGTTGGAAATTTCCAACAAAAAGTGGTAATTATCAGTCTCTTACTGTGGCTGCATATGTCACTTCTGCTTATGCGCCAGTGAAAACCAGCCTTAACCTTCATCCCTCATATCTTGTTACAAATACTTTACACATTGTCAATCACTTTCAGTGTTGTTCATTTACATGACTGTACTGTCAAAATGAAAATTGACAACTACTGCTAATTACTGTAGCTTACCTGACGTCTTGTTCTTATTGGTTTTAAATTATTTTTAGCTCTAGTCTCGTCTCCTTCATTGTCATCATCACAGCTTTCATCTTCTAAACCAAGAGCAAAATATATTTGATCATCTACTTCCCAGGGAATACATGTTGTCCTTTTCTAACAACTTGAAACAACTGTAACTTTTCTAGCGCTCAGTAGCAATTTTTGGACATTGCAGTATTGGTTTGAATTTTACTTGGACAAATTGTTCCATTCACAACTGATGGTTAATTTCATTAACGTGTCCCATGAAAGAGTTGGGAGTAGGCCTACCAAGTGGCTGTCCACCAGAGCGAGTGGTGAAGAGTCACTGAAGCCCTATGCCCCACCTGACAATGATAGGACAGATGATGACGATGATGATGACGCCCCAGTAAAACACTTTTCAATCACACTGTTTATCTTTTTCATCTGAGTGATATTAATAACTTATGGTTATGTTCTATTGGTTTAACAAAAAGTTTGGCTTCAAAGTGTTATATATATATCTGAAACAATTATCAGCAAAAACAGTTGCCATGTGTTCTTTATTGAAATCTTAAGCCATAAATTACTTCATCTAAACAAAAAACGCGTGTAACCAATCACAGCAAGGCATACTAGTGTCATCACCAGTCAATTTACTCTTTATTTTCCTTAGTTTCAAAATTTTGTTAAATGTGACACAAAGGAAAAAGAAAGTCAAACTGGTTTTAAAGAATTGTGCACCAAAGACTTGAAACAACAATGTCCTTGTATGCACTGATTCTGATGTTGGAAACTTGACTTGCACTTACCAGATTCTGATAGTAGTAAATCTTTTGCTATCAAAACTTCTGTAAGTTCATCATCATTATTATTTTCTCCTTCCTCATCACTGTCATCACTAATGTCCTCAACACCGAACTGATTTTGAAGTTCTGCAACTTTATCAAGTGACTTTTTGTACTTGTCTGTGAGATCAAATGCTTTCTGAATACATGCCAAGCACTTCCAAACCCTAAGCTGTTAAAATAAAGGTACATTTTCTTAGAGAGAACTTGCAGACATCATAAGGAAGGCATCACCAGTGATAAAGACAAAATCAAATTTTAGAGCTTACAGAGACTACAGTAAGATGGACAATTTGTTTTCATGAGAGTGACACTCCCAACACTTTGTCCCAATCTCAGCACTAGTCAGTCATATTTCAGTGATGCTTTAGCATGCATACAGATTGCCGACATTAGTTTTTGTCAACCAAGAAGCTAGAGCTGTTCTCAGCTATGCCTTGAGCAACTCTCATCTTTTAACTCCTTTGTGCATCCATAACATCAGACTCAAACTAAACATGAACCAATTTTACATTGACAGTAATGTTTGTTTTTGTTGCGAGTTTAATGAATTCAAGCAACAAACAATTTAAGCGTAGTCCTACCACTGACTGAGGCTTTTCAGATTGTTCTGCGTATGCCAATGCCTTGATGTAAGCGTCTTTGATTTCTTCATAAGTATGCCCTGCTTTTTCATGAACATAAGCAATGTTACACCACGTGTCGCACATCTGTAGAGAAGGAGAAGGACAGAATTATGGGTTTGGTACTTCTGATGAATAAAACACGACCACAGAACTCCAAGAGGTGGGGTTATTACTCTTTCTACAGAATGCTAAAAGGAAAGATTGCAAATTATAAGAAAGTTTAATTTTTTTGTCAGAACACTTGCAGGCTTCTCTCTGCTCAGAAATACTACTTTGGAAAGGTCAACATTCTACTCTTGAGCTCTTTCCTAGCAGTTTGATGGATCACGTTGTTTTGTTCTAAATAATTCTTTTGGATACCTCTGTCACAGCAATACCTTGGTTACACCTTAGAAATATAAATATACATATTTGGACTTCTGCAAAAAAGAACTGTTGAGAGAAAAGAAACTTTTACCTCTTTGTAATTCCTTTCCTCCATTATTTCCAGTTCTTCCATGTAGCAGTTGATTGCATCAGCTGGACACTTTAGATCAAAGTATGTTATTGCAAGAGACACGTAGATGGATGACAGCTCCTTGTGAGATTTCCCTGCCACTTTGGCAAGTTCAAGCTATAAAATTTAGATATTGCTGGTCAGGGTAAGAGTAGGAGTAACTGGGGCTGCGCTCAACAGGCACTTAATTGTGGCAAAAATATCATTACATACTGTAAAAGCCTTCTAATAACAAACAGCAAATTGTAGGGAAACAATAAATAAGTGCTTCTAACTAAAGCTGCAATACCTCTTTCTTGTAACAGCCAAGAGCTTTGTGGAAAGCCTTCACTTGGCAGTACAGGTCACCAAGGGTATCCAAAATTTTAATCTGTTCATCCAGAGAATGTTCTGAGAGTCTTGTCTGTTTTCTTTGAAATCTAATTCCTTTGATGGCTAAGAGAACAAACAACATGACTAAACTTACAGTGTTTGTAATATGAAACACACAAAATAAAATTAAGAATAGAAATGACTACTCCAGTTCTTGCCAGATTTTCCTCACTATTGTTAATAAATGCAATCTGTTCTCCTTTTACAATAATAATGATGATGAAAACGATAATGATAATAATATATTTATATAGCGCCTATCCAGATCTGTTGTAAGAGCTTTACAAAAAGTAAAGGAGCTAAAAAGAAAGTTCTACGAGATAAAAATACAGAGTACAATGATAAACAATGTTCAAAAGTCAAGTAACATATCTCTGTTAACAAGCTACAAATGCTTAAATTGCGCTGGAAGATCAAATATTTGCAAGCCTGAGACAATTCATATTTGCAGAAAGGGGGCAGCTGAGATTAAACCACATAATATGCCAAAGAAGTAATGATGCTGTGGCACTATAGAAATCTGCACAGTGTCTGTCTGATTGTTTGCTGGGACAGGAAGGCTTAGAAGTTTTACGTGCAAGCAATAATCAGTCAAAAACACCATGTAGACATCTTTGACCAGGTACATGTATATGTTATTGATATGGAATATTGAGATGGAATATTGTTCTTCAGTCTTTGACTCAGGGGTGGAAATGAGGATACAAAGACAAATTTCTGTTATTACTCCCATTACAAATTGGCTAACAGGTGAAAAAGTACAATTCATCACCCAATTTTATTTTAGCACAGAAACAGACTGAGAAAAGAATAATCAACATTGCGCTAATGTTACCTGTTGCCAAGCAGGATTTAAGTTCCTCCATATCATCTGATCTTTTAGCTTTATTTATAATGTATGCTTTCTTTAAATTCTTATGACCAGCTGCAAATTCTCCAAGTTTTAGGAAAATCTAAATTAAAAAATAATGAAATTAAAATGAAGTCCTTCAAGCTCACAATGTTATGTTTTTCAAGTAAGATAACTAAATTAATAACCAATTGTCTCAACAGAGATACACAAAAGGTCCAATATGAGGAAATCAAAGAAAAAAACTTCAAGTCACTTGGTGGTCAGCCATGTTGTTAGGCTGATTTAGACAGTCTGGTTTTTGACTGTTGCTTGAAACATGCTCACAGTATGACTATTCACACACACTCACCACCTTGCTGCAGTATTGTAAGCAAGTTGTACACCATGCTAAAAAACTTTTGTCCACTCTGCATGCTGCAAGCATGTTGCACCAGACAGTCATAGGCATAAACTGAACTACTTAAATCAGCTCTTACACAATACTCTGCTCAATCTGTAAAACTGGCATAACAGAAGAAGGAATAACTTTTTGTAAGTTCCCTCATCATCTTCAATGGAATTCACTGGTTCTTCCTTGTGTGCATGACAATTTCTTGAATACATTTAAACCCCTCTATGTTGAACTTGGTTATCTTGAATTCCCCTCAATGTTAAATGCAAATTGTTTTCTGTCGGATATGCTTTTTCTGTCATTTAATTATTGGCTTTCTTTAACCTGTGCCACCTAGTTTTTGTTTCCCTTAGCAGGGTCCATTTATACTATCTAGAGTCTAAAATACCTTTCCCAACATAGCTAAAGCATCAGCCTCGTCAAACTTCTTGTTTCCATGTCTAGCCACCTGCAGTGCCTGTTCGAAGCACCTCAAGGCATGTGCATCTTCATCTGATTTCATCCGAACACTTCCAATTGAGAACAGACAGAGGTATTCAGTGTCCTTTAGGCCTTGTTCTCTATGGAAAGAAGCCAAAACAAAAAAAAATTTAATCACTCACTGTTATTACAGGTGTTTACAAAATACAATGGAGTGTCTAGTAAAAAGGTTGAAAACAGTGTAATTTCAATTTTGGTAAAAAATATGGAATGTGACGCATCTGAATAAATGAAGAAAGTGAAAAATATACCTTGCAATGATCAAGGCCTTTTCCATGAAACTTTTGGCCCTAGAAGAATCCTTCTGGTTTTCATAAGTAAGACCAAGGTTCAAATACAACCTTGACCTCATCTCCAATAGTTCCTTCTCAGAAACTGTTTCCCGTAACTTGTCACATACAGCTAGGCTTTTCAGGTAAGCTGTCTGCGACTCAAGCAAGCACTCCTCTACTTCATCATTGCTGGCTGCATCATCTGAGTGGACAAACCATGTGCGCCCAATAGTAGCTAAGGCTCTCTGTTCCTCTACTAGGTTCCCCGCTGACTGAGCAAGCTTTTAAAGAAAATAAAAGACAGGTACATGTACAAGATAAATTTTTTGTCGATGTTAAGTGGTATACCTAATGGTAGGTAGAAGGAACTGTTTTAGTCAAGTGGGTTACACAATATACACAATCAACTTTTTGCAATAATTTTAACATTGGTGTGACTTCTAATGACTTTACCAAAGAAATCAAATGTAGATGTAGAATAATTTGCACAATAATCAATACTGCAATGATTAAATAAATCACCAAGAGAAAAAAGTAATTTGGAATAATAAAATGTAAAGCAGTCGTTATCTGATGTTGTGTTGCTAACTAAAACACAATTCGTGATGATTTTTTCATACCTCAAGATGTAAAGTTTGGTGAAATAGAGCCTCCTTGTACTTTTTAAGTGCACACAGGCATTCTCCTACTTTTCGGTGAGCAATGGCAGTTCCAATAGTATCCTGTCCTGCTTCAGATAGCTGAACTTCTCTGGTATGTTCTTTGACAGCCTTCTCATAATACCCTACAAATGAAGTTTATGACAAAATTATCACTTGAATTGTACAGTCAAGTTATTAATGTACTTCTCGCGTATTTAATAAATGTCTTGCAACAGCCCATTTCCAAGTTGCCCTAAGTCTCTCCATCAAAGTGAGGCCTGGTGCACAGCTATTCATAAGAAAATGAGTTTAATTTGCATGAGAATGAAATCTCATTTTCATATGAAAGGATGGGCACCAAGATTCATTTGGGAAGGAAGCTAAAGGTAATTTGAAAATGACCTATTTAGTCCATCTTTGAGCCTCATGGCCACCCCACAAGAGAACATTATAGCTCAACAAGATCACTGTAAATGTATAGAAAGACTGTCCACAGTCTACACAAGTCATATATAGATCAATCCAGCTCTTGACTGCACACATTATAACTGATCAAAAGGAATATGGTACATAGACCACTGCCCCCTTACAACCACATGGTTAAATATGCAATCAGCTTACTGATACAACCTTCTTATTATGACCATTTTCTTTTGGCCAAAACAAGGATCATCAATCATGAATACAACCCAATTAATATAACTACGTCTTGGTATTCGGCATACAAGTTAACAAGGTTTGACTATATGTACAGGTAGTTAGGTGCTCCTACCATATTGGAAAAGCCACTCTCCCACAGCATTGCAGAGCTTGGCCTCTTCTGCTAAGTCCCCTTTTTCCTGAGCTTTAATTTTCCTTTTATTTAGTTCTGAATCAAATCAAACAGAAATAATCAAGAATAGAAAATTAAGAGCACTGTGTATAGGTTATAACTACAGTGCAAGCAAAAGCTTAAGCACAATCAAATGTATTAATCAGTAGCCTTTGAAGCAGGACACGGCTTGTTCTAGAGCCATGTTGGCTTCTTTCCTCAAGCAAACGGGCATGATACTTTCTGTTTCTGTGAAGATGTTGAAACTTTAGAATAGAGAAACAGCAAATAAAGTAGTCAAATGAAGAAAGGTAGTAACTCGGATTGTAATTATTGAGCACTGTACACATGACTTATGAGGGTGAACTCATCAGTGACGACAGAAATTAATCAACCTGCTGTTGGGAGTAATATCATTACAAAATCAAAACTGTTTATCCTCTGTATCTCTGAAAGGAAAACAAAAAAAAATGTAGGCAGTGATTTGGCATATCTGAGAGCCATTGAGGTATACTGATACAGTGAAACCTGTATTAAGCAGACCCCCTATTAAGAGGATACCAAATTGAGTCCCTAAATTTTCTTCCCACATTTTACTGTAAAACAAACCTGCATTCAGCTGACACTTCTATTTAGCAGATGCGGACACCAATATTGACATATTTTGTAGCACAAAACCTACATCAAGCAGACATTTCAAGAGCTTTTTACTTCTAAAAGTGGTCTCAGACTCCTTTAAAATTTATTGTTCAATGATGTAGTTTTAAAGCTAAGTGACTTACTCTGTGTCCTCTTAATAAAATGATGGCCTCAGTTTTATGAACGTCTGTGCACTATATTTTTATAGACTTGTTAGTCAGAAAATACTGATTGCAAATTATCAATACCCTGCAATCAGGCATTAATTTTTGTTTTGTTTAAAATGGTGAAGATAAAAAAAAGGAACATATAGGGAAAGATTGCAGGTTAACTTATTTACTATGGTTTGAGATTGGCTGAGTAGTCCAATTTGTAAGTAACTGGTTTGCTTTTGGTTTTACGACGCTAAAATGAAACCCACTCTGTTGTACAATTTATCAGAACCTGTTTTAAGCAGACACCCTGTATTAAGCTGACACTAATTAAAGTCTCAAGGGTGTCCGCTTAATACAGGTTTCGCTGTACCTTAAAATAAACAAAGGTATAAATATTTAAAAATCTGAAAGATAACGTCGCCTTTGACATTGCCCCATCCCCGGGATGACAAGTTATAGCAAATGCCATACCCTGTCAAAAAGTCTCAAAATGCCCAGGAGGGAAATCAACAGGGTTGAATCTGACCGAGCCACAAAACTAGTACAGTGAAGCTTGAACGTAGTTACAAGAAAATTTGCACTGAATGTCTAAGATACTTCGTCTACCTCAGGCATTTACAGGAGTTTAACGCATGAGTTTTAGCTTGTGACCTAAATTCCAGGCTTCGAAAAGGTAGAGTGGGATTGGAGTAGAAGCCTTGTCAAAAGTTTCATACGACACGGTCACAAATATAGCTAGTCAATGTATTAAGCTGAAGGCATGGAAAACATGAGAACATACGCTTTAGCTCCCTTTGGAGGTTTGCTTCCATTTGAATCGACCAGCAGTATTCATCTAATTTTCATCTTTTCGGAAAAAGGTAAAATATGAAGACAGGCCAAATTTCACCTTCAAAAATGGCGGGTTCTTCGCTCGGTTTGATCTCGTACCCAGTTTTCACTCGAGTGTCTCGTTTTCGTTTTGAGATGTGGTGTTACCGCTGGGATTTTTTCACAACCGCAGGCTATTTTTGTGGACGATAAAATACCTTCCCACAATTCTTTGTACCCCGCAGGAGATTTTATTGTTGACGAACGAAGGGACCAACTTGTATATGTGTCGTTTACTTCTGTGTTTATTTTAATGTCGCAACAGGAATTAATTAGAATTTAGCTCAGGAGTGTTTTAAGCACAGGATTGCTGTTTACCTTTTGAGACTGTTAAATTCCAAGCACGTATATCACCGATACGTGGTGTACCCTGAGTGTACTTCTCTCTTCCTTTGAATTTTTACTTACGGACGTTCAAAGATGGCGTCCGTTTTTCGAAAATTAGTAAGACGCGAATCACGGAATGCAGACGGTTCGGACAAGAATGGATGTAAGGCGAAGGGAGACGATCACAAAAGCCAAAGAAAGGATGGCGAGATAAGCAGTCAGCCTCAGGAGAGCAACGAAACAAGACACCTAAATTCTCATCCGGCAAAATCTCAAGGGACTAACAATGGTGTGAAAGTCAGCGACGGCGAAATGTCCTCTTCGCATGCTGAGAGGGTGAGAGCAAAGCGTCTAATGAAAGAGTTTCACGATGTGACCATGCGATGCGATAACAAATTGTTTTCAGCGGAACTTGTGGAAGATAACCTTTACGAATGGAACGTAAAATTATACAAAATCGACACGGATAGTTTGCTCTATAGGGATATGGTTGAAACTGGAACCAAGTTTATTCTTTTGAATATTACCTTTCCCGACAATTTTCCATTTGCACCACCTTTCATGCGAGTTTCAGCGCCACGAATTGAAGGCGGATTTGTTTTAGATGGCGGAGCGATCTGCATGGAACTTTTAACTCCCAAGGGTTGGAGCAGTGCTTACACAGTGGAAGCGATAGTGTTACAATTTTCGGCCGCGGTTGTGAAGGGTCAAGGACGAATCGACAGGTCCACTAAAAAGGCATTTTCTAAGAAAGAGGCAGAATCAGCTTATAAACGATTGGTAAAGACTCATGAAAAATATGGATGGGTTACACCACCAAAATCAGAAGGTTAGCCGGCTAGAGAACTGCGGAGGTCAAATTTTCATGTAGATACAAGTACATCCAATCGATTCCATCGGGAAAAAGTTCATTGTTCACATTTACAAAATTGCTTTTGTTGTTGTTCATCGGATAGCAACATTTAACATTAGTGTTTGCTTCAAGGAAAAAACTTAGAGATTACAGTGGCCAGTTGGAGGAGTTTTGTTTTCGATTTTCAATTTTCTGTTTTAAGTTTGAAATATAAACATTCATCGTCTGTTGTGGAATTATTTGATGTGCGCAGATTTGGTATTAAATTTGTTCTATCACGGTTTTATTCTGATTTCGCGGAGTTTTACTCACAAATTTTTATTTAACTCTTGGAATCTTTTTAGGGAAGTAAATGGGGGAACGATTTGGAATCAGTTTTCTACCAGCTGTAAGTTATTGTCCTACTAAAAGCACACCCTTTTCATCATGTGTGTTAATGAAAAAAATTGTAAAAATTTAAGCTTAGGTAAAATTGCTAGTCATTCAAACAATTAAATGACAAAATTGCTGTTAAAAGCTTGTGGCATTCAGTATGTAAATACATTATTTCCACATCTCACTTACATTTTTATTTCCTTGAGGCAGTGTTTTTGTGTCGTAGGATTAAAATAATTTTAAGATAGCACATACCAGCTGATGTTGTGTCCTGTTTCTGTCATGTTAAGAGGAAATTGCTTTAGGATATCGTCAAATGCCCAAAAACCAAACTGATATCAAATTACAGTGAAAATGTGAAACAACCAACAATTGAAGAAATGGACTGCTTTGGCTTTTATTGTGGCATGGGAAAGTTATCATAAACATTATACTGCCACCTGCAGTACACTAGTGGCAATACTTGTGGACTGCATCTTTTCTACATCCCAGACTGGAAGAAAGCAAGTTCAGTTCACTCAAATGTCTTAGAAATATGCCATCGAAAGAAATAACTTTGAAGGCACGTTATATATATGTATGCACATTATTGTATTAAAAGTGTTTTTTTTTAGGCAGGATGTCTCAAAGGATGTAATTACCTTGTTCTGTTTTATGGAGTCAGTGCATAAAGAAAGCCATTAGTACAGTTAATTGTTATGAATACATTTACCAGTGGGTTTTGTAATTTTAATTTTTTTTCTTCTGTGAAGAAGTCTTACACAGGTTCAATTTTAAGTGATTCTCTGCTAAATAAGTTTAGGTGTAGACTGATTTCTTTGCTAGTACCAAAGAGATAAGGCTACAATCTTGGTATGGTAGATATATCTTACTACTTAAACCAGTTACTGTTAGTGGATATTTTGCTGTAGTGCCCAATGTGAACTTAGTTAACACATTGTTAATAATTAAATAATAGAAATAACATTCCGAAATCCAGTCAATGAAATAGACCCAAATATTTGTAACTTAATATTGTATATTTCCTGAACTTGTCTGGTAATTTTATTTATTGTTTCATTCCAGTCACCAGTCTGTACAGTACATTTTCACTGTTAGAGAAGCTGAAAGAAATTCAAGGAAAACATCAAAATTATGCCAGTGTGTGTTGGACTGTATTATGTATTCATGTTTAGTTTCATTTCAGTTTTTTTCCTCTGCAGCAGTTATCATTGTCATGCAACCTCATAGTAAATATTTACAGCAGACAAAAAGTTGTGTTTGAGGTGGGTTCCATTTCTGCCACTCTCCTGGGCTATGCTCCTTATCACTAGAAAGAAAATTTATGCCGCCTGCTCAATTCATGTAGGCATGTTTTTGATTGGCGGAAATTAACAATGCAAAGCTCATGCGTCTAGTTGTGCCTTAGGAGGAGGAGTGCAGGATCCTTTGTTGAACGGCGGCTGGTATTGGAACCTATGTTCCTTGAACATTTGAGCACTTGGTTGTAAATAGTCAATCTCAAGAATATTTCAATGAACTATCACCATTACTATAAAAAAAACCTGCATGTTAGATTAAAATAATGTAACTTTTAAATTCTGTAAACTCTAATTTCATCAAACAATGAAATAGTATATCACACGCATTGATGGTGCTTGCGAAACCTGCTGTTTCTCCAGGGTTCACGGACCACGTTCCAATTGGTTGCTTAACAATAAGCATTACTAAAAGTTGACTCTGATGCTAGACTTCATTATTTTATGCGGTGTTACGTGGTATACATTTAGCATGTTTTCCATTGATGTACCATGCCTAATGAATTCTACCCCGGTTGGAAGCAGATTGAGAGCAATACTGTTGAAGGTTGCAGGGGATTTAAGTTATCCTCCATGCAAGAGAAGTGATCTAAGACAAACTGTGCCACCAAAACATATGATAAATTACGAAGGTGTCAAATGGTTCAAGGTAAATTTTACTGTGGAGACATTGCACTATACCACAGAAATCGTAGGGTGCATTCCTTTGGGATCAGTGATCCAACATGGTCTGATCAAAGGAACCGGTGAATCCACTCTGGTCAGGGATTAATTGGCTTCTTTGATGTACCATGATCTGAGTGATCTTGGATCACTGATCCTGATCCACATCACCCCAAAGGAATGCACCCTTAGTTACATTTCTTCTGAATCATTTCCAGGAAGACACACATGGTTTGCTTACACAACCTTACATGTAAGTTACCTCAGAATGCAATTTAAAAAATTGCTACGATCATTTATGAAAAAAAAAACATCTTGAACTTGCAGGGAATTATGAATACTCCTTGTTTGTGGAGACTGGAAAATATTTCTGCCGGTGTGAACCACTTGGCTTCTGCATAGGACTTTATCTGGCAACTTTAAAAGACTTCTAATATTCTACTGATTCCTGCAGGTTTTAGGCACTAGCTTAGACTTCTGATGCCTCAAATGTGGGATTCAAGTAGCTGCCTTGTCCACTGTCATCTTCATAAAGTAAATCTGCTCCTTGAAGTACCTGTTGGCCTTCTTTAACTGTATTTTCTGTCATTGAATCCTTTGAATCACTAATATCTACATGATCACCCTGTCTATTGATTCCCTGTGGAAATTGTTGAAACCACTCAGGATCACTTTGCTTTCTTTTCAAAAAAGACATCACAATGTTGCTTTGTGAAATCTTGGGAGGAAGCTTGATCAATTTTTTGACATAACTTTCAATCTCTGGTTTTCGTTCTTCCGCAAGAGTTAGATCACTTTTCCTAAGGATTTTTCTCCCTGAAAGTGAATTAAAATGCAGCATTAATTTACCATAAGAATAATGAGTGGCAGATATGAAGTATAATTATTATTAGGTATAGAATTATGTTACAGCTTTCAAAGTAACTTGGAATGCTAAACATAGAAATGATCCAAAACTGAAAAAAAAAATTATCACAGCCTACTTTAAGTGTGATTATTTCACTTGGAGTTGAGTCGCAAAAATAAAAATTATTTCTGTCCAGATCAATTTGATTCAGTGGAAGATCAATGCAAAGGGGCCGGGCCTTACCCTTAAAAAGTGATACAAGAGATGTGGGGTGGGAGTTGGAAGGCTTAAAGTTTTAGGAAGTAGGGTAGTAAATTTCCCAACATCATAGAAAGGTCACCTGCAACTGCAACCCCACCCCCTCTCCGATGAGGACACAGTGCTATATACATTACCCTGGCTCACAAAACGATTGCTTCTCTTTTCAGCTCGTATCTGTCTCGTAGAACCGGTCTGCCAGTTGCTTTTTCGCGCCGAGACATGCGACTCAGGGGTATTCGTCACACTAATCCCGATGAATATTAAATATGCAAATATACCTGGAAGGTAAGGTATAATCCTCACAAATCCTCTCACGGTACCAGCTTCCTCAGGAAAAGAGTCCAACAGTCCACATTGAAAATCGAAAACGTCATTGTAACTGCGCCAGATGACACTTAAAGAGCCATCCGACCACGTGAGGTTAAAAACAAAAGCGTATTGTTTCTTTCTACTCTTGCTACCAACCCAACGTTCCTTGATTGAGTCAAGTTTGGCTGAAACTACATAAATCATGGCGATCTTTTCATCTACACTGTCTATACAGTCGCTAACCACACAGACGTGACTTCTCCGAGGAGACAGCTGAGCTTTTGACCTCGAGAGCATTATCTGTGGTTTTGATTCAATGCAAATCACGCAAATTGCGTAACGCAAGTTAGTTTATGTCACGCTCACGTCAGAAACGACTTCCGGTTAAATCTTTTGATCGAAGTTCCACCGTTATCTTCATCCGTTTTGCTGTTTATATTTGTGATAAATACATCTGGCATCTGTGATAGCCGGATGAAGCCGCTTTCCTTGAATACTGGGAAGGAATGTAGCATCTCTGATCTAGTTCTTCACACAAATGCAAGAATAAACAAGGCGTAAAAGGAAAGTTTTTTTTGACACAGTTTTTTGTGGCCTAGTATTAAAGGAAATTACCACTTATCAGTGAGGCACTTTGTTTCATAAAATATTTAATTTTAGTAAAGGGATTTAGATCAGTAAACGCCCTGCCAGCGAAACCGTCACCAAAACAAATTTCCAGAGGAACAGCTCACTTTTTTTATTTAATTGAAACGTTGACTTGTAATTTTCCCGCAAAAGAGGAGCTTCGTTAAAAAGTGGGAACGGTGAAAACCGTAAAACCAAGGAAGTGTGTAAGCGTATTAAAATAAAACGGGAAATTTCATTTCCTAACCACATCCCCAGCCGAGGAACCGGAAGTTATTATTCTCTCCATATATGGAAAGCGGTAATACACTGCCGCGGCTCGCCTCTAAACTAAATACAAAATTTGCATAATTTTTCCAGACAACAGTCTTCTTAAGTTCGCTGTACATCTCCGTCGGATTTGGCCGAAACTGAGAAGATTAACCTCGAAAATGTTACTGTAGGAAGTTGCCGCAATCTTCTACGAGGCCTAAGTTGCTTGGGCTCCCCCGCGCTAAGCCATGGCGGACCATTTAGAACTTGTGGCTGAAATTCCTAAGGTCGAGAAATTGACAGTACAAGATCGCCTAGAGCTGGCGAAAAAACGCCGTTCTCAACAGCTCAAACGATGGGACAGGGAGAAAGATAAAGAACTCGGTCCACCACCGCCCAAAAAGCGACCTCACCGAGCGAAACCAGTGAAATTCGAGCCCAGAATTATTCTCCTCGAGGCTGCCTCTAGGGGCGATTACGACGAAGGTTCGTACACAGCTAATCTGGCCTTTTGCCGTAAAGTTTATTCCTCGATGATAGTTATGTCTTGAGCCTTTCTATTTATAGGCGAATTTTGAATTATTGATGTTTCTTATCCAGTGAAAAGGATGCTTGATTATGGTGTTGACCCAAACTTAGCGAATGACGACGGCCTAACATCGCTTCATCAAGTAAGTTGAGTCTCTGTGCAGGACCGATTTACTTACCTAAGTATGCAGTCTTAATGGGATCTTGTTTTGAATCGCTGCAACTCAATAGGGCGCGATATTTGTCAGCTAATTTCCAAAATGCGCTATGTTTGCTTAGTTTCACTGTCAGAAGATCCGTGTTTGTTTTACTGTTGAGCGAAATTAAATTCACTGGAAAATTAATTTTCTTCAGTGGACCACATGAAATTTTTCTTGTGTAAGATTTAAGGGTGTTGATTCCTTTTCCCAATATATCATGCCTTCCAAAGAAATCACTGCACAGTTATAATTCTATTAAAATTTAGATTTGATATGCTTTATTGAAGTTACTTAACTAGTAAGCTTATTCCAGGCAATGGGAAAAAAATACATATTCCACCTGGAGAATAAACCAATATAATTTTTATATTGCTGCCTTTTCCGGTCCATTGCTCCATGGATTTTTAAACTTTAACATAAAATTGTTTTTAATGTCAAATTATGAGACGATGTAACAGACCAGAAAGTCATCTCTCATCAATCAGTTTCATTCGGTGTAGAATACTTGATCTCATAACAACTTTGGTATGTGAGAATTTTTCAGCTGTGGGCTGACTATAAGTATTTACTTAAATATATATATTTTTTTATCTTCTTTTTTTAAACGCGGAACGTCTGCAAATCGCAATTATTTCGTTCTTACTCTCCGTTGGAATTTTATTTACTTAAGCTTAGACAATTTTTATTATCCATAATTCTGTTTTTTGGCCTCTCGTGAATGTCCGTTTAAGATTATGAAGAAAACTGCAGGTTATCCCGGAGTAAACAAGACGTGTTCCTTTACAGAAATTTAATTATTTTGAAAATAGAAATCGTTGTTGACAAAGCATATTTTTCAATTATACTTGCTTTCATTAAATTACTGTAAAATTTAAATTTTTAACCTTTCTTTTTCTTTTCAAGGTTATCTTTAACGAAGTTAGGGCAGTTAAATTTCAACTCTCTTGTGATCTTTATAAGAGAAAAAATTAGATCATGTAAAAACAAAACATATCAGATCTCTGTAATGACATCTGCTCACCTAGTAAGCTAAAGATGATGAATGACTGTCACTTAATAAATACCACTTGAAAGTTAATAAGTGACTTACAATCCATCATGCAGTCCCTTTTCCTTGTTCTTCATAATATTGGTATAAAACCAACTTTGTATAAAATATTGTACACTAAATCGGAGGGTCCTAGAAATACAATTTTGTGATGGGCACAATTTTTCTCCAAATTGGAAATGTTTTTATTTTTTGGCAAGAGAAATTACAAGTTTTTTGGCTGGTGATAACATGAAAAATTTTTGTGAATACTTAAATTCAATTACCCACTAATTTGGTGAAAGGCAATAAGTTGTAGGCCAGGTAGCTTGATTTACTTGTATACAAAATTAGTTTTACCTACATTCAAATTTCCTTTTGGGTTTTAAAGGTTTTGGCGTCTTTCCTATTCTTCAGTTTGTTTGTACACATTTAGGCAAGATATGACCACATGAGCACCTTTTTATGTGTACCATGTTATCTTGACTACTATCACAGTAATTTTTGTACTTTAGATGTTGTTGGACCAAATTTGAAAAGCTGAGATTGGTCTTGGTTTTGAATAAGAAATGTGATTGCTAATACAAAATTATTAATAATATATTATTGATATATAATACAATAACTATTAAAAAATATTTTAAAGAATAATAAATATTTTAATTTACATGTGTTATGTCAATCTTTTTCTGCATCGTTAAACAAGGCCTGCATAGATGAGTGTGAAGACATAGCAGAACTTCTCGTGGGTTATGGTGCTGATATTGATGCTGAAGATCGAGAATTGTGGACACCCTTACATGCTTCTGCAGCATGTGAGAACTTTGCCATGGTTCAGTACTTAGTAGGAAATGGTGCTAATGTTGCTGCTATCAATGCTGATGGAAACTTGCCTGTTGATTTGGTTGAAGAAGATGAAGAGCTAAGAAAGTACTTGCATAATGAGATGAATAAACATGGTAGGTTACTTTCACCCCTAAATGCTGCTAAGAGTTCACAAGGTAGTTCATCAAGATCACTCGTTATCTTCCCAAGAGGGGGAGGACTCCATATGAAAAGGCCAGGAATCCTCATCGTCTGGCTAAGGGGTATAAATCAAGGATTCTGGTCTCATTTTGGGTGTTGATGACAAAACGCCCCTATTTTTAGCTGTCAAAGTAGCTTTTAAGGTGCACTCAAAAAAATAGAAACCAAAAATGCTCTTATCTCTGTTTGTTGGCTCGATTTTCGTCGGTCTCTCAAGTCCAGTCTACTAGCGCGGGCTCCTCTCCTGAACAGTGGCTGGTAATCAAGCCTATTACATTTTTAGTGGTATCTTTTAGGGGTCAAATAATGCTTGAACCACGCCCAGGTTTGTCTTCTTTTGGGGCTTCAAATTTTACAACAAGCGTCCCCAGCATTTTCGTAGCCCCCCGGGCTATTTTACCTTGTTGTGTTGACTAAGCCCCAGTGACAAACAAGAAACTTCTCCAGCTAGTACTGGACCAACACAAGATAAAGACCAGTAGGGCGAATTTGTAGCTTGATTTGAGTGAGGAGGCTTGCCTGTAGCACTATAGGCTATCTAATACCCAAAGTTCAGTTTATGAGAGTTTAACAGTATACCTTGATACTGTAAGTAGCAAACTCAGTCCAAGGTAAATGTGGTCAAATTTTCAGGTTTCAATCAAGATAAAGTTGATGAACTAATTATACTGAGGGAAACGCGGATGCTTGAAGATATAAAAGATGCCATCGAAAAGAGAAGGGACCTGGAAGTCAAGGATATGCAGGGCGCAACAGCGGTAGGTTTCAGTATGGTAGCATAAAAAGTTGTGATGTGTTTTAAAATGTCTGTGCATAATGTACCAAACCACTCCAACCAAGGATTTGTTATTGGACAACTTTAGTTTTCATGTATTTTAGCATCTTTCTTGTAGGTTTTTTGTTCCTCAAATTCAGTTATTAATCTTGTCTGTTTTAATTCTCTTCCTTCCTCTCGTCAGTTTGTATTCACTCTGCTCTCAGCTGGTCAAACTGGGACACTATTTTGTAAAATTCTTTTTTTTTATGTGTTCTCTTACCTTATTTGGTTTGGTGTCAGAGCCAAATAATAACCAAAAGTTCAAAGGGAAAGAAAAAAACTTTGAATCTCAGTAACAATTTTAAAACTTAAAGATTACACTGTTACCCAAAATCTAAATGTGAAGCAGTGTATGGAATTAGTATAGGTAATCATGTGAATACAAATGCAATAAAAGGATTATTTTGCACTACAAGTGAGGTTTGAAAATTCTCTCAAAATTGCATGAGCCTTAGGTGAGTGCAATGTTAAGGAATTTTCAGAAATCACTTGTTTTCTAAATCGTCAATTGCTCAATAAGTTTCCAAACAATTACTAGATAAATTATATAACTGACAAAACTACAAACATGCACACTTAAATTTGTAATTCACTGAAAATTAAAAATTCAACAATAAATTTGCCTCCTTGCAGCTGATCACCATGAAAGTATTTTCTCATTCCTACAGGAAATATTTAAAGATCACATTGTCCCATCAAATGTGATTTTACTGTATTCTATTTTCAGTTGCATATTGCTGCAGCCAATGCCTATGTGGAGGTGTTGGAGTTCTTGCTCGAGAATGATGCTGATGTAGAAGTTGTGGATAAGGATGGCTGGAAGCCCATTCATGCAGCAGCTTGCTGGGGAAATGTGAGTGAAACCAAAGAGCTTTAATTTACTTGATGTCATGACAGCTGTATTTGTGTTCGAAAAACCTGAAATGTTGTATTGTTTGGGAACACTCAAGCAGTGTGGCTATCTTAAAAAATTGCTGCTGAAATCATTTCTCCTACTGTATGAGAGTTCACTTCTAGTTAACTTGTTTCCCTTTAAGTTGAATTTGATTGAATTCTTTCCTTTCTCCATTGTTTTGATTAAAAGTAATTACAAGTAGATTCTCAGCACAATCAAACCTTGTTACAGTTGTCTGGATTCTTTGGAACCAAGGTTTGCACTGTTCCTGGAACCTGGAAAAATCCTTGAAAAAATATGTACTCTTGGAAAACTCCTAAAATGTACTTGAATACCCTGAAAATGCTGCTACATTTAGGTAACATACAGGAACTCCAAAGCACCATGAAGCTAAAGTTAAAATTTGGATATTGTAGGAGAAAGCAATTGAGTTACTTGTTGAACATGGGGCAGATCTTGAAAGCCGGACACCTTACGGTGAAACTCCACTTGGTATGTAAAGAATAATTCTGCTTGTGAGTTTGACACATTTATGTATGAAATATTTAAAAATGCTGTTTACATGTGTAAACTTGTAACCTGATGCAATTACTTGACGGGGTTTTAGAGAATTTGAAAATGCTTGACTGTGTAAACTCTATATTCTCAAACACCCTCCATGTGTTTATCTGGCTATACTGTAAGCCTACAAGCCATTTTCCATTTCTTATTATAAATATTACATAGTGTTACTTTAAATTATCTTCTCTCATTAGATTTATGTGAGGATGCTGACACAAGACAATTCATTATTGATCTCAAGAATAAAATGAAGACAAACAAGTTTAAGGTCAAGAATAACCGAAGGAAAAGAAACAACTCAAGATCGTAAGTCATGGAATGTTCTTATAATGTTGACCACCTCTGTCCTCAGACAGCTGTCCTCTCCTGTTCTCATCAAAGTACAATATAAGGAAGACCTTTTAGTAGTCTAGCAGTGCGACAGGCCACCGATTATTAACTCCCATTTCGCTGGCATGAAGAAGCTAAAACAGTATTATGACTCCTCCTGGATAAGATGCTAGTACATCAAATGCTTGTACCCTCTCCTCATTTTATCAGGTTTTCCAGCAAACAGTTCATGTACTGCATGCTTGTTTACTTGGCTGTTTATTATCGCATGGAGAAAGGCACTGTGAGAGTGAAGTGTCGTACCCCTGGACTTCAATATAAAGGTGTTTCAGCTAGTTTCATTGTTGTGGTACGGAAAAACTTGTTTTACTTTCTACCTCACTAAAGATCCATCTGAAAACTTTTTTACTGTTTGTTTTGTAGGCTGTCAGTCAAACGGTCAAGTCTGAAAGAAAAGATTTCAATTTCTCAGAATGAGGCAAAAGCAGAGGCAATTCTTCGACAACACCCTGAACTGGCTTTCCTCATTACGGTAAAGCAGCCTTCAAAAAGGGGATAGGGAAAGGGAATGAAACTTGGAATGTCAATACATACATACATACTTTATTTGATCAGTAGGTGGTCTATATTTAGACAGACAGACAGTCACAATAGTCTTCACATCATTAAACAGACACTGTTAGCTTTTATAAGGTGTCTCTTTTTATGTGCCCCATCTGACTAGTTACAGAATTTTTGAGGGTAACAACCTAAAGAATTTTGCAGGTTAAATCCTCAAAATTTTTATGTGTGCTTAAATTAGATTTTTCTTAAGCTGTGTTAATGTTAATGGCTTTCAAAATTGATGTTATTTTAAATATGAGAATACCAACTCTGCTGTCTAGCTTGGTCATAGACAAGCAAACATGGTGTCAAAGTATCACTGTTCTCTGATCTAAATTGTAAGTGCTAGACTTTAAAATGTGACGTTTTGATTTACATCATTAGAAGGACAAGAAGACGACTGATGAACCAAATCAAGTGGATTTAAGTGCAGAACAGAATGATTTTATACCCAAAGAAGAATCTCCTTCACCAGTGAGAACACAGACAGAGGATGAAAAAATACAACATACTGACACGCAAATGACAGAAATCACAGTGTCAAAGAATTATGAAAGAACTTCCCAGGTTGAGGAAAAAAGCACCGCAAAAATAGTTGGTGTAAAAGTGATAGGACAAGAAGGTAATGAAAAGGAGAATAGACCTCTGGCAAATACAACAAGTGATATATTAAAAGGTGAAAAACCTAGGGATCCTGTGACAAGGGAAATTGCTTCAGCACCTTTCCAAGGTACCACATCAACAAACATTCAATATAAGAGCAAGACTGAAACAAGAGAGCAAGTGTCACAAGAGAAGAAAACCCCCAGGCTATCAGAAAAGATTGAACCTCCATCATGCCCACCTCCTCGATCACCAACGGCGGGTCGTCGGCAACTACCAGCCGATCCAAGGGGACAGCAAACAACAAAAGAGAATAGCACAATAAAAACTAGTAGTCACAGTAGTCAAGAAGTTACTGTAACAAAAGACCAAAGGACTCCTGCAACTAAGCCTTTGTCTGAACTTAGCTCCAACTCAAATGCAACTACACAGTCTGTTACAGCAGCACCTAAATCAACAAAGACACGTGTTGCACCTCCAGTGCCACAATCTTCAGGAAGCACAAGTGGCAGGAGTCAGGTGCCATCATCTGATACTTCAGGTTACCCAGAGTCATTTTCCAATCGGAAATCGAGAGATTCACGGGAACTAACAGAAACTGCTCTGCAACAATTGGGTAAGTTAACTTTTAACTGAGATGTTTCTACTATGTAGTATGAATTCATGTTCATACAGAATGTATTTAACATTGTGTACTGCCTTCTTCATGATTATGATTGTACATGTTACTGACAAGATGAGGGCAGTGATGTATGCTGTACTGTTAGTAACTTGAGAAATTTGGAGGGAGCAACATAACCTGCAAATAGGCTCCCAGCAAGGGCAGGAAAAAATTTTCCAGTGAACCAGTGCAAAAAAAAGAATTTGGCAAGCGAAACAAGAATTGTCTTGGGAGGAAGCGAAGGTAGGGAGGCCTGTGGACATTCTATTGATGCTGCCTTTCCAGGATACCAGAATCTGGTATCATTATCTGATTGGATAAATCACTGATTGTTGGCAGCTTTTCAGATAAATAGTTGACAGATCTTAACAACAGCTTGTCGATTTGCATAATTTTTGCTGAGACTGGAGTAAAGTCTTAACTTCTTGACTGATTTGTAACAGGCTAATCACCAAGGGTGGACTGGGGCATCAAAAACAAAGTATACAGGTTCCCTACCCTGCCCCACTTGCTTTGCTCGTGAAATTCTTTCTTTCTTTTTTTAAGGTAGGAGGCTCATTGGGAGCATGTTCGCGGGTTAGGGGCAACACAGCATCATGTCACCAACTGGAAATATAGTACTGCACTTGTAAACTCTACCCTCAATTCCATGGTTATCAAGTGATCAAATCATTTGAACTCTTCAAAAAGTTGTCATTAAGATGTCAAAAATTAAAGGGAACTTTGTTTAGTGACACCAATCTAATATGACACCCATCAGTTTAACAATAATTGAAGGCTTTCGTGCAAAAAGGGTGTATGTAGCATTTTCGAGAAGTAACGTATGCAAAAAAAACTCAGTTTTCCGAGCGGCATCTTTTGGAGCGAATCCTTCCAAGGTGGATGTTGACGTGGCGCAAACTTAAACGGTTACTTTTAGCAGCTTCGACAGCACGTTTTTTTTTAAATAGATGTTTTGATTTTTGAAGAAGTAGAGAAATAGACCGGAAAAAAAAATTGACTGACCTCGTATTGAACCGGCGTCACGACAAAACAAACTTGCATCCGGCCAGTTCAGCGCCTTATTTGCTTACGCTAACGAAGCAACAGTAAGAGAATGGCGTAATTATGTGAATAATAAAACTAGCGGCAAATACCATGCTTTGGTGACTTCATCATTTAGCAAAACAAAGGTTTCTTTTGTTTTTCGCTCAACAAAAGATCTCCAAAAGATACCCTTGGAAAACTGAGTTTTTTGCATACGTTATTTCTCAAAAACGAAGCGCAAATCAACAAAAACAATTACGCAATGATGCTTTTCGTGTCAAAGTAAGTCAGTCTGCCAAGAATTAGCTCGATCCTACAAAAAATAAAAATTGGCCCAAAATGCTACATACGCCCTTTTTGCACGAAAGCCTTCAATTAGAATAATCATTGTATAAAATAAGCAACTTTTTAGTAGTTGTGCTATAAAGGAATTGTATTGTGATTAGTAATAGAGACTAGTCTAGCCATGAATTTACGTGGAAAGCAAGTTACCAACAATTCATGACAAAAGTCCTTGGCACGCCTGGATCAGATAGCACAAAAATTTGTTGACAGGGTATTTTGGGGACAATACCTAATGATATCACTAGAATAGGGAACCCCCTTCCTCCTGACAATGTTGTAAATGAGCAATGACAAATTCATCACGATAAACAACACTGAATTGGAGGAAGGGGACAAACTGATAAATTTCCCTGAGAGATGTTGCAAAAGTGGGAAGGTGTGCCAAGACTTTTGTTGGGGATTGTAGCAATGTTGGCACAAGGTCAGCCATTCCAGAAAGATAGCCATTTAAATTGGTGCCATATTTTGCCTGTATTGGTATTAATTTAGTAATCGACTTATTGGAGTACAATGCAGATGAGGAATTTTGAGCATGAAACCAATTTGACATTACAAGCACTATTACTCTGAATTATACTGCACATGGTGTAATGGGCACCCACTGGATTGAGGGCCAATTATGTGAAAAATAGGCTGTGGAGAACCAATCATACTCGGGAATTTTGTGATAGATATGATAAATAATACACTACTGTCTACATAAAGAGAATTTCTTGAACATTAAAATGAGATCATTATTTTCTTAACCACAGCAAAAGACTTCAAGGAATCCAAAGTTGTTTCACCGTCAGATGTCAAACTGTCTTCACAAGCTGTAACTGCTAAGTACACTCCAAAGCCAACATCACCACCATCAACACAGCATAATGATACAGCTGCAACACTTGATGTTTCAAGTGAAACTGCTCCAACCATGAAATCACCTGTTACAAACAATGTAAGCAATAGCACAGTGCAAGAACCAAGAAAAAAATTTAAGCAACCCACTGATGCTGAGGAGGTTGGTCGGCACAAGAAATCGTGCTGTGTTCTGATGTGATTAGAAGGTACTCTGTACCTACTTAACTTGATGTTCAGCATCATAAGATGATGCAAGTTTGCAGAGTCATTTTAGAGAAAAGCACACTAAGTTGGAGCTGCAAGATTTCAGAAATGTTTAGGAACTAGATGGACACTTTGCAGAGCAGTTTGAACATTCTTAGCTGTGAGAAACAAAGATTTACCTCTTGGTGAGTAAAGTCTATTGGTTCAGGTGTGATGTGATCTAGTTCAGCAAAATGACAGGGCCAGGACACAAGAGAAGTGAAAATTACAAATGATGTTCACCTTTATCTACGGAAGGTCCACAGTGGGAGCCAAGATTAAGACTACAGTATACATTTTTCTGAGAGCTTTTTGTTAACTACTGACAGTAGCTATGATTATATAGAGACTTTGAAACCAATGCAGGAACTGTGAAACTATCTACATGTCCTGATGAGATGCAAGTCAGTAGGAAAAGGATCTAGAAATTTAAATCCTGACATTGTGGAGCTGTAGCATTCTAAATGGTGATAAGACTTTGTCATGGTCACACTTTTTTAGGAACCTAGTTTAGTGTAAGCAATAGCGATGTTGAAAATTATGTCACTCTACAAATGTTTGATGACATAGAGACATTAATTTACAGATACAGTTAAACTGGAGTGTGGAAGGCAGAAGGAGGCTGATATAGAAATATGTGAATTGTCATTAAGAAGTAGCTCAAATTTCCTCAAGTTTAATAATTTTTAACATACTATTAGGTTTTTGGAGGCTGTTCAGCATCTGAAAGGACTGGGATTTTACCATTCAGCAGTCAATATTGCATTGTTGTTAATAATTAAAAATAATGTTTCGAACAATTTTTACAAGCATTTTCTTCTCACTTTCTGTTTATTTTTTACTCCTGCTTTCACCGATGTTTCTTTTTTATATTAATATAATGTTATTGCAGCGATAGAGTTAATTTATGAGTGCAGTTCAACAGTTTCTTTTATAAGTGTTTGTAATATAAACGAAACAGAGAGAAAGAAAAAAAGAATATGATTAAAAATGTGCATGGTTGGAAGTTACTTCACAATTTTTTTTTTCAGACTGTTGTTAATCTTCAATGTGAAAGATTCATTATTTTAATGATCCTGGGATTTAAATTTTATTTTAAAAGTGAGCAGCTCATAAAAATGGAGAGATTGATTACATCAAGAAAAGCTTCCATTGATGTTGTAAAAATGTATGGAAATTCTAGACCAAGGAAAGAACCTTCTTGTTTACCATAAATTAAACTGGATTGCAGTCAACAGAGCCCCTGGGGGAGTGGAAATTGGTTCCAAAAATTGAGAGGTTCAAAACAGACAAGGTTATCTGTTTAACATATTCTAACTCTTTTGCAAAGGGAACAAAAGCTGCTTTGAATAATCAAGAGGGGGGGGGGGGGGTCCTGCATTTTTGTTCAAAACAGTGTTAAATTGCTATCAAGAACCTTCATTGATATGCAAAATAGACCATTATTTTGAGGAACTTCCATTAATGAAAATATGACTCTGGTTACAACTTTCCAATTGCATAATCCTCTGCTGATGGTGTCACTTTAACCTACCAAATGCCCTGTAAGTAACAGTGAAGCCCCATCATCTCCAACAGGAAATAGAGTCTATGGTACTCTGATGTTTCTCTAAGTTCTCAGGAATGTAGCCTATTAAGTTTGTAGACAAACTCTAACTGCATTGACCGAGGAATAATCAAAATGTTTCTGAAAGGAATTATTGTTTAAAATAACTTAGATTTGATCTTAACAAAGGCAAGCTACAGGTGTGGACCTGAAACAAATTTATCTTAAGAAAATACTTGTTTTAGGTTTCTTATATATACTAATCCAAAAAAAAAAAAACATGCAAAGTTTTCATGTTTTATGTGCAAAGCACAAAGCCCTTTTAGGTAAATATTTTCAAGCCTTAACTTATTTGATATTTTATTTCAGGAAAATAGTTGTATATGTTTTAACAAGGTGGGCACACGGAAAATAAAATCATGATTACAGAGAGAAGTATGGTTGACGTCGTTAGTTTAATAGTTCCACAAGAATGTGAGAGAAATAAATAGGAAAGTTTTTTTATGTACAAGCTAAAAGTTATTATTCTGAAAAAAAAACCTAAGGTTTTCAGAGATAAAGATAGAAGTGGTACTCAAGAATAAAAGAGAGAGATGGTGCAAAAAAATATTATTATTCAGGTCATAAATTTACTGACCCGAATAAAGAAAAAAAACAAGTTGGCTTAAGAACTGAAAAGTTTTCAAAAAATTAACAATTACTGGGGTATTACAATATTTTGGGTAAATAAGATGACAGCTGGTATTATGGTAGGTGTATATTATAGTGTCCTAAGAGGGATATTATTTACAAAAATTAAAGATTTTAACAGCTTTCTTTTGTCCTTGAGTACCACTCTGGGAGCTGCAGTCTTTGGATGTGAAGCAACATGACTGTATCTGTAAAAATAGATGAAGTTTTCATCCTTTGAACCCAAATAATCAGCAACTAAAATCTGGCAGGCCTATTGGAAGGGAGAGAGAGAGCATGGCCGACCTGGACCGTCTGAGAATCCATCAAGTTTAATTGGGGCTTGAAAGGGAAGGGAGAGTACCATTTATGTTTCCCTTGAAAGCTAGCAAATACTGTACCTGAATTTGCCAGGATTTGCAATGGAGAAAATGCACTCTTGTAAGACAGTTTAACAGTCATGTCTTTGGTTGTAAAGAAGCAGGTGGCTGGAAAGGCGGGCTTAGTAAACTTCTTGTTCCAGAAAGGAAGCACTTAATAGAAGACTAACTAAAGGTACTTAAAATTTCTTCTTGAAATGCATGCCAATGATTATGAAGAATCCACCTGGATTTAAAGGGCTAAAATGTTACACAAGAGCACATTTTTTAACAATAAGTTTGTAATAAAATTAGCTCAAATAAAAAATTTATCATGGTTGACACTAGGGCTTGTTATCTTTTGTAAAATTGTCACTTCCTCATCTGAATAATTATATAACTCCGATCAGTTTATTGAGTTACTATATAATTATTCAGTTAGTTACCAGTATAAGAGAACGAAAAACCTCTGAGTCCCTAACAGGACTGGCCTCCTATGCAGACACTGTTTGGGCTTGTCATGCAATCTATCCTGAGGAGTGTGTGACAAGCCACAAGAATGTCTGTGCAGGAGGCCACATGTACTTGTAACTGGAGTTGAAGAAGTCTTGTGGTGAGCTACGTCATTTACTAGCCAGGTTAATTATTATGTGGTATGCATCCTGCACACTGTTCAGATCAGTAGGAATGTGCATAATAATCCACATAAACTAAGCTGAACATTTACCATCTCTATATTTATCACAATAACCTTCTTTTATTATTACAAATACCACAAAAATTGCTATCTAACAATTGGGCTTACTTATGGTACATTGAAAAAACATGAAAAAATTTCTTCAATATGATTTTACATTGTGTAATTGTATTTAAACTTGTGAACATGTTGATTTTTACCTAGCAATGTCATTATGTATGGTTACCTTTTATTTTAATTAGGAAAGAGAAAGCATTTTCCATGTTTCTTTTGAGTTGTGGAAACATGAGTGAAAGTTTGGGAAAACAAAAGATATGGCCCTATTTAACTATTTGTATCATGGCCGAGTTATTGGACAGTTTCACTGGGAAACAAACTTGTGGCTCTCATTTTAGGCCAGAGGTTAAAACTAATAATTTTTTGTTAGATTTTGGCCCACTGTGTTGAATGAATAACATACCACAATCAGAAAACTGAACTGAACTTTAGGCATACATTGAAAGATGAAAATTTGGAGACAGAGACCAGGCATTTCTATCAGCAAATAAAATAATTCACAACTTGTCAGAACAAACTTTAATTTACTGAACAAAAAAATTCAGCTGTACAGTTTAGCTAAGTATATATAATTGAACTAAAATTTAACCATTAAACTATCGATTCCTACTGAATAACTGTTTCAAGATATGGCTACAACTCTGATCCTTGGAATCTTGGAACACACTGGCTGCTCTATTTCAGTTTAAATTTTATTTTACCTATAGATGGTAACCAATACTGTTAAGTGAAAAAAGAACAAGTCAGAAAATAAATATTTGAAAAGCAGTATATGTGTGTATAAGAAATGCATATAAGTCATGTAAAATGTAGTCAGCTAACCAGCTGTAACACTAATAGAAAGGGAAAGTTTTCTTTGCAACTGTCCCTACCATTCCTGTTGTTTCAATCTTGAGATATATACTGACAACTTATCAACCAAGAATGAGATCTTTACAGGAAAATCTCAGACCAAGACCTTGCTGTATTGACCGAGCGATAGTAAGGTCAATAAGGCAAGGTTGAGGTCTGAGATTTTCCCGAAAAGACTGAGCATTCGAGGTTGATAAGTTGTTTATTATATGACTTTTTGCTTTGTTTTTGCAAGCCTGTAATCAGCCCATGGGCATTATGGAAGAATAATGCCCTACAAGTAGCCAATCAGAGCGCATGTTATATCTGCTACAAGAACAAGCCATATAACAATAGGGAGCTTAAGCAAACCACGACGACGACGGCAACAAGAACGTCACTAAACAAAAGGTTTAACGAACAAAACAATAGCTGTGCACATGTGTTATAAATCTTTGTACATTTCATTGCCGTCCTCTGCAAAACAACAACATGAAATGACCAAGTTCTGCGTCATCTACGGAATGTGGACAACAACGGCTAATTTTTCATTTTTCCATTTGGAATTGAACGCCATTGTTGCATATTTAGCTCAAGCACGTTTTTAGAGCCATTGGCATACCGAACAGATCTAAACAATCGCGAATTTCGCTTGTAAATTATAAATTCATTTTTTACTAGGCGTCGTCCTCGTCGTCGTCGTTGCTTAAGCTCCCTACTATCTAATAATGACTACCACCCTGCCTATTTTACAAAACCATTTATTTGTACATCCCTTAAATTGTCATTTACGAATATCAACAACCAAAATTTCCCTTTCCTTTGTTGACGACTGGAGGTTTTGCGTCTTGAAAGGAACAAAAATTTTGGCAGAGTGCATGTACGCTGGTAGAGCTGTTATCTTTTTCACTAAATTTGTTGGAAATGTGTTTTTAGACAACAAAAATGCCTACAGGTGCAATAAATGCTTCACCTAAGGTCAGCTGTCACTTCTCCAAGTTACTTCGACTTCATCTGTTCTATACCTGCCATGTTAAAATATTAAAAAATAATTATTATATTAAGTACAGACTCTTGAAAGGAACTATAATCACAAGGATTTCACCAAACCTAAAAAATTAAAGCAAGTTTAAATCTCTCAATCCCACATGTCCCAGAGTTACGACTTGATAGTGTGCCTACAAAAGTTACAGTACTTCAGAAATTCAATGTAAGACTGGATACAAGGTTGAACTGAGGCAGATCTAAGGCGATTTGGTTGAACCCGCTAAATTAAAAAAATTGAGACATTATAACATGCTGACTTGCCCTCAGAATGCCAGAAATCCCATTTCCGAGGATCTCAATTTTAAAACATACAGGAGCAGTCCGTATCTTGAACCCCCTTCTTTAAAATCCTGCATGAGCCCCAGGTTGTACTCTGATAGATAAATTAAAGGCCCCAGAAGTAGTAGTGTTATAATTTCGCCTCTGGCATTTGTCATATAATGGACCACCTTTGAGCACACTTTACTACATCAAGTCATTATAAATCTTTGGGAATTTGGCGCTTTTCATTTTAGGGAAGCATTATAAAACAGCTCTTATTGAACTATAAAACTTTTAAACAATGGTGGCAATATTTTGATTGCAAAATCTAAGAAAGACCTTTGTACTTAGATTATTTTTTTCTCCATCAAAATAGGCCGTATTTGTATTCTCGGTATTGGACTGAACTAGCTTGCAATGGAGGCTCAGGCAGGGAAATATTATAAGAAAGAGATGAATGTCATTTGCATTTGAATGGACTCCTCACAACAGCCTCAGTTGCAGGCTAGTTCTCGTCCATAATTGAAAGGTCGCGGGCAAGAACATCCCCTAGATTTTTTGGCCATTTTTGAAAGTGTTGAAAAATAGCTGAATTTTGGCATGTGGGCTTTGTTTTACTTGAGAAAGATTGCTCTGAAGTTTTTTTTGCTGGGTTGCTCTTTGTTTTAGAGAAATACTGTGTGTAAAACAGGCACACCACTAGGAAAAACTAAGTGTTTTTGCATACGCAATATCTCGAAAACAAAACGAACTTTAGCACAAAAACTACGGGACATTGCTTAACATACCTGACCAAAACTGCATGCGAAATTTGGAGTGTTTTCAACAAAGTTCACTTTTGATGAAAATACCTAACACTCTTTTTCCACCGAGCCCTTCAGATAAACGAAGCCGGACCTTTGTTATGATAAACTGAGCCGATCCTTTGTTATAATAAACCAAGGCGAGCCTTTGTTATAAGTCAAAGTCTTGCCTCGGTTTGTTGTAACAAAGGATCGACTCGCTGTGATTGCAAGGACTTTGATTTCACTTAGAAAACAGCAAAAAGTTAATTTTACGCAATGTACATAAGCTCAATTTTGTTGAATTCAGGTCAAATGTGGTTAAAATGTTGATTTCACGTTAACGCCTGACGGCAAGGATGTTGATTTCTCTTAGAAACCAGCAAAATGTTGATTTCAGGTAGAAATAGGTTAAAATGCTGATTTCATGTTAACGCCTGATGGCAAGGATGTTGATTTCTCTTAGAGAGCAGCAAAATGTCAATTTCATGCAACTCATAAGCTCAAAAATGTTGATTTCAGGTGGAAATAGGTTAAAATGTTAATTCATGTTAACACGCGATGGTAAGGATGTTGATTTCTCTTAGAAAGCAGCAAAATGTCAATTTCACGCAATGCATAATCTCAAAAACGTTGATTTCAGGTGGAAACAGGTTAACATGCTGATATCACGTTAACGCCTGATGGCAAGGACGCTGATTTCTCTTAGAAACCAGCAAAGTGTCAATCTCACGCAACGCATAAGCTCAAAAATGTTGATTTCAGGTGGAAATAGGTTAAAATGTTGAGTTACGTTAACGCCTGACAGCAAGGATGTTGATTTCTCTTAGAAAGCAGCAAAATGTCAATTTCACGCAACGCATAATCTCAAAAATGTTGATTTCAGGTCTAAATAGGTTGAAATGTTCACTGCATGTGAACGCCTGGCGGCAAGGATGTTCATTTCACAGGTTTATCAAGGCTTTATGGTGCCTCTCAACCACCAGGCAGGCATACAAGGTACATTAAAACAATGCTCAAGATATTAGTTGACAGAGCTCTAATGCAGCACATCTCTTTTTTGTTCGATGGTATTTCCTTTGACGCTCGATTGATTCACATGTTGTGTTTCACGTCACGATAACAGATTTAAACAATCTGTTCCCAGATTTCTGCTCTATATACTGTTTTCCTTTGACTTAAAGACAGCTAAGATTCTGTGGAATACACTATAAACAGTCTGCCTGTTTGCTGTTCAACAAAATAATAATAAGGTTTCTTTTGTTTTTCATTCAACAAAAGATCTCCAAAAGATGCTGCTTGGAAAACTGAGTTTTTTTGCATGCGTAATTTCTCAAAAACGAAGAGCAACCCAGCGAAAAAAAACTTCAGAACAATCTTTCTCAGGTAAAACAAAGTCCACATGCCAAAATTCAGCTATATTTGAGGACTTCAAAATGGCCAAAAAATCTAGGGGACGTTCTTGCCCATGGCATTTCAATTTACCCAGAACACGAATATGGCCTATGCCATTAAATTAACTCTTATTGTTAGTAGTGTCACAGTGTACCTCTGAGTGCATGTGGTTTTCTCAAGGGGAGTGACACATCCTGATCGGAACATCTCCCAGCCAGCTTGCGCTATCATTGCCCCATTGTCTATACAAAATCTGAGAAAAAAATGCAACAGATGTTCTCACATGTCAGTTAACAAAATTATAAATATTGAATCACTTGTTTCATACACAGCAAGTAAATGTACAACATAATCAAAGATAGTTCTACCTTTCATCGGTAGCATAAAGTTTGGCTCCCCTCTCTTTAGCCATGACACCTAAAGCATCCAACAACACAGTCAAATTATTAAAAACTGGAACACTGGATAATGCAGTTCAAGAGTTTTCATTGGCCTAGCCATTATGGTATATGAGAAATATTATACAGTACCATGCTCAAGATATAAAACATAGGCATGCAAGGCGTGCAAGAGTTATTTTTTTGTGTGAAGTGTTGGAGATAGAAGCATTCATGGTACAGTACTACTAACTCACGAACTGTTTCAAACCTCAAGGCTTATCTTGTTCATTTAACTAAAATCCTCAGCCTAACCCACAGAAAATGTCAAAGTAAATCTAGTATATGAATACTTCCTCCTCTTTTATCGAAGAATAAATATGGCCGTTCTGAACTCTATCTGGACCAAATCTTCTCACATACCAGTTACCTTGACAACAAGAAATTTGATTGGCTGTTTATAGTAGATCCAATCTGATTGGTGTGACATACATACATCTCTCACTCACTCACTCACTCACTCAATCACTCACTCACCCATTGACCCGTCCATAACATACCCGACGTGCCAACTAAGAGGTATTTTTTTTACACAAAAATAACTCAATAATTATGGAAAGCATAGTGGCCATAATTTTTTTGGCATTTTTATTTTATTTTATTAGTTTTCTATATTTTAGGGGTGCTTTAATAAAACAAGTATTCTACTTGCATTTGCTGAGCATTTTAGCTTTTAATGTATAATTATCATGTAGACACCTAGCCATGAAATGAAATCATCCATTTAATTTAATTTATTTTCTCAGTTACATAACACTGCTGCTTCAATAATTTGAAACATAACTTAAATATTGCCATCTAATAAAATAATGCTGTCATCTGACAACTGCTGAAAAAATAAAGATCATATACTTTCAAGTACAAACTGTCTTTACCCATCATTTCTTGTAATCTCTTGTTACCTATTAACAGATCAAAAACAAAATTTGGGGTAAGAATATGCCCTATGTAGATACCAGTACTAAACCTCAAAACAAAACATCCTAGTACCTCATTTGACCTGTTTCAAGATAAGATCATAAATATTAGAAAATAGCCCAGAGAAAATCTGCATGCTGATTGGTTTAAAATTATTGTGTTTCTATAACTCTATAGAAACACAGAACTAGCACAAGTTGTTGATGTAATGATGGTACAAGAAAAGAGAATGAACATTTTGATGGTCAAAGTAAACAAGTTGTTTTCTTCTTTACATTTTCACTCCAGAATTTTCTAAAAGAAATAGCAAACATGTTTTCTGTGTTTCTATCAAGTTATAGAAACACTCATGAGAGTGGGAGAACTCGAAAAAGCTGTATTTCTCATTTTCCCAAACTTCCACTCATGTTTCTATTAAACAATTAGATTATGAACCAGAGATTTCTATTTCGTGATAGTTGACAATGCGCCCTTGTCAACTATCACACATTGAAATCGAAAGCAAATAATCTAATAATATTGTTTAAGTATAAAATGTACTAGTTGTTCAAAACTTTATCTAAATCCTCTTCACAGACACTTTGAAAATGCCAATTAAGAAGCGGCTGTCATTTGGTTAAGAAGGGCACACTGCTATGCTACTCGCTATCTATCACAGAATAGATAGTGAGTAGCGTAGTCAATCAGAAAATAGCATTCATGATAGAACAATTACACTAGATTACACTAAAGCTTGATAGAAACATGATACATGTTTTCTATTTCTCAAATGAATGCAAATTCTAGAGCATACGGTATTTTCATTACCTAAGGTAGTTGTGAGAAATAATGATAAATAAATACAACTAATTATAGATTTATAAAAATTATTGAATGAAAAGTTTATTCTTTTACACCAAGTGAGCTACAAATCTTCATTGTATGACTCCAAAAGGCCTGAAAAATCACTCTAAGTAATGGGAAAAAGTACAAAAACTTATATAGGAGAGTGGCTGAAAAAAAGGCTGGCATTACTTTGAATTTTAATTCATATCATCTACTTTGGAGATAAAAAAAAGTGTAACCTCAGACTGAGTTGCAGCAAAAAAGGGTGAAATTTTCATCAACACCATTTTCATAAATGCAGTCAAAAAATATATTAATAATCACTTACATCCCACTCCACCAACTATAAGAACCTCACTTGATCCACAGTGAGCCATTGCTCGTTCTGAAACAGAGAATTAAGAAGCACTCAGTAAAGTTTAACTGACATTCACCGAGTTCTAGAACTGCCCAAAAAATCTACAGACAATTCAGTGAATTAGGTCCGCTGACTGGAATTTAGGCTTTATTAAGTGTTTGATACAATCTTTAGTTGCTAAACACATGACACTCACAAAAATGCAAAACTGCACTGCCTTGAGGAAACTATGAATTCTATTTTTATTCAGTAGTTAAAGATGATTTCCAGTCTGTACTGTGCACTCTCAAGAGTTTGTTTGCAATTTTCGTTTTGTTTCATGTAAGACATCACAAAATGTAAACATTTTGCAACCACTTACATGGAGTAAATTCAAAGTTTAAAAAGAAAACGCCACTATGGATGTGAAGCAATCGAAGCTTTATGCTTGTCCTTTCTCATATCACTTGATGAAACAACTTCACAGCTGTAAAATCAATGAAGCTGTTGGAAAAAGAATTTGAAAGGCCTCAAAGGTACGTGGTTCACAACGAATAACATCAATTCGCATTCCATTGAGTGAGATTTATAATTTTATAAACATTAGGGTGTGGAGACTGCGCAGTATGGATTGGAAATCATCTTAAATTGCATGGTAAAAATAATCAACAAAATTAATAAGAAAAATGCAAAATTGATACCTGTTGTTTCAATTAACATGGCAAAAACTGTTTCCTGAAGAGAAAGGAGTAACAAGAAACCAAGCCCATATTAGAATAAAACAAACTTGATCTGGTCACTTTAAGAAAATTTTCCTTTCACTTCAGTTAGGTGCTTGGTAGGCTTGATTGCCAGCCGCTCTTTGGGAAAGGCGCCTGCATTTTGTGCACCTGCATAGTGTGCTCATGGCATGTATTTGTGCCTTGCATGATGCACATGAACATGTGCACACTAAAAATAGCAGGCACTGTTCTTAATTTACTCTCTTTGTTTACTTATTTCGTTCTTCAGGGAGGAGGGAAGTATTTTTAGTTAATAGTTTATTTATTTTTACTTCTCACCTGAAGTGAAAAACATAAATCTTCTGGTGTACACTCTCCTGAAGCAAGTAGTTTTGGTGCCATACTCTGCCAAATAAAATGGTTCATTTTAATTCTTTCATTCATTATACAATCATAAACCAGTAAACTAAGTTACAATATTCACAATCTCACAGACCACTAGCACACATTTGCTTTCTCTGAAAAGATGAGCTATAATTTTGGAAAGTTTTTATCACAATCATCTTTATTGTGACAAATTTTAATTAAGAATTATTCAATCTGAAATACTAAGTACTCTCCAACTTCTGTATTAAGTTGTCTTCAGTGCACGGTGGCCTCATGGTTAGTGTGCTCGTCTTCGGATCGAGTGGTCTGGGTTCAAGCCCTGGCCGGGGACATCGTGTTGTGTACTTGGGCAAGACACTTTACTCTCACAGTGCCTCTCTCCACCCAGGTGTATAAATGGGTACCGGCGAACTTAATGCTGGGGGTAACCCTGCGATGGACTAGCATCACATCCAGGGGGGAGTAGAAATACTCCTAGTCACTTTATGCTACGGAAAGCAGGATAAGCTCCAGCCTGGTGGGCCACTGGCTCGTATGCAGACTTTACCTTACCTTCTTCTGTGTAAAAATTGAATCTGGAGGGTAGGGTCCTCTTCTTTGGGTTGTTTTGTAATGCGCACTAGAAGTACAACATGTTCACAGATCCTTACTTCCTGCTACAAGGATGACAGGCTCAAAGCAATCCTGTGCTTACTTATCCATTTCCTGTTTTGACAAATTGATTGACACTTGTCTCTAATAGGCTAACAGAAATGGCTGAAGAACACCTTGATTAGAATAAGTCTAGACTGAGTAAACTTACTTCAATGTATGACAGAATCCCTGAAAATGACACATCCATTCCTTTTACTGTATATGGCAAATCAATAAGCTTCTTTCCCCTAAACAGAATGATTAAGATGGCTTCCACTGAATGGTCATGCAATAATGGTGAAAATACAGTTACATATACCAAAACACCTCATAACATGGTAACATTTTGGATTCAGTTATAAAGAACTTATTGAGATCTTAGCTGTCAAGCTGACCCCACAATATATTTTATTTTTTATAAAGCATTCATTAAAATAAGAGAATCTTTACCAGTTTAGCTTTGAAAAAAGAGACCCTATATGGTTATTATCAAGGGTTTACCTTTTAGCCATCTGTTCTATGTTGTATCCAGGACTTGGATCATTTGAAAGCTGAAAGATATACAAATGTAACAAGTGAAATTATTTATAAGATAACATACAACACATAATCCCTCCAAAAAATCAGGTTTATACAGATCTCTTTTGCATTAACTTCAAATCTTGCTCAATAGTGTTTTCTCTTTTTCTTTTAAATAGAACAATTAACAAATAGTCAGAATTTACAATATTCCTTGATACCTTCAAGACCCTTGCAAATCTATCCAGACAATTTCCAACAGCAATGTCAATGGTTTCTCCAAAGATGCGATATCGCCGCTGTAAGTACGCTATAACTTGTGTGTTCCCACCACTCACATAGAGGACAGTGGGATTGACAGCACCTGTCACAAGCCGTCCCATCTCAATGTGTCCAATGCAATGATTGACAGCCACAATAGGCTTCTTCCAAAGCTGAGCAACTGTCCGTGCAACAACGGCCACAGAGACCAAAGGGGCACCCATACCAGGACCTGAAATTCAAAAGAATTATGCAGACCTTTAGAAAATGTGTAATGGTGACTTCACATAAAGCTGGTTTACCTTCAAATACAGTTAAAGAACAGTATACAAATTTAACTGCTTAGCATTACACATTAATTTTAAGTCTTTAACTTCAAGTTTATTAAAAGAGAAATACTTGACCCACCTATTTTAGGTCAGAATAATTTCAAAATAGTTCAGTTTTCATCAAAAGGGAAGGGGGAGTCTGGGACCAATAACTTATTAAACAAAATTTGTAGTGATTGCTTGTGTGGCCTAGAGGAGATGAAGGTTGGTGGAATACCAAATCAGAGATCAGGTGTTCCAATCTGGGTGAGTGCAAAATTTAAAAAAAGATCTGAATGGGTTGACAGGGATTCTGGCAGGTTAGGGTAGGGTTAAGGATTGAGGTGGGTGGGTGGTGTGCTAACATTTGTTTTAAGAACCCCTAAAAGGCGAAAAAAAGGTTTAAAAAATTTAACCTAGATTGAAATCACTCTGGCCAAAAATACATTTTAAACTACAACATATCCCTACAGAAGCTGGTGATATTTGAACTAAATCATGCCTTTAAAATCATATCATCATTTAAATAACCTTTGGTGTAGCACACACAGTCAATCTCCTGGGGTTTGACATTAGCCTCTTTCAAAGATCTAAAACAAAACATAATCTTGCAAAATCAGCTTTAACAGACTGATTCAAGAGTTTAAGGCACACTGTAAGGTAAGGTACAGTGGAACCATGCTTTATGGCCACCTCAATCCACCATACTGTTTAATGTTTGGGCCTTAACACAAATTCTTTCAAAGTTTAGATCTATCTCAAAAATGGTCTCCATAGCCTGCAAGCAGCAACTTTGCATCCACAAAAGCCCACGTGAAGTGAGCTGAATCATTTTTACAGCATTTTCCAATAATTTATCGGTAAAAGTTGCAAAAATGATTTGGTACTACCCTGTAAAATTGTTACTACTACTAAGATTGATGTGAAGTATATATGAAATAATTCATATTTGAACTGCAGTTGTAGATGAAAGTAAAGAATGATCATCGCAGTAAATTTTCCAATCTAAGCAATTGGAAAGAAGAAACCTGAAAAAATCAGGAATTATTTCAAATATACTTCACATCATTTCACTCCTCACAGGAAGATATGAACTCAATTAATTGACGTTGCTCCAAATGTGTGGCTTCATAACTCAGTTGGTAGAGCATCGCACCGGTATCGCGGAGGTCATGGGTTCGAATCCCGTTGAAGTCCTGATTTTTTCAGGTTTCTTCTTTCCAATTGCTTAGATTGGAAAATTTACTGTGATGATCATTCTTCACTTTCAACTACTAAGATTATCATGCACTACCCTTTTGAAACAAAGATACCCTTGCTTGGTGAGAAATGAGAGGAGACCTCTGCTTGAAACTGCTCAATTTTCTATCACTCAGGTGCGAAGGGAATCCCTGTCTCGCAGGGTAATTATACAAGACCAAAATTGCATACTTATTGGTTGCGGACAATAGCCACCAATCAGGAGGCCCACTGGTGGTTGGATTAGCAAGGTCATGCTATATAGGAATAGCTCTGGTTTTAGAGCAGAACACAATATTGCGATCATCGCCCATGCTGAACCATATGAACTTGGTGATACAAAATGTAGACATAGTCTGGGCCCACTGTGATTTGCATACATGTACCCAGCCCAGTCTGCAATAAAATTCCTCTCAAGATTGTCCACTTAACAACGGCAAGCACTAAAGGCAGAATGTTTTGCGGTCTTTTTTGACTTTAATAAGTAGCAATCTCACCAAACAAATTTCCAATTAATTGGCCTGGCCAAGAAATCAAACACGAAATTATACACGTTACACAGTAAAGCTTCCCAGTTTGCATGGATGTCCAGTGTGCAGAACTGTTTATGCAATGTACCTTCTCAAAATGTCAATGATATTTTCTCGGTGATGTTTCGCCGTATCTCTTGGTAGGAACCCTAAGAATAGATATCGTGTAATTACGTATACCTCCACTCACATTGTGAACAGAACATTTAATACGCTTAACTAGAAGAAAGCAAACCTGAAATGTAATTTTTCCCACGTGCACAGCTTACCTTGTCCCGGCGGAGTAATGTAAGTTGTTCGTACATTAGAGAGGACAACGCCGTCTTTTATAATGCCAATGCCTAGTTTGTTTGCACTACCTTCAAATCCGATAGCAATTGTCATGGTGAAATTGTCAAATACAGCAGAAACAAAATAAAGAAACCGTTTGAGAACTTTCCTCTCAGATCGCCGCCATTTCGTTGTTCCCAGAACCCAGTCTTTCTCCACTCTTTGGCAGAGAAATTTATGGTAGAGGCCCTGTGGTAGAGGGGACGGTATGTTGAAAGTGTGCGGTTGGGGTGGGGTAGGATGGAAAGGGTACAAGGGTATAACGTTTTAATTTTTTTCCAACTTTGAAAAAAAGAAAAAAAAAGAATTTTTCTTTTCATTACAAATTGTTTTTCCTTAATCATAACTCTTCCTATTTTGAGAAACAACACGATGTTTTCTAAAAACATGTTTCAACAGAATCTTCTGTCGTCTTCAGTTTAAATTACAAAGTACAGAGTTGATATATAGTGTATGCAAAATGCTAATTGACTATAAGAACAAAAGGAAACATGAAAGTGTAAAATATTACAAAGAAAGTTTTAAATTAACTCTTCCTATCTGTACACAAGTGGTTTAAAAATCTGGGTTGCACTTAATTCTAGGCAGTGGAACAATTTTGTAAATAATTTGCATGTTCATTAAAACATATATCAGTTTCTACCCCTATTTCAGACATTGTCTGTTTACAGGATAAATGAACATGGACTGGGTTAGGATCTTCAAAGAAAAATAAATTATGCCACTCTGAGTCTATTTCTACTAGCATTCATTCTGGGAAGCAAGGTGGACATGGCAGATTTGCATGCCATCATCATTTGACTACAACTGCCTGAGTTCCTTTCAATTTTTGTTTATTATTTAAATTTTAAACCCCAGTGGGGTTTAAATAACAATTGCCCTAATTACCATAAGAAACAGAAAAAGTGAAGGATTCTGGCAGTTGTAGTCAAATGACACCATCATGCAAATCGCCTATTAGTGCAATAGCACTAGACCTTGATCAAACCGTCTGGTTTTGAATCTTGACCGCAGTCATAGTGTTGTGTTCTTTAGCAAGACACTTTACTGTCCAGTACCTCTCTCTACCCAGGTGGGTAAGAAGGTACTAGCAAATCACAAGCTGAGGTGTAATCCTGGGATGGCCTAGCATCCCATTCAGAGGGGATTAGAATCCAGAACTGAGTGCTGGCCTGATCAATCACTAGGCTCAAACACAGACTGAAACTTTACCTTAGTTTGGAAGTGCAGAGTTTCAAATTTAGCATTGAACTTGTTCTGGAACAAGGTCTGTTTTCTTTACAACTGTTGTCTGGGTCATCACACAATGCTTCCTCAGGAGAAGATCTTCATGATCACCCAAAAAACTGATGCAAAGTATTGGAGTCCACACCAACACCCGCCCTCCCCTAAGCATTTTTCATTTCTTTAATAACTTCTGTCTTTTAACATCTTCCATTACTCATTTTAAAAATATTGTTTAATTTCATTTGCATTTCCTGTTTTCTTTTTCTTTTAATTTCAGTTATTGAATTTACAAGTAGCTATGTTCAATATTTACATCAACAGCCATAAGACATGTGAAGGTCCAACAAAGGTTTGGCAAGATGTAAGGATAAAAGTAAGAAGGGAGACAAAATGTGGGATGACAAAAACTTTTAATCATTGGATACATGATAAAAATGATTCAGCAGCAGCAGGATGTGCTCACTTTGACAGGTGGGATGTGGGATAGTTCTAAAGGTGATGCCATTTGTTATGTGGTAGAAAAAAACAGAAAATCACACGTTATTGCGACTCTAACCAAGCACAATCAGGATAAACATTATGAAAAGGGCAGGATGGTGGGATTGAGCCAAAAAAGTGGGATATATGCATTGAAAAAGCCGATGTTGGACTCTCACATGTGTGAAGTCTTATAAATAATATAAAATTTTGAGCTAATAAAAAACATAAAGAAAGCATTACTCAAGCTATTGAAGAATGTACCTGCCCTCATGTTTTATATTAGCTTATTTCAGATTGTAAGACTAGGACACTAGTAAAAGAAACCATGATGAACAAAAAACACTGCTGAACAAGGAAATACAATGTAGGAAAGCAAGGTTCTTCTCCCTAACTAGCTCCTCATTGTACAGTCAAACACATTATTTTTCTTGCTCACTCGTCCTATACAAATCTGACAACAAGAGGTCAGAGCAGTCATCCTAGCAGAAGGTGAACACCAGGCCACTCACTGTCATGTCCTGTGTATCCAAGGTAAGTAAGCCTCATAGCCACACTGATCCCACAGTGTTGAAGTAAGTAAGGAGCATTAACAAATTTGAATCCTTTAGCTGGTATTTTTCTGCTATAATAAGAAACCAATTTTCTCTTTATTTGTACTCGTTTCAGCTTCTTCCTTATTGAGAACATTCAAAAGTTCTTTGTTCAGTGCTTTTCCAACAGAGCGAGCAGTCTGAATAAGATAAATAGGATTTGGTTAACGTTTACCAACAATATTAGATTATGAAATCAAGATGTTTGGGCATTTGATTTATGCCATTATTGTAGCATGAACTAAAGAAACAATGGCTGTAATGACCAATGAAGATATGATGGAAATTGTTGCAAGCTACCTTAAAAGACACATGACAGTATTTTTTATTTGTTTTAGTTAACTTGGGAATTTAATTATCCAGCAATATTTCTGAATTGTTCTTCTGAACTTTCAAAAACAAATACACAACCATATTGTATCTGACCTGCAGCCACTACATACACTAATGGACGATAGAGCATGATAGCTCAGCCAATCAGATTGCTCCATTTTCATTTAGTATTAATTTATAATACTAGCAGAATTCTGCTAAGATAATATTAGAGGTTAATGATAAAAAGGGACTAGTAAGGTCATTATGCTACAGATATACCTGGCAAAACATATTTTAGAACATGGAACAACTACTCAATAAATGACAAGAAAAAGTAGTAATAAACAGCCAGTTTAGGTTTCAATACACAGTGAAAGTGAATTTTTACCTCAATCATCTCAAATATAGAATCAGGATCCAAAGCTCCAGGGCCAACTTTCTGCATTGCGCAGATGTTGTTGTTGCCGTTCACTGACACCAGAAGCTGAGCAAGACAACAGGCTTCTTCTTGCAGGCTGGCATCCACCACATGACGATGGCCAATCTACAACAAAAAAGTATTCCAGACATTACATGAAGGTAAACTTACTTATGGCTGGGACAAGTCTAAGCAGGAGGAGCTTAATTTCATCGCACAAAATGACTTTGAACTCTTACTCCTTCAAGATGGCTTACTAGTTCTGTCACAGGTTAACCCTCTCACAAGTTATTGAAGGTTTCCTCCCAATAATATTCTTGTAATAAGATAAGACTTGTGATGAATGGTTATTATACCTTGCTCATAGTGACTGTCACAGGAATTGAACTAACATCCAGCTTTCTACAGTCATGAGGATCATCTGATATTTCTAGTTCCATATCTCCTTCATCTGTCGAAACTGTAACATTTGGAATTCTACGACCAAAAAAAGTCAATTTGCTAGCAGGTCACCATATGTATCTTTCAAACAAAATTTTTTGCCACAAATCACCAAGAAGTTAAAGATCAAGATCAAACAAAGTTTTGTTTGAACCAAATTAACAAATGAACATATTTAGGCAATTACTGGTAAGTATGTCATGCTGTCTTGATGTATTACCAAGCCTCAGAACTGACATTCAAGGAAATATATGATGATCAACAAAGAGAATAAATAAATGTTATTTGAGCTTGGATGGAAGAATACAACAAGTCAAACAGGAAAGTGAACTTTACCTGGTATTATGAAGAGCTGCTTTCACTGCCAAAGACAATGAATCAAACAGATTTCCACCACACTCTAACACCTATCAAATTAAACACCTTCCTCAGTCTGCCATGGTATAGACAGGTAGTAAATAAAACATAAAACTAGGGTTATAAATATATTATTACATGAGCTCATAGGACTTGTGCAATTTTGATAGCCTTTGAAAAATTAACTGGTGATTATTTATTCCAAATTGCACTCAAAATCATGTGATTACCACACAGAATGCTTAAACTTTCTTTTAATATTGAGTTTTAAATCAAGCCAGATGTGAAAATCTTTAGCCTCCAGTCGTGATCACTCTGCCCAGGCTTTGCTATCCTTGATCTATGCATTGCCACTTGGCTAATTTTTATAAAAGAAAATTGTGATCTCAACAGGTTACCATACCAGAGCATCAATATAGAGAATCCAACACTGCTTTCCAGGTAGAATACACAATGACTCCAAATCAATAGCAGACTTGTGATTGTATGCCCTCTCTAATGTCTTGGCCAGCATTGTACCCAATTCTTCTCCTCCTCTTCCTTCAAACTCAGGAGAAGCATTTGCTGAGCTGGAGGAAAGGAGATGTTAAAGGATTCAAATTCTGTTCAAACCTCAGTAACTAGCTACACTCTGAAACAGAAAGCAATTGAGCCATGTTGCTGGGTGGTGCATTGAGCACCAAAAAGCTATTGTGTTGTTACATAAAATAAAAATTGATAGTGATCATACCCCTCCTAAGAGGAGATTTTTTTAATTTTGAACCCCTTCCCTCATCCTTCTTGAAATTGCTGTTTTGGTTCATACTAACTTTCCTTTAAAACCTCATTCCCCTTGGAATTTCCAAAAAACCCTCCCTGGGGTGGGTATGGACATTTTCTGGGACCACAGATTGGAATTATGGAGTCTTACATAGGTAACTGACAAGTAGCCACATAACATTTTGAGGCTTTCCTTCTGATACTTTAAAGGTCATCCCTTCTCACTACCCATGCATCATATTGGATTGATCTTGAGTAATCTTTCACACTTAGCCTGCTGGTTGTCTGATAAAAGATAAACTTCCATGGATGATAACAATATTAATCAACTGCACACAAACTGGCTGAGAAAAACCTTTAATTATGTGGAAAACATTTACCAAAATCATGAAACCTTGAAAATTGGGTTAAGATAATGCATGCAAGTCATATTCACACAATGACATCAACTGTGGATCTGTCTCATGACTGATACATGTCACAGACAAAAAAGGCAACATGAGCATTGTTTTGGCTATCATGTAAAAGGTGCTAACATCAGTCTCTGTTTCATCAGGACACAAGGAGTTTGTCACTGCACCTTTCAATGAGACTTCAACTCTGAAGTTTTGAAATTAACATAAACAAGGTACCTGTGTTTCACTCTGCCATCAGTTTCTTACCAACTATCTACAATGTTTCCAAACGATCAGAGTTTAATTCATATGTGATTAAAAGGCACATTGAAACAATTACCATTTTCATAAAATACTAATTTAAATTAGGAATAGAAAATCAACAAATAAATGCAAAATCAGTCAATAATTAGTCAAATTCAACACAAATCCTTACCAGTCAACAAAGAACTCAATACATCCTTTGTTTTGTTTCTCTATATGAGGTTCTCCTATTTCGGCTTTAACTCCAACCAAAATGTCTGTTTTGGACTTCAATCAAAACCAAAAACATGCCAATGAATTAAACAGTGAGCTTTATTGATTGATTGGTCAGATCTATAACCTAATTATGTCCGGCTAAATGTCCCAACTTTGCTCCACTTTGCTATTAATGCATCATAATTGAAATTCTTACCAAACGAAGTCGTGCGGACCCACTCGTGTTAGACACTATTCCAGTTTCTACTTCAAAATGTCTGTAATCTTGACAAGACCTTCCATCACTTCGGAAATCTTGTTCAACCCCACCAATAATAAAAGTCCGTTCAAATGACGAGAGCATGGCATCCGCCATGTTGAAATGTTTGCACTATACCACGCAGTAACCCTTCATTGAGTATGCCGCTGAGCCTTCAGGTTGGTAGTGAAGGCGTCAGATTCAAGTCGAGGCTAGCAGGCGGAAGAATTTCCTCCTTTGCTCCAGCTGTAACTGAGCTGAAACTGTATAAATTTAGAAATCGTAACTAAATCAAGGCTGTTTCACTCTTACAAAGAATATGGCAACTGGAGGATACCATGTACGACCAAAGATTGTAGAAGAAAACTTCTCGTGTCCTGTTTGTTTGGAGGTTTTGGAAAATCCCATCTCAATACCTTGCGGTCATACGTAAGTTAAGGTTTAGTTTTGACGAGAAGCAACAGTTTCATCCCGATTTCCGTTTTTCTTTTCAAATTACTTTCAGTTCGTAATCTTTTTCAAGCTTATACGTACTGGAATGAAGCTGACTGCCAACACCTGCAGCTAAAGAACATGAATTCCGAGAACTTGCATTCCTGAAACAAACCGGAAGTGGTGATGCATGGCAAAACTACACATACTCCGTAAAAACTTAACTCTGACTTAGTTTATTTATTATCTCTTGTATTATGGGTAACTACATAGTTATTTTTAAATTAAAACTAAAAGCATTAAAACCTACGTATTCCAGAAAATGGAGCTCAGCATATTTTGTGTGTCTTTGGGAAACAAGACTGCTGGCTTTCATGTTGTTTAGACTTAAAATGGGGCATGTGTGGCTTTATATTAAAACTTTACACCTAAAAGTATGCAGTCATTGTGACAGTGAGAAAACTATGTGCATCATTTGCTAATGGAATCATCTGAACCACTTACTTGGTCCTTTAGGGAACTTCAGATGCCACTAAGTTGCAAACATTTAATCAATGGAAAGGAACGAAACATTGCTGAAATCAATATATCTACATAATGCAACACTCAAATACAAAAAAGCTCACAGGATAGGTTATGGTGCTGTATTTTAGAACACTGGTACCTTAATTAAGGAAGTAATACAATGATACACAGTAGAAAGCCCTCAGTGTCTGCAGAGTTTATCTGGGCACTAGACTACCAAGGCTGCTAACAAGGGCACTTGGTGTCATAACCTCCACCAAGTCATCGGCTCCTTTGAAGTGAACCATCATGCCAGCAAGGAAGAAAAGAGATCAAGGTAGAAAAACTGTGTCCAAGCAACTGGTCTTGAATTGGCCTCATCAGCCACCAGCATCCCTGAACTTCAAAAGAACAAAAGTGACCTGACCTCAATCTTCTATTCTGAAGTTAATTCCAACAACACTATAGTTGTTACATGTAGGATCAGGATGGGCCTTACCGTATTGCATCATGGACAAAATGTCTTTCATTTCCTTTATAAAAACAAATCAAAGAATCTTTTTTGTGTTTTTGTAAGTTTTAGAGACACAATAATGTTATTACTTTTAGCAAGTGGACTACAAGACACAGGTCCTTTTGTTCAACAGGATCAACACTTTTTATCTAATATTAAGCCGACATTTTGCCATCTCATTTCAGGTTCTGTAATAATTGCTTGGACTCTTGTGAAAATATTTCTGGGTCTTCAACATGCCCTGTTTGTCGGTCCAGTTTCAGTGTTCACGAGAAGCGCAGAGCTAGAGATATTCATAGACAGATCCTTCAAAGTAGTGGATCCTGTTCAGGCTGTAATAGACAGGTAAACAATGTGCTTTGCAACTCAACACTTCCCAAGTCTCTTACTCATTGTTATGTATAGTCAAACTTTATTGAGTCTGGACTACTAGCTGGAGCTTGCAAAAATAAAATGTTGAGTGTGTAAGTGAAAGTCAGGATTTGGTAACCTAATTCACCACTTTACAAATAAGAAGAAACCTGGGGCGAGAACCATAATCCTGGCCAAAAGGGTATGGGACATTTCCCTTTGTTGTCACTTTTTTGTGTGGAAACTGCGAGAAACCAACAATTTACAGTCATAGAAATAGCCTTAAAAAATTCTCCCCACTCCCCCTGAACAATGGTGAAGTCCTTTAACTTTAGAATATTTGTGATACATCTTTGACTACTGACAACCAACATTGTCCAGGGGGAGAGGGAGGATAGATTGGAATGCTGTTTTTATAGATAAATGAGAGTGTCCTGAACATTTTGGCCAAGATTGCATCTTACAATTGCTTGTGTTACTGGTGACGCCATAGCTTCTTGTCATTTGTTTTGTCCCCAGAAACAAGGTGAGACGTGCCCCCAGGGTTCTTCTAGTTTAAGTGGTGAATTGTTAGTGCACTGGACACTGAATTGAGCAATCTGGGTTCAAGTTCTGGCCAGGGTCATTGAAAAAAAAAATTATTAAAATGTGTTCTTTTGCAAAGACCTAATTTACATGTACATTCATAATGCCTATCTTCACACAGGTTTATATACAGAAGGTTACCTGGGAATTAACATTAGGGGAAAACCCTGTATCGGACAAGCATCCCATCTAGAGAGAGAAGAAATACTACTCCTATACAAGTTATATTGTACTTGACAAGTACATGACATCTGTGTGACATCTTGATCAGATGTAGACTTTTATTACCTACTGTACCTTACAACATACTGTATTTAGGACCACATTGTGAAGTCCACATAATGGAGTTAAAGGAGCTAAGCACACATCAGTCTTAGCTGATTACAATCTGCTTAACATTAATTTGTGGAGGGAGGAAAATTGAAGAACCCGCAGAAAAACCCTTGGAGTGAGGCAAGAACCAGCAACAAACTCAACCCACATATGCCACCGGGCCAGAATTGAACGCTGGCCACGTTGGTGGTAGACAAATGCTCTTACCACTTGGCCATCCCTGCTCCCCTAACATGACTGATTGTTATGACATAAAAGTGGCTAAATTTAGAATACTAATAACAAATACAAAGTGATTTTTGAGATCCCTGTTCATTTTTTTCAGTTTCCCATGTCCAGATTAAGAGAACACAGATCATCTTGCACATCAATGCCTGATCAGTCGTTCTCTCCTATTGCCCCTACTTCTCAACCGTGGCCAGAGTAAGTTGACTTTTGTAAATATGAAATTTGTTGCATTCTTAATTAAGTTTGATAAAGAAGTGGCTAGTTTGTATTAACTACATTGGTCTGTTATAATCTCTTTCCCTGCTTTGTAACTCCTTCCCCCAGAATCAAATGCCTGTTTTATAAATACTTAGTTTTCTTTACATATAAAACTTGTAACTTGTAATTGTAACTTTTTTTTTTTTTGTCCTCCAGAACTAAAAATCGGTCAACATTCGCCTGTCCTTTCTGCAACCAGAGAAACTTTGACAGTAGTGGACTGTTGCAACATGTAAACAGCAATCACAAAAATGAAAGACAGTCTGTGGTAGGTTTAATGGTTAGCCAGAGCAGTTTTCAACTGAGTGTTGTAAAATCAATGCCACTTAGTAATAACTCTGGCCAATCACAAAGGACACACTGGCAATTGGACCAATATATTTACTCCAAGCAAATAAGTATGGGTTATTGACCAAGTGTGAGGTCAAGATGGCTGGATATTGGCCAAGTTCTTTTTTTGCGTGTTTATGGACCAAGACAGAGTCAAGGTCCATAAACTCGCAAAAAAAGAACGAGGCCAATATCCAGCCATCTTGACTAAACAAGCTTGGTCAATAAAGGATTTATTATATGGCTTTTGGGGAAATTTTTCTTGCGGGACACGTCAGGTAGTCCCAAGCGGGCAAGATAGCTCCATCTTGCCCACTCAGGTAGCCAATCACAGCACAGGATTTGATTCATCTTGCCCGCTCACGAAGCTAGCCATATAATAAACAATTATATAGCTGATGCAAAGCACAGGAAAACAAGTGCCTCAGGGAACAAGTTACGATTGATTTTGGTTATGTTCTAATTGGATGACTAAAAGGCATAGGTATTCAGCATAAATTAAAGCAAAACCAAAACAAATGTGAATTTTGACAGTCAGTTAGAATAGTGCCAATTTTGTTAAATGAAATAAGAAGAATATTTACAATAATAAATAAATAATAATAAATAAATATTTATATGGTGCCTATCCATGCCTGCTCTAGGCGCTGTACAATTCGCCAAAATGAGCTGTACTAATCTTAATAATTAAAAATGTGCATTTAAGAAAGTAATAGAAAGTAAAAATCGATAAGAATAATAAGTTTTCTTTAAAAGATGAGTTTTGAGTTTAGATTTGCTTTAATCTGCTTTGCTGATAATTTGCTTTAATTATTTTCCATGCTTTCTAGGTGTTTGCCAATCATAACTAGCCTGAATTTCAGCCATCTTCTCTGGTCACATACTCCCAAGAGAAACTATTTGAATTAGACAAACCTCTGTAGAATGAGCAAGCAGACTGAGATGACTTGTTATTCACCTGAAATGTGGTTACTGCTGAATAGATGTGAAAATCACATATAATAGCTACAGTTTTTTTTTTCTACAGGTGTGTCCAATCTGTGCCAACATGCCGTGGGGGAATCCCCAGCAGAAAAGTGGGAATTTTGTTCAGCACCTTAATCTGCGGCATAAATTTGAATATGACACATATGTGGTGAGTCAGTAGTTGTGAAACTTTAGGTAGCTTAATAAGCAATGATGATGGTCACACCAAGAACAACACCTAGTGAAAAAAAAANAGGAGGCCAGTGGGAGGCTAGTGGGACTGGCATACTTTGGCTATTTGCAAAGTGTGGCTAAGGAGTTGAATGCAGGATAATAGTTATTGAGAAATAATTTTCAGTTAGTAACCTGTAGGGTGGAGTATTTGTGGTAGGGGCCTCCCAATTCAAAATCAGCCAGTACCTCAAACCACTCTGCTGCACCACCTCCATATATCTCTTGTAAGAGAAGGCACATTTTGCAAAAGTAAAAGGACAGAGGCCAGAACCACTAAGGAAGGACAGGAAACCAGGAATAAAGGCATGGAAAGTAAGAAGATCAGACTCACCTTTTCCTAGCTACCCCATGTAGAGACATTCCACACCCTAGTTTTTTGTTGTCGGAACCTTTGAAGTTTGCATATTTTGTCGGCTTCTTTGAAAAAATATTCCAACAGGCCCTGTGGCAGAGGTTGCCTTCCATAGGGGGTGTGCGGATAATAAATGGAATGTCCCAGTATATCAATGAAACAATGTGATATAGCCATTCGTAAAGAGGTAAACAACAAGAATAAACACTGCGACTAAAATTTCAAGCTGAAAACGACTTCCTAACAGTTTGCTTAGCTTAATTACCTCCTAGTAAAGGTTTGCATGAATTCATTATTCCTAAACTGCTCTTTTAGGTCATTTAGTTCTTTCTCTAACTGTCCATTTCTTCTTGCAAGCTTCTTGTACTTCTTTCTAATTCGTTCATTTTCTGTAGAGAGCTAAAGAAATATTTTCAAAAACTCAGTTTAGCTTACTTTACAAATGAAAACAGCAACAAAATTCAAAAATCGTTTGATAAAAGCTACTCACATATAAGCAGTTGTGTATATCAGGCATTGACATTTTGTTTAACACACTATTTGTTGTTAACACTGTTGAAAATGTTTCGGTGTTTTGTAAGAGGATTTTCAAAATCTGCCGCCAGTCGCCGCCATTTTGGAAACCGCTGACAACGAATGGCAAGTGCATAAAGGAATGTGCCCGCAGTTCAAAGGACTGTGCTAGGCGGTCGACTTTTTAGAACTACGTTATGTCTCACAAGACCAGCACATTTTCTCAACGATTTCCTGTTTTTTTTCTCGTGGGCCTTTATGATTAAGGAACTTTGCAGCAATGATCGCCTTTTTCTTGAAGGGCATGCTTAGAAGTGAGACAGGAGAGTCGGTGAAACTTCATGATTTACAAGCCCTTGGTATTTAGATGAATATTTCACTGTAAATAGTGGTATCACGCACGCTACGGAATCTTGCATCACAAAATGCATCGAGACAAAACTACTTCCTTGTGTTTGCTGTTTCTTGTTATAATCTGGGGAGACTGTATGACCAAGGAGGAGATAGAGAGATACAGGTTAGTGTGCAAAAAAATGTGGTTAAACACTGTTTAATCATTTGTTAACAGCTGTTTACAGTGAATCAGATTATACACGTACGAAGCTAAGCTAAGTTCAGTCAATGCCGTGATGAAGAAACTTATAAATTGAGAAATATCTTAAATTTTATGAAAAAGTTCATTCAATTTTTCATTATTTCACTGCAATTTAAGTCTTGGCCCTCTTTTGGCGAAACTTTGAGAAAAAAGCGCAGTGAGATCGGAAAACTACCGAGGAAAACAAAGGCAAATTATTTGCATATTTGCACCTCATTTCAGAGCGTTAGCCAAAAGAAGTATAAAGATAGCTCTATAGCTGGCATGCTGATGATTGAATTTTCTATTTTTTTAGACTCAAGACGAAAGCTATGTTTTACCATGGATATGATAGTTATCTTAATTATGCTTATCCTTATGACGAGCTAAAGCCTTTGTCGTGCAGTGGGCAAGACACATGGGGAAGGTGAGACCTGGAATAATTTATTATTTTAATAACTCTTCACTTGATTTTTGATATAGCTTAGGTAAAATGTTAGACATGTGTAGACTTTCTGGTGCATAGCTATGTGAGAAGTTCGTAGCAGCATAGAGAAATTATTTCACTGTGCTGTAGCAGTGTGTTGATAAAGCCAGGACAGTGTAGACGACAAATTATATCTCGATAGCTTTCTAGTCTTCTGTGATGGGTTGCTCTGATAATAAAACTATGATAGCAACTGCTCACCGGCAGGCTGGGGTTGGGGGGTGTGGTGGGAGATATTTATAAGTTAAATGGGTATGTGCCGCTGTGAAGGGTATGGCCTTCAGGCAGGTTAGTCTGGGATATGGTATTAGAATTAAGACAGTTTTGGTCTAGAATAGGGTATAATTTACTGGGAAAGTGACCAGTGTAGATCAGGTAATTTAGTCTAGATCAGGGTTATTTACCCTACGTGAACATGTATAATATTATAGAAATTGAAACTCAGAAGTGACTTTGTAAGATATTAATTCAGTTAAGCATATGTTGGACTACAAATAGTGGAGGAAATACTCCTAAGTGTTTCAGAAGCCATTAGTGCTAGTTGTATGTGAAACTTTAGCCTGATGGCAAATCTTACTCTCATTTGCTTCAAATAGTGTTTGCCTCGTCATGGCTTATAAATTGGCTATACTTTTGATACAATCACAGCATAGTCTTCAGTTATGAACATGTACTTTATTTATTATTTATTTACTATAATGCATGAAAATTAATGTTCTCCATTTTGCCTATTTTCAAGCATATAACATGTATTTGTTGCAAACTTCTTTAGCTACTCATTGACACTGATAGATGCCTTGGATACTCTGTTGGTAAGTAGTGCAGGACGTTAGCATTTTATCATTACATACATACATACATACTTTATTGTTACCTCCACAATGGGGCTTTTCAGGAACAATTACTTAAATTACTAAGTTACTAATAACTTAGTTCTGTCCTTCTGTGACCTTCTGTGAACCAAGAGCTAAAAGTTCTGTGCAAAAGACTCCAACATGTGGTAGTTTTTGGGTTACAAAAAGGGGATTGTTTATCAAGACTAGTGCTATCCATCACTATTTGAAAAAAAATATTACATTGTAGTAAGGATCTCTCTTTTCTTATCGTGATTATTAATATCTGTTTTCAGTTATTAACAAATGAACATATTTCCTGTCTTAAGATTCTTGGGAATACCTCAGAGTTTCAAAGGATTTCATTGTTGCTGGAAGAAACATTAGAATTTGATATGGATATCAATGTATCTGTGTTTGAAACAAACATACGAGGTGACAAACTTTTGTGCGATTTGAAAACATTCATCCTGTAATTGAACTGACCATTGCATTGCTATTTGTCCGAATATTAAGTCGTTTAAATGCAATAGATTGTAACAAAATAATGTAAGCAAAACCTGAAGGTGTAAACCTTTTTTCCAAAAATTTATTGGTCTTGCTTATTGCCAGATTGTTTCACATCAGGCAGTTTTTTCCATCCTTGTTCAATACTTAAGTCTTGAAAAAGGAAGTGTCCTTAAGGGGATACTCATATCTATGGAGTTAGGACTGTTGTTTGAATGAAACTTTAGGCAACAATTAGACAAGTATGATTGCAGTACAAAATCCAGGCATACAATGTACATACATTGATCATCTAGATTGCAAATAGATGTAAAGTACTTTTACTGACAAAAAAAGAGAAATTAATATGGGGGGAGGCTGGTACATGTTGGTCTGGGAAGCACTGATTAGAAGTATTTCACTTTGAGTCCTTTGCCTCTGCTGGTTTCTGCTTTGTTTTAAAAGATTGGAAGCAATTATACCACACAGTATTTTATTACCTTAAATTGCAGGGCATTTTGTGACATATTTGTTATTTTGTCTCAGTTATTGGAGGCCTGTTGTCAGCTCACTTACTTGCACCAAGAGCAGGAGTGACTGCAGAGGAAGGATGGCCATGCCAAGGACCACTGTTAAGACTCGCTGTGGATGTCGCAGAGAGACTGCTACCAGGTTGATCTCTAGACCTTAAATAGTATGTTATACTTTTATTGCAAACTAGGTTGCTGCTCAAGATATTTTTATACCAAACTAACCAGGCACAATTGCAAGGTTTCATGGCCAAATAGTACAAAATAAAGGAAAATGATTCTTTTTTTAAGGCCAAGTCCTGCAATCAGGCATGTAGTAGCTAAATATTCTGCATGCCCAGTGTATTTGGAGATTCAGGCCTACTGTGATAATTTGCTGTTCATTCTTAGCTTTAATTACTAATTAAAGGAAAAAGATGAGTTCTTCTAGTTTAGTAAGAGAGGTATCAAGGGAATGGTCAGAGAAAGTACATTCAATAAAATGCATGCATTAGTTGTCCTCTCCCTTGAATTTAGTGGACCTCAATGTGTTTGCACTGACATCTCCTAACCTTGTTTCTGGGCCATTTCTGGGCACTTTCATCTATGTTGTCTCTTGTATGTAAGGAGGAATTACAAAATAAACCTGAGAAACCTTGTTTCCTTTGATTTCTGCAATCCCTATGGATATTACGTAAGGTGGTATCCTAGTTTTCTTTTAAGCTCAATTTATCAAAATGTACTTCATGATCTACTATGTACAGCATTTAACACTCCAACTGGGATGCCATATGGCACAGTAAACCTTCGTTATGGAATTCCACCTTCGGAGACACCAGTCACCTGTACTGCAGGGTGTGGCACCTTCATTATTGAGTTTGGAACTATCAGTGTGCTGACAGGTATGTTAATTTACACAGACAGGTTGAACTAGGTTGGAAAACCATGAGCTGATTACATAATTTTTTTGCCCTGAAACTTCGATTGCCAGTTGCATATTGCCTGAAAAATATCAGTCTCTGTAAGTGAAGAATTTTCACTGCAGCTTAAACTGATTCAAACACATACTTCACAACATCACCATAATGCCAGTGTCATGCAGACTATAAAATAATGAGTTGTGTAAAGAATTTTAACCAGTCAACCTCATTATATAGACTTGCAGCAGGTAGTTGAATTATTAATTCACTGTTAGTTTTGTGGCAGTCATGCATAAATTGTGTCTATCCCTTTCATACATTCATGAAATTGTTTACCAATATTTTTTCAATTAGGTGATAAAAGATTTATCAATGCTGCTATAGGAGCACTTGAAGGTCTGTGGAAAAGCAGATCAAAACTTGGACTGGTAAATAAAACTTTTTTTACCTCTTTTGCCATTGAAATAGAAATGTAAAAAGAACAACAACTTTTTACTGAATTATTCTTGATGCAGACATCATTCTCCTATTTACAGTTATGTAATACATTGCTATGCCAAACAAAATGATATTACAACCACTCCATAGGTGATAATTCTTTACTTAATACACTACTTGTAATACTGCTGGTCAGAATACTATTGTATAGGTAACAAATAAGTAGTGTGAGCAGCCATGTTAGTATTGTAAGTAGTGTAAGTGGCAATTGAATTAAAAACAAAAAATTGAAAAAAATACTAAGTTAACAGGGCTAAACCCATCTTGACTGTAGTTCTCCTAGCGCTGATCACTTTCATGTTTACGCCATTATATTTTAATGCTTCCAAAACTTTTAACTTCTTCATTCCGCTTTTAGGACGTTGTGCGGTTTGTAATAATTAACATGGATGAACTCCCAAGTTGTTGTTGTTCGTTCGTGAACTTATTTCCTAGTTCCTGTATTACACGCTGGGTATCNTAATCGTTAAATTTTGTAAAATGTGAACCATTCAACCTAAAATTCCAGAAATTCTGGGAGTAAAATCAAATGGAACAGAATTCCCAGTGAGAAAAGTTCTCAAAGTCTAATTCATTTTTTTATTGCTGTTATATTGTAGGTGGGTAACCATATTGATGTAGTTAGTGGTAAATGGACAGCACAAGATGCAGGCATTGGTGCCGGTGTAGACTCTTACTTCGAGTATCTCCTTAAAGGAGGTATACTGTTTGGTTCACCAAGGTTGATAGACATGTTTAAAGGTAATGGTGAGAACATTCTTTCTGTTTTAACACCACAATGTTGTTTAACAATTTGATTTATAGTTAGATGCTAGTGGGGAAGAGAATGTTTTTTTTAGTACACGCATGTACAAGTTTTAATGTTTCAAAATTATTAGACTTTGCTTCCACTTGAGTTGAATACAATTTTTTGGCCTCCTTTTACTTTTTTCAAATAATTTTCAAGATTTTTCCTTGTCGGTATTATGCATATACTAGGTCATATTTGGCAGACTGATTTGCTTGTGGACTGAAAACCTTGTGCCTGTTTTTTATAATAAAAATATTAAATGATTTCGGTCTCATCCAAGGGTGTCAAGAACCTTTAAAATGATAACTGCTAAATGAACATTTTATTAATTTAGGCATACACTTATTAAATATTATAAATGATTTTAAATTGCATGTTTTTCTTTCTTCGACTCAAGGCATGGCTCCCAATTTTTTGTGTTAGAAATGATTGTCATGTGCATGCTTAATTCTATATTTGGCTTGGCATTGCTCCCAGTTGTGAGTGAGAAATGATCTTAAATATGCATGCTGTTCTATCTCATCCAAGAATTTTATAGCAAGGTTCAACAGTACCTGAAGATCAGTGATTGGTATGTGTGGGTCCACATGGACAAAGGTCAGATTACGATGCCAATCTTCCAGTCCCTTGATGCCTATTGGCCAGGACTTCAGGTGAGTGACAGCTGTCAGTTCTTTGTTGATTACCATGCTTACTGCACCCACTAGTTAATGCAATTATTTACTTGCATATACCCAAGGTGTGTCTTCAGCTTCATTGTTCGGTATAAATTTATCCAATTATTTATCAAATTTTTTGTCAATAATTATTATAGACGTTATGGGGCGATATTGGACCAGCATCAAGGACCCTTCAAAAGTACCACAGCGTATGGCGGCACTTTGGATTCATTCCTGAGTTTTATCAGATTTCTTCTGGAGAACCTTATTCTGGAAGAGCTGGTTACCCCTTAAGACCAGGTGGGGGATAACATCTACAAGAATTTTTCTGTTGATCATTATTATTGATTCACTGTTTGTTATGACTGGACCTCTTTGATAACTGTGTTAGTGAGATGGTGGTTATAATCTATAATTGAAATATTTTGAGAGCTCATGTTTACAATTATTTCTCTCACACCCTGTTGTTGTAAATATGTCATTATGTGACTCAGCTCTAGGGTCTCAGCTTATAGCTTACATCGGCCTCTAGGTAAAAAAACACTGTAGCTGTAGCTAAAACCAGGAAATAGTTTTCATAGGATATTCAAAAGCAATTTCCCTCCATTGACAAACTCGTATTACACCTTTGCACTTTCAATTCACACTACATTTGTGAATAAATATTTGGTCATAACCAAATGGCCAAGAAGTAACCAAAAAAGCAGATGTTAGATCTACCTAATCTTCAGCTACAATATATATTCTTTAGAAAACAGTCGTAAGAATATATGAACACTGATTGGTTAAAAATCATGTTTCTATAACTTGATAGAAACACAGAACTAGCATGAGCTGTTGACATAATGATGGCGCAAGCAAAGAGAATTTACATTTTGATAATCAAAGTTAACAAGTTGTTTTCCTTTTTTTCGTCCCAGTGTTTGCTAAAAGAAATAGAAAACATGTTCTCCGTGTTTCTGTCAAGTTATAGAAACACTTGTGAAAGTTTGGGAGAACTTGCTGTGGAAACACTCACCTGCGGCTCGTGTTCCCACAGCATTTCTCATTCTCCCAAACTTCCACTCATGTTTCTATAACTCGATACAAACATGTTACATGTTTTCTATTTCTTAAACAATGTATACTCTACGATATACAGTGCTACTCCTGTAAGTAATTGTAGCAAAATATAGCATACAACCAGCCACAATCTGACCTCAGTAGTAAGTCCTTATACCATAGGCACACAGTAGATAGGAAGGGCAACAGCTTCAGAATCCTTGGTACAAATTGTGCACACTGCATGTACTGCTTGCCTGTAATAGCTCTTTGTTCTCAACTAATGTCAATTTGTTTTACAGAGTTGATTGAAAGTGCCATGTACCTGTACCGTGCAACACAGGATCCTTATTTCCTAGAAGTAGGAAGGGATATGTTGGAATCAATAGAACATAGTGCTAGAACACCATGTGGATATGCCACAGTGAGTCCAACCATTGTTCTTAACTGCCTTTAGTACAAGTATACTTACCTCTCAGATTGAGTACAAACTTTCCTGTGGGAGGAACAATGGCCTTCTAATATTATCAGTATTGTCTTGCATTCTTAGGGAAGAAACAAAACTTTCTCTTGGTGCCTCTCTACTTAACAATAATTAGATTATGAGCTCACAATTTCTGTCATAAGCCCGAGTCAATCTTACAAAATCCTCTTCACCGACGCTTCGAAAACCCAAAGAAGTGGCCATCATTTTGTTCACAACCACACACTGCTAGGCTACTTACTACATGTATCTGCAATAGAACAGATAGTGAGTAGCCTAGTGGTAGCCAAAACACAAATAGATTTGTACTAATCAGTACGCATATAATGGGTACCAGTGAATTGATGAAACAACTGGGCAAATATAGTGCCAACATTTTGATGCACTACACTCTGAAAAGGCTTCAGTGCATTACTGCTCATAATCTATCATCACCTTGTTTAAAAGTAAGATTTAAATTTTACCTTTTGCTATCCTAGTCTTGCCCAAGACCTTTAACACTATTCCCATTTTACAATGTTCAGTCTGAATTCTCACATAGCTTTCAAACCTGTGAAAACATACCCAGCCCAGCAAATTTACAGTGTACTTACACAGTTTGCCAACTTTTCTTTCAGATAAAAGATGTAAAAACACATGAAAAAGAAGATAGAATGGAATCTTTTTTCTTAGCGGAAACAACTAAGTACTTGTATCTCTTATTCGATGAGCACAATTTTATTCATCAGAGCAATGGTTCAGTGGATCATCAAATAAAACCTTCTCTGTCACCATCGTGTAACACTGGATCAGCAGGATATGTCTTCAACACAGAGGCACACCCTATCGATATTGGCGCTATTCATTGCTGTTCATCCTCAAAACTTACACATATACCTGAAAATTTAAGAACTAGAAGAATGTCATTTACAGGAACTAAAGGGGAATCAGAAGTTTTATTGGAAAACATTGATGATGATAGCAGTCAAGGAGAGAAAACTTTTACTGGCTCTTACACTTGACAGGCAAGACCATTCCATAAGAAACTGTCAGTATTAGGAGCATTTATTGAAGGATCTCAAGAGCTACCAGGGAACACTTGATAAATGAAATTTGTTTTTCTATTAATAAATTATATTGTAATTTCGAAACATATCAAATGAATGTTATTTTCTACACAGCAGAGAAGATGAAACAATATTTTGAGCAATGCTGGAGTAGACAAGAAATTTGTAAATATATATATACATATATAATTTATTGTGTTTTGTAGTGTGAAGCACATTTAACAAATTGATTACAAACTAGAAAAAAAAACTACTGTTACATGTAGATATACAATAATTATTACTACAGAGTTTTACAATGAAAATGTCGATTTGGCTAGACATGTTTGAAAATCCTACATCCAGTGATATGAAAAGAATTTAAATAGGTGTTACAAATTAAATAGGACTGGTATAAACCACAAAATGATATTATCACTCTTTCACAAGTTATGTCCATTGGTTACAACTATCAGAGTTCATATTTATTTATTTTGTTATTCACAAAGGGGAGGTCTCATTCTGCTAGTTGTCACTAATAGTGCCAGTTGGTCATACTACCAGAGCTTATATTGAAGGGGAACACTAAAGTGTAGCTTGCCTTTGCTTTAGCAGGGAAGTATTGAACTAGAGTTGCAAAGCCATGAATTGAATGGCTACCAAAATAAAGTACTCTCATGCAACATCCCACCAGGTGATGTGAAGTCTATTAATAAATAAAAAAAGGCTGGCCAAGGGTCATTTACTAGGCTCTTCAATAATACATGAACTCTTCTCAATCAACAGTTTCATGTTTTGCTGCTGTCAGTCATCTTAGCAGACTTGTCAGGAAACAAGTTCCCTTTAATGGGTCTAAAAGGGGTTATGATTGGTAGATTTCAAACTTTGTTGTTTGTTTCTTTATTTCACAGTTGGTTGGTTGTCGTTGTAATTATGATTGACAGCAACAAAAATGAATTGTTTGTTAGGTTTTGAAAAAAATTACGCCTGTTCTGCAGGCTAGGTTTTGAACTTCAGAGTTTGTGTTATGAAAAGGCACAATAATTGTGATAAGTGAATAAAGATGTGAATTTACCATGGGAGTAATTGTCACAAATTTACTTTCAAAATTATCCAAGCATTCATCTGCATTTACTGATTAGAAAAAAAAAAACCATATCACAATCCTCAAACCATACTGGCAAGGCAAGTGACCTTTTTACTTACCAGTAGATGTAATAATTTTATTGTAAAAAAAAATATTTTGAAAAAATGAAATGGAAGTATAAAATGGCTGGGGATAACTTGATAGTTAAATATTTCATATCAAAACCTACTGTCAGAGCGTACCAGTAAGCTCAACTTTAGCTGTATAGGTTAACACTATTGTCAGTACACGTAGCTATGGTAATGATGCATCTGACAGCTAACAGACTTGGTGTGCAAAGTCTGAACGACACACCAGTTAGTTCATAGCCTGTGTGGTAGGCGTCGGAAGGGAAGGGAAAGGGGAAAGACGAGTGCACAGAAAGCGGGAGGATCAAGCACACAAAGCGCATGAGGGTAGGGGATGCAGGCCATCCCTCCTCAAAGCATGCTTGATCCTCCTGTGCTCATTTTGACCCCTTCCCTCCCCTTCTACAGCCTGTCACACAGGCTAGTTAGTCTACAGTTAGCTTTACTCTGTTAACTATAGTATAACTCTTACTTCTCATTCAAACTAAGTGTCAGGAGTTTCAACAAACACAGGAGATTTTGGAAACAAATAAAACACTAGTAAATTCTGTTAAGTATGTGTTTATTCTTACAATTGTCATTCTAAACATTTATTACTAGTAAATACTAGTAATAAAAATAATTTGCTAGCTGTAGTAATATATACTGTATATAAAAGTTACAAAATTATGTCAGGCAATTTAGGTCGTGACCTCTAGTCAACTTGACTAAAACCTTTGCTTCAAGATACCTTTTTACCAGAAAATAAAAATATTTATGAATAAATGATTTTTTGTTAAGCTAAAATGTGACTAAGAATGAATTGAATTACCAAACTACACCAACCCTATAATTATGTATGATTTTTGAAAACTCTAGCTGTTGCAAGGATATTGATTATAATGAATTCACATCATCAGTCACGCACATGCAGTGAGGTGAGCCACAGTACGCAAAAGAATGACATGACCTCACACTACTAGAATTATAATGTTCCAATACCAACTAAAACAGATCAAACTCCTAGTCTCTTGGCAAATCTATGCTGTCAAGGTACTGAGAAAGCTCTTGGGCAAGCTCGTTGGTTGCGGCAGCTAATACACGACGTGCCATTAAGTCCACTGGTTTACCTAGTACACAAACCACATTAAAATTTGTTATTTGTATGAAGGCCAAACAATTATTAGAAAACTTAATGTACTGTGGCACAGTCTTGATTATAAGGAGTGTCTTAAATCCAAATCAAAGGAACCACCCTGACCAATTGCAAATAGCCAATTTTACAGTTGTCTGCAGAGTCACCTGGCCTTTGGATGGCAGCGAGGCTGGAGTTGACCTTGTTTTGATACAGACCTCACTGCTCTTGTCATGTAAATGCACCTAGTTAGCATCAGAACAACTTGTTTTACACAACAAAAGCAGTGAGGTCTGTATCAAAACAAGGTCAACTCCAGCCTCGCTGCCATCCAAAGGCCAGGACACTGAGCAGACAACTGTAAAATGGTCTATTACAGTCAATCCAATGAACCAATCAAAACTCCCAAGCCAGCAGATATAGCTGACGTGAAGTATAGGAAAAGCATGAGTGAGAAAGTTTCTCCAGGTTGGATGCCAAAGTGGTGTGAGTTTTTTTAAGCCAACAATTGCTTAACATAGCAATGCCAAAACAAAGGAAGGACAAAACTTGTGTTGGTCTGGGAGAAATAAAACATCTGAATTAAGGCACAAATATAGCCAACACATGAAATTCATGAAAAAATTCTGAATTGAATGAACTTTCAAATTACACCAATTGCTAAAGCCTACATATACCTCAGGAGAAGACCTGTGAATAGCTCCTAAGTGGGGTAGAGTGGCTCACTTTCCTTGAGGATGTTTCCTTTTCATAAATATTCCACTAGGGTGCCTGTCCATCGGCAAATTAGTGGGGTACCCCACACACACACACACACACACAATGTTCCTTTTGAAAATCTAAATTCTGTTGAGCTAGCTTATAGTGTGCATGCTACAGAAAGACAACCAGACATCTCATTATTCACCTGAAGGATCTAGCACCACTCCTCCAGCTTCTTCAACTATTAATCCAGCTGCAGCAAAATCCCAGACATGAAGTCCAAACTCATAACTCGCATCTGCCCCACCACTTGCTAAAGTGCACAAGTTAATGGCTGCTGATCCCTGCATTCGTATGCTGAAATAAAATCGACAATAAACCAAAGAATCAGAAAGGCTTTGAACTCTTATTTATTTTCCCTATAGCATCTGCAGGTAAAGTTAGCTCATAAAGGCCTGTCCAAACGGGAAATGTTTGGCAACCAAACACCATCGAGCATTGTTTGGTGACCGAACATTTTACCGTTTGGCCACCTTGTTTGGTGCTGTTTGATCGTGTTTGGTTGTGTTTGGTCGTGTTTGATAAAATTTGAACGTCATCAAACATGCGATCAAACAACTTAAAACATTTCTTTTGCTCTCTTGTTTGATGGGCGATGTTTTGTTCGTTTGGCCAGCCGTATCAAACATGTTTGGCGTGCGCATGCGTACCATGCTTGCTCAGCGGTTTGTATCCGTAGTTTGATCTGTGTTTGATCAAACGTGTTTTAACCATTTGGCCACTCACATCAACATCAGCATGTTTGGTCACCAAACAATGTTTGAGGATGTTTGGTCGCCAAACATTTCCCATTAGGACAGGCCTTAACATCACACTCGTGTCGCTACAAGGTCTTACAAGACAGTGTAAATTGAATAGTCACATATTAACTACATGTTACATAGTATAAAATGTAATATCTGACAGATACCATAAACAAAACCATCATGGTAAATTTACTTGCATTGGGATAAACAAAGTGGGAGTTTATCTTCATTTGTGTCCAAAATTATCTTGTGAGCCTCACGTGACTGTTTGATGGTCTTGCAATTTTGGCTTGCTGGCTTGTAGGTTGGGCATATCCTTCATGATCACAGTTTTGAGTCAGCTCAGTAAAGCCTTAACCAATAATTTGATACATATCCTACACTGTTTGTAAAATACCAAAGTCTAATATATCTTTACCCATGAACTGTAACAGGTTTCTCTAAAAGTCTTCTAAGGTTCTTCATCTTTACATCTATGATTTCTGGTTCTCTGGATGAACCCACTTCAGTAATGACAAGAGCATTGCTTAGATCTGCAGATAAAAGTCACATAACAACTGACATGAGACTGAACAATCCCTAGGGAAGACTGTCCAAATGCTTCAAGAGACTACTTCCCATTGATCAATAGGAATAGCCATTAAACTAAGTGGCAACAGTGACACATGCGCTGAAAGGCTTTAAATGAAGTCGAAGTCAGTGTTAAAGTCGCTGGGTTGTAGAGTTTGGCACTTGAAAAATAGACAGCCCTCTTAACTACCCTGTGCATTTCTTTGATCTTTGTCAATCCAGCTCACACCACAGACACCATCATGTCCAGAGTTGTGTGACCAGGAGAGAGAAGAAGGAACAGGACTCTGACTTTGTAGTTCTTTCAAGTAACTGCATGACTCCTTATCTTCTATAATGTTCAGTTCCAGAAAATACACATACCCAACCCAAGAAAAATCATTGAAAATGCCAAGAGGGAGGTCAGGGAGAATTTAAAAGTCAAAGTTACTACGCGAAAGTACAAACTGGAATTTCCCCAGGGGTGAAGGGTTAAAACCAAAATACCTGTCAAGGAAGGGGTATGGATAATTCAATTCAGTGCTAGATCCAGGATTTTTAAACCAGGGCCAGGAACTTATAAGACAGAATGAATACCAAAGGCATCTGGAGTCCCTAGGATGTCTTGGGCTCACTTCCCCAGAACACAAACAGCTTCTTCTTGGGGGGTCCAACACAATATACACCCCAGTTTAAAATGAACCTTCTCGGAAATTTAGTTTTAAAGAAACAGGTAGCACTCCACAATGTTTCATTCAAGATGGCCGTGTAGAAGACCAATCACTAAGTTTTCTTGCAAGCACATGTCTGGTTCTGTCATAGAGGAACTTAAAACTTTCAAAACTTTGGGTGAACCTTCCACCTTTAACATCATTCCCAACTTGTCCATAATTGTGGCAATTCAAATCAAACAGTGATGACCACATTATTTACCTGTAACACCTGAACAATGAATTTGCTTTCCATTACAAAATGCACCCATGCCTCGCCTTGCTGTGTACATCTCATTTGTTATAGAGTTGAATACTACTCCAATCTCTACCTATAGCAGTCAAAGAAAAGACATAATATCCAATAGAGAATGACAAATTATGAATACATTTATCAACAAAGAAGGGTGACTCCATCATGCAATTTTATTTAATTAGTGATTTTATTTAATGATCTAGAAGTTCAATGATTGAATGAATAAAACACCTCATTTCTACCCAGCAGGGTTGACTGTCCACCTTATAGAGGTATCCGCATTATAGATGGAGACTTTTCATCATGCAGGGACTGCATTAAATAATAGTTTACAATGGTTTTCACAGGTGGGCAAAACCTTTAAAACTGAAAACCTCTTTATAGCAAAAACTCCATATATGCAAACCAGGTGGGCAAAATCATCCTCACAACCCATCCATGTCCAATACACTCAAAGTGAGTCAAGTCCTCTCTGTGTATAAGCAGAGAATGCTGCAACATTAGACGACTTCATTTTGTTCTTCACGACATCACCTTCACCTGTCCCCTAGCGCCAAGTTGGCGCATAGGGCCTCACGACACGACATAACTTCCGCAAAGTAGAGTTGACTACAACGTTAAACGAATCAACTCACTTTGAGTGTATTGGACAACCCTCTCAACAGTCAATTTACCGGTGCCCAGCCCCTTAGGAAACCCCTGCAACCTGAAGTGTACATAATAGAGAGGTCTAGGCATATTTAAAAATACCTGCTTGTTAACAGCTAAGGCTATACATACTGCCACCATAGGATACCTGAAAAACAAACAAGAATCCTAAGCCTCCTTATTAGCCTCTGTAACAGGTGTAAGATGGGAGAGAAGTGGGACACTGGAGGGTGGGGTGGAGTGCAGAGCTGATTAATCACTGGACTGATGTCAGCAAAGGGAGACTTTAGTTTTAATGCATCAGAGCCCTCGACTCAGTTTTGACTCCACCACTTGGATTCCTTATAAAAGAGTACTAACAGATTAGTTAGGAATCAAGACCCAGCTGTTCAAAAGAGGATAACATAGGTCCTAACCTCAGGTTAAATCTAGTACAAACTTTAACACAAGGTTAAAGTTTAAGTGTTGGTTCTGTTGTTCAAAGTCACTGCTAAAATCAGGTTAAACAGCAGGTTAAACTTAACCCACCTCCGAATGAGCTTATCCCAGTTCCTGTGGCATGGAGCGACTAGGAGTATTTCCGCTCACCCCTGGATGGGATGCTAGTCCATTGCAGGGTCACCCCCAGCATTAAGTTCGCTGGTACCCATTTATATCCCTGGGTGGAGAGAGGCACTGTGAGAGTAAAGTGTCTTGCCCAAGAACACAATGCAATGACCCCAGCCAGGGCTCAAACCTGGACAGCTTGATCTGGAGACAAGCACACTAACCATGAGGCCACCATGTCTCCTGGGTTAACTTGGGGTTAGAAGAAGAAAAATTCAAACAAAATCTACAGAGAAGTTGTTTTCAGTGCAATATGAATGAAACAAGGAATGTGAAAACTTCCCCTTCAGCTTCTGTGAAATTCTGTTGTAATCAATAACAACAGAGACAGACAACTGCATGCTAGATAGAGATTTTGAACAACTGGGTCCAGGGGGTTAAATGGGATGCTATCAGAATGGCAACTGATTACATGATTTTAATAACTGTAGAAAAAGTAGCCTCCTTTCTCACCTGTGAATAAAGTTAGTTGTACCATCTATTGGATCAATTATCCATGTTGGGTTGTTTGTGAGAGTGCTTTTCTTCCCAGCACTTGCAGACTCCTCACCTATAAAGCTAAGTCATAAAAATGTGGCATGCTATAGTTTTAAACATGTCACTCCAGAAAATATCATGTTACTCTCCACAGTGGGGTTATTTGTTTTTTCAATCCACCAACTCATCTGGGAATTGAAACATCATACTATCCTTCAAAATGTTTTGACTTTTGAGAATTCCCCCTCTCTCAATTATCGAATTTCCAGTGACTCTTTGTAGGGCAACTAGGTACAAATAATATGTTCCAGTTTTAAGCATTATAAGCATTGCACTGGGCATTGTTGCGAATGATCTTGCCTGATTTTCTTGCAGTTTTCTGGTACTTTATTCTAAAAGAATTAACTTGCACATTAGAGATTCTTCCTCTTTCTCTTCCAACTTCCTTTTCCTTCTTTTTCCTTGACAACCAACCCCAGTAAGAAAATGTTAAGTCAGCTCTCAATAAGAACAGAAGTTTACACAGTATCTTTTCAGTACACGAGATCTTGTTGGGTTTTGTTCTAAACATTTTGAGTATTTTAATAATTCTCTCATTGACCATGATTTCTTAGGGCCATACTGGGATAGTAATGGTTCCTGGTCATGTATGAACTTTGCTATGCTCAGTCCATACATTCAAGACTTCAGGCCCACATTCACCTTGTACAGCTCTCAAAAAATCATTCAGAAAGAAGCAAATACCTGTGAGTTGGAAATTTTTCCAGTAGAGTTCCAATAATTAATTCCTCAACATATTTGTCTGTTTCTGTAACCAAATCAGTTCCACAAGTCTTTGTGTCAATGGCCTTTTCCTTATGAAAAGCTTCTAACACAACCTAAGAATGGTAAAAACCAGGCAAAATTTGAATATAACACTTAGTCTACTAGTGTTACAGATTTAAGCAATTAAAAAAATGCCAAATATCAGAGAAGCTTTACAACTCATTTGATCTACTGAGTAAAATGTATTGGCCTGGGAAATAACCATCATCCCCATGGAAGGGCTTTGGTTTGACCCTCACCCCACCCCTCTACAAATTCCAGTTTCATTTCGTAATTGTCCTCTAAAAGTAAACTGCCTAAAGATAATACCCTTCACAGCAGCCCATACCCATATTAATAGCTTAAATATGGAAACCCCCCTCCCCAACTTCTGAGGCTTTTGTCCCCCTTGGAAGCTCGGGGAACCACCTAAGGTAGCTCCCCCTTTCTCCACCAAGAGATATGAATGCAGGCTAACTGCCAAACTGATACCAAACCTAGCAAGATGCTAAGTTGTGAGGGGAGGGTGAAATTAACCTTAAATCATTGAAGTAGTGTCACCACCAGACAGCTGCAAGCCCTGGATTTGGTTAAGTTACATGTATACGTTTTTCCATTACTTTATAAAAATGATTCAAATCAGCAAAATTTTCACAGTCAACTCAACTAAAAAAAATAAGTTGAGAACTAGTCAGTCCAGAATTGACACTAAATCAATCAGTGTTGTAATCAAACACCTGAGTGTACATAGTTGTTCAATTAGAATCTTTAAAAGAGATCAGATTCTGCCACTGCGTGCACGTGCTGGTTGCAAAGCTCTCTTATCACTGGTAGTCAGACATTGAAACATGGACATTAAGTCCCCAACAAAATGGAATGCCATTTGTTGCAATGTTTGTTAAGTTTTATTACCTTCCGAAGGTGCACTAGCTGGTTGCAAAAACCATAGTTACAGTTAAGATCCACTTATTTTGAACAATTATAATTGCATCCATCATCAATCAGAAAAAGAGAATTTTGACCTTGTTCCATGGGTCAGATACTTGCAGTCTTCCTAAAGCTTCATTCTGGGGATTTGCACAAGTATACCGTAGGGCATTTGCAAATGCCCTAGGAGGGAGGGATGGATGGTGGGGTTTGGAACTTATTGTCAGTGTCATTTATTACACTCACTTTCAGTGTTACATGCATAGCAACTATCTTTCAACATGCCATCTCTCAACATGCTATGTACCCTGGCCTATACCAAAAATGTAAGCACAACTAAGGCCCAGTTCAGACATTGTGCTTCTGCCATACCAAACTAAATTCACGAATTACGTGCGACAAAGGCATGAGAAAAGCATGGCAGAAGCACGGTGTCTGAATCAAACTTTTGAATTAAGATCAACAAGTAATTAAGTTCAAGAAGCTCTGCTGTGCTACACGACTCTGGCACGGCAGCGATTCAAATGTCGTGCTTCTGTCACGCCAAACAAAATTCATAAATTTTATTAAATAAATATTTTGGCGGGATTACGTTCCCACAGGGAGTTAGGAGGAGAATTGTTACAAGGCATCAGTAAATTCTGAATTTGGTTAACTCTGGCATGACTTCTGAATCAGAGTACTGTTGTTTTTCTGCCGTGCCATAATTGAACCAAATTGCAATCAAGTTCAGCATGGCAGAAGCGCAACGTTTGAACTGGGCCTGACTTCTTTATGGTCGAACTCAACTTTTAGTCATGAGGGATGGATTTATTTGACATCAAACTAGGGCTAGGAGTATCAAGAAGTCATTCTCTGAGAGATAAATCGACTATTTTGAGTGTTTACATCTTTCAAATATTAAATGAGCGGTAGTCGCCCAATTCTACTGGAATTCACTATTGAGAGCTGATCAACTACACTATAATCGTTTTAATTATCTCGTAAATCAGTAAACATGCAGTTTAACGGTCTTTCAGCCGTTTACATAGCATGTTGATATAGATGGCATGTCAAAAGATGGTCAAAAGATGTTGCCTATGCACGTAACACTGAAAACGGGTGTAAGTTCTACTCATTGTTTTTCACTGGTCAAGAGATTTTCCTTGGTTGATAATTTTTTTAACAGTAAACAGAGTTGAAAACGTTTCATCATTCTAAAATACAGAACAGCATTAACTTTCTTAGTTACCAAAATAACTTAGAAACTTCTGCTCTGTGTACTTTTCATGACTTGCATATTTAAGCTTATTTTTAAAATTCTGCTGAGAAATAAAACCTGCAGTCAGAAAACTGTAGTTTTAAAAAGCCTGAGAAACACTGTCTTGCACTATGTACTTTAAGTTACGTCCTTTTTATAAGTCAGTCGAGAAATGTTCATTGTTCGACGACAATTTATTGAAGCTTATTTTATTTTTTTATTTAAAATTATTTAAGCTTAAAACCAGTTTTATTAAATTGCCTGCCTTATTAAAATTCTTCTGCCCTGTTTACTTAATTTACTCACGTCAATCGTGTGCAACATATAAGAAAAAAGTGACAAAATAAGTGACAGCTATACAATAGCGGTATTATTAACGATTGAAAACCGTGCGAAGAAAGAACGAACCAGTTGCCCAGCAGTGCCAGCAGTGCCAGCAGTGCGCCACAACAGCAATTTCCACAATAATTGCACAGTTTAACTGAGCAAAATACAAGAAGAAAATACGTAAATGCGTGTTATTTAATTACCTGTCCTGCCTGCTTTGCTACATTTACTGCGGCATCAAAGTACTCTTGAATTTCTTGTCCACCTGCCTGTACAAGGTCGTCCGCCATGTTGGAGCTTGGAAACAGGTAGTGCTTGATGTAAGCCTACGTGTCATGTCCCGAGGCCCAGAAGATCATCAGAGCGCACATCGGGACTGACCCATTTTTCCCGATTTTGAGATACGAATTTCCCCATTGCAATGGCTGAAACCAGGACACCATTCAAACCATGTATAATTGTTCACGGAGGAGCAGGAAACATATCAACATCAAGGAGAGAACAAGTTCTTTGTGCTGTAACAGAAGCAGTCAAGATTGGATATGGCGTTCTCCTAGAAGTAAGATTTACCAGGCTGTACCCCGAGGCAGTTAGCTTTTGTTAATAGTTTATGAGTTTCTTTCTTATAAAGTAATCATATGTTCTTTTAAAAGATGCCCTAGCTTAGTTTTCATGTGTGGCCTTTATTTTATACTTACAGTCTTAGTTGGTAGTTAAAGAAAGGAATCATAATTAGGAGGGATGGGTAAAATTTGGATAAATTTACATAATCATGCGGATTAAGGTGTAGGCTTATCCATTATATCGGTAGCTCTAGTGGATCAACGTGGAACCATCACATTTTGGACAAGTACACCTCATTCTCTTGGCTTTCAGATTTATGCCAGATCTTGAATAAAACAAAACCTGTTCGTATTGATTATTCAATTGTGTTGAATTGTATTTTTCTATCTTAATTAAGGGAGCAAGTGCATTAGATGCTGTAGAAGCTGCCACACGGAGCATGGAGGACAGTGAAGTTTTAAATGCAGGGCGTGGATCTTACCTTACAGAAGAAGGAACTGTTGAACTTGATGCTATGATTATGAATGGCCAAACTTTAAACACTGGCAAGTTAATTGTACTTTACTTCTAAATGTCTAATGCTGTAAAAGAACTATAACAAGGAATCTTTTTGGTTAAAATTACTTTAACAGCTGGACCCCGTTAATTCGAAACTCCCTTCAGCAGATTAAATTGTCTGCTTAAGGTTGGAAATGTACTGTTGGCACTGGCTGAGAGCATAACTAAGTGTCAATAAGTGTATGCAATAGCAGATGTCCAAAGGGATAGCCATGGGGAGACTTCCATCTAAAAAGGACGGGGATGCTTGTCAGAAGTTTTGAACAGAACCCCTAAGAGGTACCAAGATCCTGTTTTGTGGGAGTAGCTTCAATTTAAAATTCAAATTTACCCCTAAAAGGTACCAATTCTGTGTGGGGAACAGCGGATCAGAACCTCCTGCTTCCCATGCCCCGCCCTCCCGCTTCCCGTACCTTTATCTCCCAACTCCTGTTGCTCCCATCCCCTGTAAATAGGGAGACTTAAAACACATCCCACCTCCCGCTCTTTCCCATCCTTTCCTATCCCGCCTCATGCCCCCTATTCTCCCGGGCTTCCGCCCCCTGTCCCCCTACAACTCTAAAACAATACATTGTCGCCTGTCATATTTTTTTGGGTCTACACCTTAAAAAGTGCAGCAAAAACTCCTGCTGTGGACCTTTTGAGGCTGAACACCCTTAGAGGTACCAACCCCTAAAAGGTACAATGAGCACCCCTGTCCTTTTTTTTATGAGAGTCCCTCCCCCTGAGGGACGGATAGCTCTTAATGTATGTGCTGCACTGCTGAGTCTGTAAGACTCTCATGGCCTGTTCCACACATGATCACATCATCACAACCCAAACTGACAAGAACATTTACTTTTACTGCAAGCATTATGTACGTTGTAAGTTTGTTTAGTTTGAAGTCATGGCATTAAAATAATCATTCCGTTCAGTCTTTAACTTGACCAAACGTGTGTCTGAGAGCTTAATAATAATAGACACCTGAATAACACAGACATTTTGTCCACGGGGAGGGGGGAATCCCATATAAAAAGGACAGGGGGTGCTCATCGGAAATTTTGAAAAAAAAACCGAATAGGTACCAAGATCCAACCTTTTTTTTTGGGTATGGCTTGAAATTTTTTTCACCTTAAGTTGTGGAATCTGGTGACTAGCAACCTAGCCTCACTGCGATACTATTAACCTGCGGTGTACGTTCGGCGCATGTGTAGAGAAAACAAAAAAAAACGCGCTCAACTGCAGGAGAGACCGCCATGTTGGAACTTTGTACTCGTTGTGTTCTCGTTGCATTGACATTAAGAGTTGTCACTTCGTTCTATTCCGTCGGAGGTGTGTGATTCTGTATTAAATTCAGTCTTGTGGTTTACACGTAAGTCCAAGAGTTACCAATTCTAAAACAACACATTATTTCCTGTTATACTGTTTTCAGCTCAACACCCTATAGCCTAATCACTGTGGACCTTTTGAGGCTAAATTTCCTAAGAGGTACCAAAACTCTCTTTTTTAAAAGCAGAGTTTTGGTAACTCTTAGGATGTTTAGCCTCAAAAAGTCCACAGTGATTAGGCTATAGGGTGTTGAGCTGAAAACAGTATAAGTACAAGCACCCCCCTCCTTTTTATAGGGGAGTTTCCCCACCCCCCTAGGATTTTGTTGTGTCCCTTTGGTGTGCATATGAACCAGGTTCCACAATAATCTAGATTCATCAAGAATGTAGAAAAATTTACCCCTCAGGTATAACATACTACCCTGTCGAATTGAGCGGCCAATCTTGCATAGCCCATAATAAGGGCATGCCTCTTTCTTGCATAGAAAGTTTGACTGTATTTATCAAACCTGACTTTTTTCTCTGTTTTTCTATCAAGGAGCAGTGGCATGTGTCCAGAACATTGCTAATCCCATTTCTCTGGCACGTAAAGTGATGACAGACACACCTCACTGTATGCTGGCTGGAGAAGGTGCTCTGAAGTTTGCAAGAGATGTAGGAATTCCTGTTTTGGAGGATCCCAGTTCATTAATCAGTGATCGTTCACACCAAATTTATGTGAAGGAAAAGTTAAAACGTGAAAATCTTAAAAAGGAAGTGGACCGTGACAGAAAGGACACAGCTGTTGAAAAAGTGTCTCAGGAGAACAAGAATACACAGCCGGAAGGACATGATACTGTAGGAGTAGTTGCCATGGATACTAATGGCCATATTGCCGTCAGCAATTCAACAGGTAATGAACTAAATATTGCATGTGACACTGTCATTTATCATAAGCTTCTTGTATTACAAGCTTGCGTCTTACCATTTTGCAGTGTGTTTGTGATACTGTCAGAAATGTCAGAGTTGTCAAGCATTGCAACAAAGGCTCAAACCAGGCATGCAAACTCATCTTTTTAATCATTCGTCAAAGGCTGCAGGTTGGCAGCTGAAAGCTTAATATGAATTAATTTTTCAACCAGGGAAGGTTTCAATTGTCTTAATATATTTTTAAACATATTAAAGACAAATTAACACAAAATCAGTAAAACTCAGTTTATGACTCAGAGAAGGAGAAGTATCCATGGCCAGTTATTTACAATATTAATTAATTTGACACAAATCACAGCAGATTGACTTAATCATTGAAAATGTAATAGCAAGTTCTTTTGTTTCTTTATTTCCTCAGGGGGCACATCCTACAAGATGTGTGGTAGAGTTGGAGACTCACCCCTGGTGGGGTCAGGTGCTTATGCCAATCAACAGGCAGGTGCTGCCTGCACTGGCCATGGTGAGTCTTTGCTTAAAGTGCTATTATCCAGAGAGGTCATATACAGTATAGAAAATGGTGCTACACCACATGATGCTTGTATGAAGGCAATACATAGGATGAATGAGCAGACTGGGGGTAAGGGAGGTGTTATATGCTTGGATAAGTTTGGAAAGATCGGAGTGGCCTTCAATACAAGAGAAATGGCATGGGCTTCCATTACTGGAAGCAACATCCTGAAATATGGAATTGACCCTGGAGAGGAAATAACAGGTGAAATGTAAATCGCAAAAAGTGTATGGGCCAATTTCCAATTCCCTCGGTTTCAATAGGCAAGATTCACTTTAGTTCACTGACTTTAATTCAACTAACACTCCAATAAGACGCTCCTGTTTGCTTGTACATAATTCCATCAATCGTCCGCGTCTTTATCCGTCTCATCCGTCGTTACTTCGAGTGGATCACATACAACTACAACGTTTGCCGACGTTCACCATTACATGCACACTCGAAAAGATCATGTGACTTAAACGTGGGAACTAAACAGCGGGAAAAATACATGAACAATACAGGGAACCCAGCAACAAAAAGAAAGGACAATTTTGTATTAGTTTGTAACTTATTACAGATAATGTTAGTAGCTTTTTAAGCTGCTGCAAACTTTATATTTTGCAGAAGGAAATAAGATTTTGTTTCATATGTTTGCAACTACTTTAAGTATTACATTGTATTGATGTTTAAAAACATTTAAAATCCTTAATTTTAGGCAAAAGATAATATTTATCAATAAAAATTATAAATTAAACACTAATGCATTTATCTAGAGGTACAAGAATAGTTGATAGAAATACAGATGAAGAAAATGCATCTAGTAACCCAATTGGCATTACATTTGTAATAAGGTCAAATGTGCAGGTTATTAAATTATATCAAGACATCAGCTCCAGAGTAAGGCGATATGTTTAGCCTGTGTGCAGACGTCTTAAAATAGGAGACATCTGCATTCAGGCTAGGATATGTTTTAGTAAACCCTGAAATTCACAGATGATATTTAATACATAGACTATTATAGAGATATAGTAGATATATGTATAATAATACAGAGAGTAGTATTATTATTTTGTTACATATATTATTATTCCATTATCGCCATGAGCGATAAGAAATAATTTATTAATAAGTTGTTTAAACTGCTCAAACTGTAGTGGAGGATTGGTCGCAATCAGCTTTCCACTTTTGATTTCTTATATCTAAGGATTTATGAATCAAATTTCTAGATCTTTCCAATCGTCTCAATTCTAAGAGGTTTAAGAGAAAATTATCTTAAGGTGTTTGTTTTTCTTTAGGAGATGATTGGTAGTTGGGAGATGGCTGCAAATTCCAGACCATTTTTCTACATTCAGCTTTTTAACAATAAAGGAGAATGGGACTAAGAGTGGTTTCTTCCTGTTATTTTGGTTCATCACTTGTTCTCCACAGAAAAACCCTCAATTTGATTGAAATGAAGATGAAATGGAACCCTTGGTGTCAAAACCCAACTATTAGTATTGCCTTTTTTCACCTACATACTGCAAAAAAAACCTCTTCTTATAAATGCCTCTTTCAGTGGTCATAAACCCTCATTCACACACCTCTATAATCCAAAAATATCACTTCTCCATATGGTATTCTAATGAGCCAATAAGTAGGATGATCCATAGACCAAGTACCCACCCCTCCCTTTCCTTTGGTAACCTCCATAGTCACGGCAAATTAATATTGCGTGACTTAATGAGGTCGATTATTAAAATCACTTTATTCCTTTCGTGCCTGCCGGCCTGCGGTGAACAAGAGGTTAAGCTTGCAATCAATTTTCAATGGAAGCTCTTTTGTTTCTTTTATCACGTTTCTCAGATTTTATCAAGTTTTTATGCATATAACTTATAACAGATATAGCGACACTTGGAAATACATGAACTGTAAGTAAGAGAAAAAGATACAGGAAAAACAAAAAGGAATGAAAATGTTTTTCTCGCATTTATACAGGCAAATCTTACATGTAAGCGGTCATCCTGTACTTAACGGTCAGAACAACTTTCCAAAAATCCTATTTAGATTTACTGTAAAGTTTACCTGTATATAGCGGTCACCTGCATGCAACGGACACAATCGACCTTTAGACTTACCGAATCCACAATTTTCTTGTTTTTTGCACCTATACAACGGTCACCAAATTGCATTACGATCAACCCATCAGCGAATCNCAAAACAGAAACTGTTATCCTTAAAAGAACTGAGCCGAAGCACGTAAAAAAGAAAACGTTTTTCGTGGCGACTACGTTAATGCTTGTCCTACTCATCTCGACAGGCGCCTCGGCTGTTTACCTTGAAAACTGGACCTTCATTGAAGGCCTGTATGTGTGGTTTACTACGTTTACAACAATCGGTTTTGGTGACTTTGTGCCATTTCATTCCTTTGTAAGAGACACTGAGCAAGGGAAAGCATCTAGAGGTGAATTGTTTGTCCACAGCCTTTTATTCTTTGTTCCTTACATGGCCGGTTTGAGTCTGACCTCGTGCCTTTTGAGTTGCGCTGTCGAATCCATAGACGAGATACGTGATTTTCGTGATCGCTACATGATCTGTTGGCCACGTTTGATTTCGCTCAAAACGAAATTGTTTGCTCACAAAGGCACAAGTGTCAATGTTACAGAAGAGCAAAATAACGAGACAACTTGAAAAAAATGAGCTGCCTGTCTTATTTGAGATAAAGATATTAAACAGGAAAGTAGAAGTCTAAGCTCAGAGCAGTCGTAGAACATTCAGGCAGTGAAATAGCCATTCTCTCGCATCATGGATGTATTAAATTTCCAGTTAAATGCGTGGTCGAAAGCATTATTTGGTGAGCTTATTGCTAACGTAGTTGGTCATAATAGAGATAGACAGAGCCGTGGCCGTGAAAATTTAACTCAGATTATCCGTCGAACTGTTTTCTCTTGTGCAATATTTTAGGCAGTGGTCCATCCTAGCGTGCAGTTTGTACTTCTAGATTCCAGACCACTTCTAAGGAGACCCTTCAGAATTCCCCTTTTCATCTTGAACCAGCTGGAGTAGCGAGTTATCAGTGCTTAGGGAGGCTCGTGGAATTTGTCCACATTTTCCATGTCATTCCCGTAAAGTGTACTTTCTTGTTACGGGTATCAATAAGTACTTTCTGTAAGGGCCAATTTCCAATTCCTTCGGTTTCAATAGGCCAGATTCACTCTAGTTCACTGACTTTAATTCGACTAACACTCGACCAATGAGACGCTCTTGTTTGCTTGTACATAATTCCATCAATCGTCCGCGTCTGTATCCGTCTTATCCACCTTATCCGTCATTACTTCGAGTGAATCGCACGCACACAACTCAATGTTTTTCCGACGCTCGCCATTACACGCACACTAGAAAAGGTCAAGTGACCTAAACGCTGAAACCAAAAGAGGGAAAAATACATGAACTATACAGGGAACCCAGGAAGACTTTCCTTTTAGTATCCTACAACTTACATTTCACCACCGTATTTCAACTAATGCAGACGAATTCACAACCTTCTTCCCTACCTCCGAAGAGCTGGAGACTTAAATTAAAAATACTTCAGTTGGAACTCCGCATGGATCTTTTGAACCATCAATTTGTCAGAAAGAGATTTAGCAGGTGAATAAATTTATTCCTTTTACCATGTTGTAAACGAAAATGATGTTCGACCTCACCTAGTAACCGAGTAGATCTTGAATGTAAGGCATTAAAATGCAAATTCAAAATATATTTCCTTTATGTTTTTTAAAAGAATACTCAGTGAGTTTTGCGAGTAACACGGTGGCTGTTATAACGTATCGTAGGCTACTGGCTTAATGGTTTTCTGAAGTACTAAAGAGGTACGTTAAGTTTTCTTACTCCTGTTTTGGGGTTTTTTAGATATTTAGTAATTTTCTCAAGTTAGAATTGTTGTATTTCGCATTTCATAACAAGCGGTCTCGGCGAATGGCTTAGTCTCTTAGTTCAATGCGGGCATCGAGTCTGCTTTCAATTCAAACAGTAGAAAAACAAGCTTAAGCGTAATATTTTTTATTTATTTATTTAATTGATAATTTATAGAGTGGTTTTCAGTATCGAAAGCAATTAGACAATTACTTTGGTTTTGGTTTTGGTTTTGGTTTTGGTTTTGGTTTTACTGCAGTTTGAGATTGGCTGAACAGTCTAATTGGTAAGAAATTGGTTTGGTTTTGGTTTTAAGACACTCAATTGAAAACCGCTCTATACATTCAATACACACTTACATAATTACTTTACAAAATTACATTATTTACACCACTCAGATTGCAGTACTCGATTTAAAGTACACTATTTGCATTCCTTGCAATACTAGTCGCTTACAATTTCGTACCTTTTTCATTGCCTACTCTATAGGTTACTTTCACTGATAGATGTACAATATTCTACTTATAATTAAATTCTTACACTACTTACTTTTTTCCCTTATTAATTTATTTACTTATTTATTTATCATGTTCTGTTGCACAGGAGACAAACAAACAAACGAGACTAATAACAAAATTAACATGTACAATTAACTGGGGCTATAACTCTTACTTTACACTCCCATTTACGTCGCTACTAGCTATACAAAAATTAGTCAAGAGTTTACTTACATTTAAGATTAGCTATAAATTCATCTGCCATGCAAAAAATATTAATTGGCAGATAAAACAAGTAGAAGATTACGTAATAACTGGATTGTACAAAAAAAAAAAAAAAAAAANAGACAAAAGGGAAGACAGATAACTAAGTTGACATGTATAATTATTGGCTCTGTGACCAATGCTTTACATTCCTATCAACATCATTACTACGGCTACACAAAGAATTTTTCGAAAATATATTTATGCTTAAGATTAGCTATAAATTCACTTACCGATAACTCGCCATGTATTAATTTCTTATCGCACAAATAATATTTGGCATATACAAAAGTGAAGTTTAACTTTCTGATAATATTTGATTCCTTGCTTGAAGTGTCAACTTTCATACCAAAAATTAATTCGGTTGGTGAAAGACTGAAGGAGGTCACAGTTTCTTTGTTGAACCATTTTATGACCTCTAAAAAGAAAAATTGGCTTCAATTACAGCTATGGAAAGTGTGAATTATGGAATCATTCATTTCACAATATGGACACTATGTCCTTCGCCTTACCAAAGAGGAATAACTCCTTTTTGGTGACTACTATGCTATGTAAAAGTTTGAAATAAAATTCCCAAAGTTTGTTATCTTTACATACACTTTTCACGCGCCTAAAAATAGGTTTCAGAGATGTTTGATCAATTTGCAGGTCTCTTTCCCATTTATAATTAGCCTTCGGTTCAATTGGTTCTTTGTTTATGAGGAACCTATAATAGTCTTTTCATTTTAGTTAAATTTATGGAGATCTCGGGGGAAAGCTGAAACATACAATTCAACAGCAGATCTGATCTGTCCGTGGGGTTTGCCCTCGCACGTTCTGCTATGTGTCTAGGAATATCAGAAACTAAAAAAAATAGATGACGAAGAAAATAGATGACGAAGTCAAGTTGCATCTAAGATCATATTTTAGGATAAATTCTGAGTAAGAAAGAAAATTCCCATCTGCTTTGAGAAGATCATATACGAGATAGATGCCGCGATCAAACTAGTTCCTGTAAAAAATACCGTGACTCTGGATTAAAATATCTTTGTTGTTGAATAAAATTTGTTCTTGGCCGGGCTGGTTTGGAAAAGATTCTTTTAATTCCAAGAAATACAGGAGAATCAATTTGTAGAACTGAGTTAGCCCAATCTGATCGAGAAATTTCTTGTCGTAATTACATCGTAATATGAAGTTTAGTCCTCCGTATTTTTCGAAATAACTAACTTCAATGATTTTGATACAGCATCTATGCTAGGTGCTCGTAGACCTCCTTAGTCATAATCTAAAATCATCATTATACGCTTAATTTTGTCCTTTTTATTTTTCCAAATGAATTTAAATATGGCCGAATTCACAGCGCCTAAGTACTCGAGAGGAACATCAAGGCTGGAGATAGAGTTTACCAGTTGCGACATGCCAAGAATTTTAGTTATTAGGCACCTTCCAAATAATGTAAGGATGGTCTTCAATTTTTGTAATTTTAACGTATAAAGTTGTATTTTTCATTTTCTTTTTCATTATAAGAGATGAAAGTGCCCAGCCACGATCCCAGCCACAGAGCTTTAGTTTTTGACGGGTTCAATTTCGGGCCAGAAATATCACCAAAATTGTCCAATACAGCGATCGTCTTGTTAACCGAACTGCAGTTACTGTTAAGGAGAGTGGTATCCTCAGCCAACTGGCTTAATTTTAATTCCTTGCCGAAAATTTTTATACCCTGAATTTCTTTATCTTGTCTGATTTTGCACGCTAGTAATTCTGCGGTCAAGATTAATAGACAAGGAGACAGAGGGCAGCCTTGTCTCACCCCTCTTGACAGGCGAAAATAGTTTGTGCAGAAACTATTGTTTAGAACTGCACTTTCTGTGTTAACATAAAATATGGAAATCCAGCGTTGAATGCTTTCCCCAAAATTTAAAAATTAGACGAGACTTACCTGGAAGTTGAAGTTTGATTGTGATTCTACCGAGTTACAGGATGCTGAGAGATTACATGAGATAGCAAGCGCATGCGCCAATCAGGTTTTGAAGACTGAATGGACGTGTTTCCCAACAGCACAGAGGTGGGAAGGGAAATTGGGCTATAATCTCTTAGCACCCTGTAACTCGGTTGAATCACAATCAAACTTCAACTTACCAGTAAGTCTCGTTTAATTTTTAGATTCTACCTCGTTACCACGCGGAGAGATTCCATGAGACTTCAAAGCAACACGGACATGAAGAAACAGCAACATGTCTGTTTAATAGTAATGTGTAAATGATTCATGATTCTTACATAGATGACAGGAACGATTTTGCACATCTTAAAGCCGTAGCTTTATGTTTGATGCAAAAGCGAGCAAAGCAGCTTCAGATGACCACCCTGCATTTTGGAGCATGTCATCTAGATTTACATTGGCCCTGCTGGCTGGTGAAACAGACGCAGCTCTGTTACTATGAGCTGAATATTTTGTCATATCAATACCAGCTAAAGTCAAAGTGCATCGCACCCATCTAGTTACAGTATCCCTGCTTCTAGACTTCCAGGTTTCACGTAACTCATTAAGAGCTGTGAATGGCCGCTACCTCTAGATGCTTTGGTTCTCACAAGATATTCCTTAAGCGTAGTAACAACACAAATAAAGGGTTGTTCGCATGATTCCAGAACAACTTGAGGGTTAGATACCCCTGGTTTGCTTTGTTTGAGGTGGTTAGGGATGGCAAACGTGTATTTGTCCTCACTCACAAACATGTGATTTATGTCTAACAAATGAATAGCCTGGCCTCGCTGGCCCGATACTAACAACAATGGCATTACAAGTTTCAACGTGAGTTGTTTATGTGTCAATGAATCAACAGGATGAAGCGTAACCAGGTATGTTAAGACCACTTGGACATCCCAAACTTCTGTATACTTGACCTTGGGTGGCCGTGACTAGAAAACACATTTCAACAGGCGACAAACTAGCGGGTTCTGTTCAATTACAGAGCCATCATCCAAAGACACATAAGACGACAATGCACTTCTAGCACAGTTGATAGCACTGTAGGTAAGTCCTTGGTTAAAAAGTTCAAAAAAGGAAATTTAAGACTGTTCCTACAGGTGGTTGAAGATGATTGACTTTCCTTTGGAGACAAAATGCGGTCCATTTTTTTTATGTACCCAGAGGACTGCTTCTCAGTACCACCTCGCCAGGACGCCATGAGCAATCCAACAGCTGACTTCGATACTCCTCTTGTTTCATAGTATTGCCTGACAACAAACATGC